CCCACACAGAGCTGTCTCGTCCTCAAGAGAACAGTTTTGCCTCTTATATTCGAGGCATTGAGATATAGTATACACGATATACGTTTTTGCAATTAATTGTTTAAAGTCTTTGTATGTAATATTCGGACTATTTGTGAATTAAACTCTATCGCACTATTTACGATTTAATATTTGTTTTAAATAATTTAGAAAAAAGAGAGAAATTTAAACAGATCTCTGCCTTTGCTGGTCAGAGGATATTCCAAACGCCTTGCTAGATAGATCGCCTTGAAGCTTAGCCTTCCCTTTGGTATGTATGTGTTGGGAAATTGGCGAAAAATTGATATACATGTGATATAAGAAAGCAGGGAACAACAGGAAAGGAGATTTCTTGGCCACGAACAAAATTTCAGAAAAGAGAAATCAAATAAGAAGCGTATTGTTTCAACACATCCACTTGTAGAATCTTTTCCACTTTGGCCAAGTCTCCCATTCTTCCTTTTCTTGCTGCACAAGAATAGGAACGTTGAAATCTCTTCTTCCCGTATCAATGTCCATGTCTTTGACGCGCACGTAGCTCGTGCGATAGTAAATCTTGTGACCCAGGAAGAAAATCAAGGCGATCGGCGCGCCCATCCACTTGAGGAAGAAGTTCTCTGCCTGGAACGAGGGCGTAATGGTTTCGTGGCCCGGCGTGGGGATGGGAAAGGCGCCCACCCAGAACTGGGCGGCCAGGACGCTGATGTTGAGGCCGAGGCCGACGTAGGAGCCCGCGACGCCGACTTGGGATTGGAAGGGGAGGTCGCTGGGGCGGTGGCCGCGAGCGGCCCAGGTGCGGCGGAAGCGGATGTGGCAGACGCAGATGGAGGCCCAGGTGAGGATGGAGGAGAGGCCCGAGATGGCGAGGAGCCAGTCCAGGACTGAGTTTTCTTGCTTGAGATCGGCCAGGAAGGCGAGGAGGCCGAACGCTGCGGCTACGAGGATGGCGACGAGCGGGCGTCCTCTTTGGTCGACGTAGCCGAGGATCTCAGGGGCTTGGCCGAGGTTGGCGAGGGCGGCGAGAGTTCGCGAGGAACCGAAGACGGCGGAGTTTCCGACGGATAAGACGGCGATGAGGATGACGGCGTTCATCACCGAGGGGAGAACATCGATACCGGCGGTTTTGATGGCAATGACAAAGGGCGACGCTCGCGCATCTGCGTTGTTTTCGCCAACCAGCATTGGATTGTTGTATGGCACAAGCAGGCCAACCAGAGTCAGGGCGACGATGTAGAAGAGGCTGATACGCCAAAATACCTGCTTAATAGCAGACGGGAGGGATTTTCTCGGGTTTGCGGTTTCGGCCGCTGCTAGACCGATGAGTTCGGTTCCTGTGAAAGCAAAGGCAGCTGTGACGAAGACGCTGCAGAGGCCCTTGAAGCCGTTGTGGAAGGCGCCGGGATCATGCCAATATTTGCCGCCAATATATCCTTGTGTGGGAGTTCCACCGAGATTGAGAACGATGCCCAGGAGACTGAAAGACATTGAGAATTAGCAAAACATAGAAAGAAAGGCTTTGGCTCGTTTCTTCAAACTTACATGAAGCCAATAACAGCAACAATCTTGATCAGAGAGAATGTAAACTCGGCTTCACCATAGCCCTTGACACCAAACATATTAATAGTGACGATGGTGGCAAGGAAGATGGTGACGAAAATAGCTCGCTGGAGATGCTCATCCCAATAACCAATAGTAAGGGATGCTGCAATAATTTCCAGGGGCAGAATAGTCAGCCATTGCATAGCGTAGCTGCAGGATGACAGTGATTAGCAATTGGTTTACAGATATCAATATCCCAAGAATAGGGCGCAACACTTACTTCCAGCCCATGGCAAAACCCCAAGAGGGATCGAGGAAACGTGTCGCCCACGAGGAAAACGAGCCAGCAAGGGGGTAGATGACTGCGAGTTCTCCCAATGCCTGACATGTGCAATACAGCATTATGCCGACGATGGAGAAGGCGAGGAGGAGAGACGCAGGACCTCCCGCGGCAAGCGCCTTACCAGATGCCACGAACAGACCGGTACCTATAAAAAAGAAGAAACATCAAAAGTTAGTAAAAACAATAACGGTATACCCAGTTGACTGAGCGGTTTCAGCGATCAAAGGCATGCGCACCTATTGAACCCCCTATAGCAATCATCTGCAAATGTCGCCCCTTGAGCTTCCTCGACAACCCGTTCGAATTCGCAGTCGCCAGCGCAGCCCGTCGCAAGTCGTAGAACGGCGAGCCATTGTTGTGTCGCCTCACACTCTCCAACGGACCAATGTCATCGAGGTCCCGGCTCGGGAAGAACTTGGAGTTTGGATCGCGTCTGAAGCTGTTGATGATGCGGTCCATACGCGGCTCCTTGCTCTCCTCGTAGTTTGGTTCCCGCATGCTGTAGGAGCTCCCGTGGGTCAGGGACTCTTCCTTGATCTTGTAGTTTCCAAAAGGGTTCAGTTCGATGTCTTGCCGCGGCGCCATTGTCCTGCCAGAAGCCCTTTGTCTGCGGATGGGGCGGGTCGCCAGCAATCGATAAGAATTGCGGCGAGGATGTTGCTGCGATCAAAGCTTATACCGCTGCCTCTTTCGCCACCGGGCTCCCTTTTGCTCTTGTTATTCGTCAGTATATTTAGAGTTGTCGTCTATGTGTGGAATTGAGGTGCGAGATGGTGAATCAGTCCCGTCGAATCTTGGTCGTCGCCTCGGCACGATAGTCCGACTCGCAGAGCCAGGGTCCAGTTGGCTGCGCTGCCATGCAGGTGCAGAGCCTCGAAAAAGAAAAGAAAAAAGGTACCAGCGTCACACGCACGTGGATGTCGTCACCAAGAGCTGCTACAAGGCTTATCTCAGCCCCAAGGCCATGTGGAAGTGGGCGGGGTCTTTTGCGAAAAGGAAATAAAAAGCAGTGTAGGCGCAATAACGACGGCGAAAGTGTACGCGAGTTGTAGAGCTGGCGAGGAAAAAGACGGCTGACGCAGAAAAGAAGAAAGTCGGCTCCTTTTCTGGGGGGCGCGAGCCGGTTCAATTAATAACTATCGCTGCTAGTTGGCAGTGACAGATCGGTGGATAAACTGGCTAGTAAAACTCGATGGTGCCTTTTTATCTCGGGCTGGCGGTAACGTCAGACAAGGGGTGGCGCAGACGCAAAACCACGGATTGATTGACCGTCCATTGAGAGAGATAGGTCGAGTATGAAGTACAGTACAGAGATAGAGGAATAGCGGTAGGCCAGCCATAGAGCATCAGTGGCGAGCTACTAAATGATCCGTGCTTCAGAGCGGCAAAGGCTGCAGCTCGACTCGACTCGACACCTGCATCTGGTAGGCCTATCAGCTCCAGCATCAGCTCCAGCATCGGCTCCAGCATCAGCATCAGCATCAGCCCCCGGATCGGGTTTGATTTGGTCAATTTGATTTGATGCAGCGGATGCCCGTCAGCCTGCGGGATGCGACGCTGTCTCGGTCGCCATAGTGGCTGCTAGCGTGCGTGCTAAAACAGCCCTGGAGCAGCACATGGTTCGTCCCTTTGGCGGGGGAGGAGCCTGAGCGTGCTGTGCCACGGATCGGATAGCGCCCAGTCCAGTGAAGCGTCGCCCATTATCCATTACATGTATCCATTATGCATCAATGAGATTGGGGGACGAAGCACCGCTGGTGCTGGCTGCGCGAACATGAAGAGCCAAAAGAGGCACGAAACACAGCGTTGCATTTCTGCCGGCCCTGGAGTTGGAGATGCGTTGCGCTGGAATCAGGTGGGGTGGAGACGCTGATAAGAACGGGCACGGCAGCGTCGATACAGGCACCTTTGATATTGATGCTAGGATTCAGTAGTGCTGCATACCGCTGCTACTTTAGCATGTGCTCGTATGACCATTAAAACGAGGCGAACAGGCGAAGATGTATGGGCGCAAATAGTACAAGCAGCTTCATCTTTCTCAAGGCTGGGAATATGAGTCTAGAATCACTTTATCAATAAGACATCGCCCACCTTCATGTTCCCAGCTTCCACACCTTCTCCAGAAGCAGCCTGACTCGAGCCAACGTCTCGCCCCAGAATCCTAACGCCGCTTGCGCTAAAACTTGCAAGGCGACGGGATAGATAACACATGGAACACCTAGCCTGATGCAAGCCACCAACCGCCGACAGGGCCTTGAAGGCGAACAAGTACTGTAACACCACCACAATCTACAAATCCATGATTGATCCTAGCAATAACCCGCATGGGATCCTCCGCGTGGCGCGTTCTCCGGCATGATCCTTTTGGGGTCTCTTTGGAATATGAGGCTGCCCTGCTTGTCCTAGCAGTACAACCTCTATGTATATATTTACACGCAGATAGTACCGCGAAAGACAGCAACATGGCCAAGCAAGTAGTAGACAGCATTAAATAGTAAATGAAAATGGTTGAGGCTTTTGCAGCAGAACACAGGCGGTAGAGACAGTGGCCAGTCATAGTCATGTCGCGATGCGCCGGCTATTGATGGAATTGTTTGACGGGCGAATAAGCCGAATCAGGGTTTCTCACAACGTTGACTTCGCAACCACCATCACTGTCTCTAGAACAAGAAATTTTTGCGAACAGTAGATGTTAGATCCGATATAGCCAAATACTATGACGAACTATATGCGATAGATTAATATTGAAGTTAGGAACACTCGTCGCAGTGTTACTCATATAAGACTGACGTACCATTTGCCGGACGTTACAGTCCAATAAGAGCCTGCAGGAGCAACTACAACGTTGATTGGAGCTCGTGCCGCTGTCCACCACGGCTTGCCATTTGCACTGATCGAGCCTTGCGTTCCTTGTTGGGCGAATTTCTGCCTGATTTTTCTCCGTCAGCCTCCTGTTTGTCTGTGTGTTCTCAACAGTAGCTCCTTCCACTACTCAATTTGTGCTCCGAAGGCTGAGTTTCGGTTCCCACTCTGGACTGACAAGCCGGTAAAGGAGCTCGCTCCTATAAGCATCAGACGCCAGGCTGACTTCCCGCCAAAAATGGCGTACAACCGCGGTGTTAGTCTCACCCAAGTCCACCCTTCCCCTGGCGCCGATGCCGATACAGACATCGATATCATTGCCATCCATGGCCTGGACACAAAGTCCCCAGACACGTGGATTTCGAGATCCGACTATCCCAACGAGGATGTCAATTGGCTGGCATGTCCGCGCATGCTTCCAGAAAGAATAGGACCAGCCCGGATCTTCACGTGTGACTGGCCAGCCGATCTCCTTGAACAGCCAGACTTAATCCAGAAAACAGCGGAGGAGTTTGCTCGACTCTTGCTTGCCGGAATAAAACGACGTCCTCTACCAACAAAGACTGGCTATGCAAAGGGGAAAGATAGGCCGATTGTCTTTATTGCATCATGCCTCGGGGGCATCACTTTGATCAGGGCTCTCGTGATTGCTGGCCATTCTAGCGAATACGCTGTTGTCAGGCAATCGACACGCGGAATCGTCTTCCTTGCTACGCCCTTCCGCGGAACTTCCTTCCAAGATGTAGCAGACTGGGCAGAGCCTGGTCTGAGGGCCTGGACTTCGATCAGGGGCCAAAAAGTGAGCAGCCTTCTCGACGACGTCAAGGGATCGACTTTCCACCTAGAGGAACTTATACGAAAGTTCACTCAGCTGTGTCACGATAAAGATTATCCCTGTCAAGTAGTTACTTTCTATGAATTGGGCTTAACGAGTCTCCATCGTAAATTTCCTCTGAGTTGGTTGATTCCATCCGGGGTGCTTGATGTGATTGTTCCGTCAAAGCCGGTAAGTACGAAAAAATTATTGGCGACCTAATTTCTTATTTTCTATATGCCACTTCACTGCAAGGCTAACACCTGATAGCTTGTCGATAGCTCTTCAGCAACTCTAGATATTGTTACAGACCCACTGCCACTCAATCGACGCCACGTAATGATGAATAAGTTCAACGACCCTGAAGATCCGGACTACCAATGTGTTGTTGGGAAGATTGAAGAAATTCTTCAGGATATACGTACAAACTCTCCACTCGACGACGCAGACGCTTGGATACGCAATAAGCATTATGCTGTGGATAGGCTCAAGATCGAACGACTCTCTGGCGACCTTTTGCCGATGGATCAGTGCTATATTAATCTTGCCGTTGTGGAACAGCGTGGTCAAGACTCAAACCAGCCAATGACAGAAGATGCAAAGTCTTCCCCGTTCTCCATCTCCAACCGAAACGAGATCGAGACACCAGTTCAGGTTAAATTGACCACAATTTTCAACCAACGCCAGCGCAATGGAGAAATAATACAACCAAGAAGAATCTTGATTCGAGGACGCGCGGGAGTGGGCAAGACCACCTTATGCAAAAAGATCGTCCATGAGTTTACTCAAGGCACATGGAGTGGGTGGAATGACTTGTTTGACCGCATTCTTTGGGTACCTCTAAGAAACCTAAAGCTCGAAGAAAGACGCCAGCACCCGGCATATGACTTCGAAGCTCTTCTCACCCATGAATATTTCTCTCTGCCAAATAATAAGCCGGATCTCGCCAAACAGTTAGCTCGTTCATTGGAGACTTCCAGTAGCAGGACCTTATTCCTCCTTGACGGCCTAGATGAAGTATCCCAAGAACTAGCTGGCAGCAACAGCATGTCTCGCTTCCTTAACGAACTTTTAGAACAGCCGAACATCATTGTAACTTCTCGACCATCCGGCAGGCTGCCACTAAAGCTAGATCTTGAACTGGAAACGGTTGGCTTTTACCCAAATCAAGTCGACAATTACATTGAGAAAACCTTCCTCAATCCAAGAACAACCGAGATTGACGAGAAAATCGTTGACAAGATAAAATCTTTTCTTGAAGATCACTGGCTTATTCAGGGTCTCATACGCATCCCAATCCAGCTGGATGCACTTTGCTACTCTTGGAACGATATTCGCAGCGACATGCCAGAGACAATGACCGCCCTTTACCAAGCTATAGAACTTAGCTTGTGGAAAAAGGATATCGTGAGACTAGAGAAAAAACATAATGATAGGCTAGTAACGCCATACCATATCCAAGATGCGAGTCAACAAAAGATAGAAGGATTTGTTAAAAACGAAATCTCTTTTCTAGAGGGTCTTGCTTTTGCTGGGCTACTCGGTGATACAATCGAATTTGAACCGAGGCTTTTGAATCTCACATCCGACCGCTTCCCAGGCCTCTTGTTAGACAAAGCCGTCTCATCTCTCTCCTTTCTGCGAACCTCAAGTCCCTCATTAGAGTACCGCAATCGAAGTTATCACTTTATACATCTCACCTTTCAGGAATACTTCGCTGCGCGATATTTTGTACGGCAATGGACTGCCAGAGAACATCTCAGCTACATGGAACTCGGCAGTAGAAAGATCAACCAGATCGAGCCTACCAAATTCTTTCAGAAACACAAATACACAGCACATTACGATATTCTGTGGCGGTTTGTTGCTGGATTACTTGATGCCGAGCCGGAACAACTATCGCTCTTTTTCCAGAACATGGAGGACGAGCCAATCGACCTTCTAGGCCCTGCTCATCAGCAGCTGGTCATTCATTGCTTGAGCGAAGTAACGAGTAATATTCCGATTCGAACCGACCTAGAACAACGGCTTTCCAAGTGGTTACTATTTGAAGGCGAATTCACGCGAGACGTTGGCTCCTACCTAGCATGTGATATAGGATTTCCAGTGCAGACATTGGACATCGCCTTTCGTGAAGGATCGGATAATGCCAAGAAAAGAATTCTAAGCTTGATTTCAAATACCGCTCCAGCGAGCATCATTAAACAGGCAATTTCCTGGCTAAGGCACATAGACGATAGTACCCGAGAGGCTGCCATTAAGGCCCTACGGGGGTTGGTCTTATCCAATGAGATTCTTGAGGATGTAGCAGCAAGGCTTGAAGACAAGGAGGATTTTGTCCGACAAGCCACTATTGACGTTTTGAGAGGTCAGTCGGTCCTGCCTAAAGAAGTTGTTGAGGCTATAGCAGCGAGACTTGAAGATGAGAATTATGAGGTCCGAAAAATGGCTGTTGTGGCTTTGAGTCATAAGTCAGTCTTGCCTGGTGAGATTCTAAAGGCTGTAGCAGCGCGACTTGGAGACGAGCATCAGAAGGTCCGAAAAGCCACTGTTCGGGCCTTAGGCCAACGATCGACCCTGCCTGATGAGATTCTTAAGGCTATAGCAACACGGCTTGAAGACGAGGATCCGGGTGTCCGAAAGGCCACTGTTCGGGCCTTAGGCCAACAATCGACCCTACCTGATGAGATTTTCATGGCTATAGTAGCACGGCTTAAAGACAAGCGTCCATTCATCCGAAAAGCAGCTGTTCGGGCCTTAGGCCAACGATCGACCCTGCCTGATGAGATTCTTAAGGCTATAGCAGCACGGCTTAAAGACGAGGATCCGGGTGTCCAAGAGGCCATTGTTCGAGCCTTAGGCCAACGGTTGACCTTACCTGATGAGCTACTTAAGGCTATAGCAGCGCAGCTTGAAGGTGAGTATTGGTCCGTTCAAAAAGCCGCTGTTGAGGTCTTGTGTCAGCAATTTGTCTTGCCTGATGAAATTCTTGAACTTATAGCAGCGCGGCTTGAAGACGAGGATCGGTCAGCCCGGACAGCTGTTGAAGATGGGTTGAAAGATATAAAGCTTGAGCAACTCAGCCTGCCTTATAAAAGACTTGAGGACATAGCAACGCGGCTTAAAACCAAGCATCAGTCCATCCGACAATGCGCTCTTAGATCCTTGAACCAGCACGTCAGCTTGTCTGATGAAGCTCTAAAGGCTATAGCGGCGCAACTTAAGGATAATGACGACAGCGATATCCAAATAGCCGCTATGATGGCCTTGGACACCCAATCCAATCTACCCGACGAGATCGTCCAGGCTATAGTAACGCAATTGAAGAGCAATGAAGACACGTTTGTGCAAATAGCTGCTATTCAGGCCTTGAGCAGCCAATCCAATCTATTTGACAAGATTATCCAGGCTATAGCAACGCAATTCAAGGACAATGAAGACTTGTCTGTTCAACTAGCTGCTATTGAGGCTTTGGGCAGTCAGTTATATTTATCCAGCGAGATTCTCCAGGTTATAGCAGCCAACCTTGAGGATACAAAATATAGTCCTATGGAAATGCATTTTTTTGGGCGTAATCTCAAAGTAGCTTCTATTAAGGCGCTAGGCAAACAACCGGACTTGTCAACTCAAATTCTTCATGTTTTAACAGCACAACTGAAAGATAACGAGCCACAGACTCAATCAGCCGCTATTAAGGTCTTAGGCAAGCAATCAAGCTTGCCTGAAGAGATTCATAACGCTATAGCGACGCTGCTGAAGAAGAGTAACTCATCTACCAAAATGGCCGCTATTGAGGGCTTGCGCACCTGGTCAGGGTTATCTAACAAGATCTTAAATGCAATAGCATCACAACTTCAATCTTATGATGAATGTCATGACGACCCTCATTTTGACCCTTTTAATGACCCTTGGGATGAATCTTATGAAGAATGGTATAATCATGATAAACGGTGGGTTCAAAGAGACGCCCTTGAGGTCTTGGGCGATCAGCCGAGCTTGCCTAAAGAAATCCTCAACGCTATAGCGATTCAGCTTGACAACGATGAATTTTCTGGCTTGCCAGAGGTTGCTGAGAGAGCGCTGCGTAAGCACAGAGAATTCTACCTCACACTCCTCGAGGGCCCTTACGCCCCCTCCCTTTATAAAACGCTACTTCGGCAGAGCTTTAAAGAAGATTTGATTTGGTGTGTTGATGATGATGGCAACTCCGTTATCAGCATGCCAGAAGATGGCGGAAGAATAGTTATTGGTAAACAGGATGACATGAAGGCTATGATGAAAAGACTTCGTCCAGCAAATTACCCGGCACAATAGAAGGCAAGACAATTGAATAGATATTGAAACTTTACATACTTGCAACTAGGTATCTGTCTATACGCACCATTTCGCTGCTCGTGCAGCTATATACTGCGGAAATGATAATTATTATGGCAAAAAGGAGGCATGGTCACATTTGTCGAATTATGCCGAGAGTCAGTTGGTAAGAGTCAAACGTAAAAGTCTCAAGTTTCAATGACTCCTGTGTGTAAAACGATCCGCTTTGTTTGAGTTGCGCGCTATCATATATATCTAGGGAGACGTTATTCAGCACTCCAATCTCATTATCCAACACCCCAGCTGTAGCGCAATAAGGCAGCCATTCCGCATTTTAAGATACCTATATATATATAGCAGCAGTAGCAGTAGCAGTAGTAGCAGCAGTAGCAGCAGTAGCAACAATACTGGCAGCAGCCCACGTCAAAGCTGGAGGGCTGGATAACAGAATTGGGTGCTGGATAACCCCTCCCTATATCTATGATACAGGCCTAGCTAGAACATGTTTCAATGCCAGCTGATCGTCTTATATACACTTTAGAAGGAGAGGGAAACGAGGAATCAATATCACTGCAATCATGCCATATATATACGTCCTATTCTAGTATATAAACCAGGACTTTATAGAAATTATGTGCATATAACATTGAAAGTCGTATTCGCCAGACACCCCGCATTTGCTGTATAAACGCCAGACACGATCAAATAAATGTCCACTCGCCGATATCACCCCCTTTCCACGCTTTCTATCAAAAAATTTTTGATCCAGCTCTTCATTCGGCCTTCTTACTGGCTTTTGGGGTCCGAGGCTTTCGTTGCCACCCAGTAGAGAATAATGGTCCCATGTCAAACCGGGGGAAGGGATGGGCCTCTGTATTCAGCACGATCTTGTCCAGCGGGAGTAGATCATTTGGTGAGAAGAGGAGGTACATGTACTTCAGTGTCTCGGCCTGCGTAGGTAGCATCTCATTAGTAACACAATAATTACGACAGGGTATCAAGGCATTGCAGCAAACTTACCAACCAAAAGCTTTCCATATTATCCTTGACCGTTGGCGGAATAGTGTCGGCATCAAGCAGGCTCGTAAAGCCTCCCCGGTCTTCTACCGCAGTATAATTGGCAAAAGATTTGAACATCTCCCAGCCCCATTCGCGGTACTTGACATCGCCCGTTATCCTCCACATATAGAACAAGCTCTCCACCGTCTCCGGACGCTGTAGGTTGTGCACGTCGTTGGAGTGGACGATGAAGTCCTTTCGCCACTCAGCATTCGGATCAGGATCAAACTCGGCGGGAGCTTGATGGGGTGCTGATACAGGCGGCGGTGGGTTGTAAGTGTTGAAGTATGTGATTTCGGCCGCCAGCCCTGTCTTCATGTATTTGTACATGCCCCAGCAGGTTTGCATGAGTTCTCTCGCGAGCTGCATGTCGTCCTCCTTCTTCTTGGACCAGGTGGGCAATTTACGTGCCTCGGCTTCAGTAAGACCATCAGTCACTGCCAGGGCGATAGTGCCTGGCATGAAGCAGACCAAGTGGTCCATTTTCGGCGACAATGGGTATTCCAAGCCGTCAGGACGCTCAGCAATAATGGTAAAGCCAGAAGGCTCGGTGTAAGTGACCAGGTGCTTTCGTACACCTTCAAGGGCCTCGTCCCACATCTCTTGGTAAACGGGCTCCTTCTTGTTTGTCTGCAGATATTGTTTGATGAGGTACTCGTAATAGGAGTCACCCCTGCTTCCCAATCGAATATTGCCGCCTCGAAACTCGCCCGTTGTAGCATAGATGTAAATGGGGACAAGACCATCTTCCGGCTGGTTGTCATCGACAACTTCCATAACCTTTTCGACTTTATCCCAGAAATTCTTCTCGCCAGTAAGCTTTGCCAAATACTTGAACTCAAGCTGGAGAGTGGTAGCCTCGGCTGTGGAAGATGCTCCGCCATCAGAGTGAGATGGGAGACCCTTGTATTCTCCCAAATTGACGCTGGCATATGGGATGCCCGACTCAGACTCAAAAGCAGAGAGCAGCCTATCAGCCAAATCTCTAGCCTTTTCCAGATAAAGATCCTCTCCATCTGCTCCTTCGTCGTCCTCGGTCAGCGGTGCGAGGTCAGGAAACTCGTTGGAAAGATAGTGGGCAGAGAGCAGTCCGCCCAGCATTCGAATGGTGGTTTCAAAAGTGTTGACATCTTGGTCTTGATCCCAGGTCAGCGACGTAGAAAGCCACTCTCGCGCATGCCGCAGGCGCGAGGTCTGATTCATCAGCATCATGGTGTCCAAAGCATCGATGATGATCCATCCAAGTCCTTTGGGAGCCATGTTCTTGCTCGTCTTTGAAACGGGGTGGAATTCATCCTTGCCTAAGACCGAAATTCATTAGCAATTGGTTTCCATGACATAGAACTCGTACATCACAGCACATCACATACCCCATCCGTAGCGTTCGTAAGCATCCCAGCTCACCTCGAACGCGTCAACCACATGCTTCCGCCGCTCGTCCCAGTCAACATTATCCTTCTCCTGTGACAATCCTAGCCATGATAATGCCGATTCTGAAGTCCTTGCTTTGGGACGGCCAGAGAAGAAGCCCGCCAAGTATAAGAAGAAGATCACTGCCGCCGTGATGATTCCCAGCACCTTCTTGCGCCGCCACCACGGCCGCAGTCGCATAGACGGCGCATAAGCGTAGGGCTTGTCTTTATACATGGGCAGCGCGTCCGACTTCTCAAACATGCCGCCATTCAGCACTCCGCCACCGCCTCTCCGCGACAGAGCTGCCCAGGCACGGTCTTCGAGCGCTCGGCCGGAGTCCACAAAGTTGGGCACGTTTTTCGGGATGGAAAAGGACATTTCTAGTGCATTTGCGCCCGCCTGGGTCGCTGCGTCCTTGATGTTCTGCGCCGCTCGGAAAGCTGTAGCCTTGAATACGTTTTTGTTGTGTATGCCGAACGGGTCGCGGATCATTGGATCGACGGGGGCATGTCGAGAGGAGCGAGATATTGAAAGCGACTAGATGGACAGACAACGGAATACCCAAAGGGGTTAAAAAAAAACACCAGATCCAGACTTTGAGAAAGCGACACTCAGATAGTCCAGCACCTGCGGATTCTCAACCCAGCAAATAAATGAGAATAAAACAAAAGAGAGAGACTGGCTGCACGAGCCCGTCTAGGGGTCCTTGGCTAAGAATGGACACATGCACCCGGAGAGGCCAGGAAAAAGGACATGTCACCTCCAATCGATAAGGTTCGCGGCTGTACCCCTAGCACTTATAGCCCGCAGCTTAGTCGCCCGCCACCAGTGCAGGCTTGCGCTATGGGGGGGGGATTTCGCCTTATTATCCAACGTACAACCTTTAATCTAGAATCCCCCAACAAGTCATCGTGATGTTTACTGCTAATGTCTCTTTTACTAAACTGAAAGATTAGCTAGCATTTTCCTTTCCTCTGTTCTTATTCTCTCTCATCACAAATAGTAACGGCAGCCGCGGCAAAAATCTCAACACAGAAACATAATTTAATTTCTTTTTTCAATTCTCTCAGGCAAGCGAGGGCTTCGAATACGAAACTTTAAGTCTTCAAACCAGAAAAATACTTCCTGAAATATGGATATCAAAGACTTTCCTTATCTAAACTCAGAAGAATTCACCGAAGTATGTCATCACTTCGATAGCATGTACTGCAGAGCAAGGCTGGGGCCCATAAGGAAGAAATGGAAGTTCAGGCTTTGCACCGCTCTGGACCTCACTTATTCAACCAGAGGTGGATATATTACATATATTCAGATTATCCGACCTCTGGAAGAGACAATGGACCCCAACGACATTTCACTCGACTTGGGCAATTTTTCCATATCAGATCACGATGAGCAGAATGGGTTCCTTCAAGGAGACGATGACATGATTGATGATGAAGAATCTGACGCGGTATGCCCTTTTGATACTGCTATTACTTTTAAGCATTTTCTCACACTTCTTCAGAATCTTATACATCAGAAAGCGGCGCCAAGTTTCGGCTATGTCTCATACGAGGTACATCTGCACCCTACATATAGAGTGCCGTGTCTCTGGTTCAGCCTGCATGATCTCCCGCCAGATGAGCCCGCCTTCAATATCGATACCGTCTTTCGTCGCTTAATTCCTGACGCCTACAAAGATGGTCTCCGCCGAGGAATGGGGGGCATCGGTGGCATCTCGGCAGATGTGAGTTCCCATTTCTATTGCAAAAGTTAATTATGGTATCCCAAAAAATCCAGTGTCGGTCCGGCCGCACTAACAGCTTTGCTCCTAGCATCACCCCATCACCGGGGTACCCTCTTTCTTTCTTCATCCGTGCCTGTTGGGAGACGCTATATCCAGCTTTGAATGCTCAATAGAGAATTATCTCATGATCTGGTTCGGCCTGGTAGGGGGATGCGTCGGCCTGTGGGTACCCAAGGAAATGGCCACCCAATGATGGCTCGTTTGAACTTGCAGAAAACATCTTCATTCATTGGGGTAGCCTCGCTGTGGTTGAACGTGTTCATTCATCGTCGCTATCTTCCTCCATAGCCACATCGCCCTCGCTATCCTCATCCTCCTCGTCGCGGGTTCGCTTCTGGCCGCGGTTCTCGTCGGTCTCGTCGGTCTTCGAAGCTTGGGTGGCAGCCGGTACGGTGGGCTTTTCGAAAGCTGATCCAGGTGGCGGTGCGTTAAAGATACTCTGCTGGAGCTCTGTTTGTTCCACGACGGTAGCGCCGGTCGTTGTGGGAATTTTAAACGTGCCATCGAGCTTCGCTACGAAATGCGATTTGGACTTGGCGTATTGGATTTTCTAAAGGCGTGTTAGTTACTCGATGGTCAGATGAGGACCGGATCTAGCTCCCAAAGAAAACGCACCATTGGGCGGCCCAAGAATGACTGTCCATCTAATGATCTCATGGCTTGGGTTGCTGCCTGGATGTCGCGAAATACAATGTGGGCTTGGCCGCGCATCTCCATTGTCTTGAGGGCGACGATATCGAGCACCGGTCCAAAGGTTGAAAAGAGCATGTACAGTGCTGTTCGCAGGTCTGCTTTCTGTATCTTGCTTGACGGGAGGTTTGTAACGTATAGACTAGATAGACTCTCAGCAAACCAGTGCATCATCTCCGACTGATAAGGAGCAACTCACGTCTGGTTGGGAGGAATTGGCTGCACTTTCGCGGGCAGAGAGGCGTTCGGCGCGAGGCCGCGAGGAGGAGGGGCAGCAGCCGATGCCATTGTGTGCTTCAAAAAGGATGAAACAATATCAAATATATCCCTCGCTCTCTATTGTGTGCAGCAGCGTCCTCGTGATCTGTTGTTGCGTCGGTAATGTGCCGTGCAGTCGTGGTATTAGCGGTTTGTATGGTTGAAGCGTGGAGTTTTTTTGGCTCCTCGACTGGCCTTGAGGTGTGGCCCCAGCTTCAGTCGCGCCAATGGCCAGGTCCATGTACCAGGTACCTCGCTTTGGCTGCTACCCGCTTATGGCCAGGGGCTCCATGTACAGCAACGTCACCCCGCCATCCCGTTGGCTACAGCTCCGACCTCTCCCAAGCATCTTCCATCGTCACCTCCAGTCCCAGCTTCGAAATCCCACATAGCCTCTATTCTTCCTAGGCGATAGTAGAGAGCTACTCCTATCGCACGCACTACCGCAAAAATGGCTGCTCCTGAAGTTCATCACTTATTCCACAACCCCATCGCCGACCACTCGTTCTCGGCCGATCACTCAACTCTGGCCGTTGCCCGAGACTCGTCCGTTGAGCTGTATAGCAAGGCTGGAAATGCTTTCAAGCTGGCAGATGTGCTGAAGGGCCACGACAAGACGGTCACCAGCGTAGACATCGCCCCGAACAGCGGCCGCATTGTGTCTTGCTCCCAAGGTTCGATCTTGCCGCAACCCCTGCTCCGAGCTCCTTTCCGCCATAGATGCTGATACTTGACAGATCGAAACGCTCTGGTCTGGGAGCCGTCTCCCACCGGATACAAGCCCACCCTCGTTCTTCTTCGAATCAGCCGTGCTGCCACTTTCGTTCGATGGTCACCTTCCGAGACCAAGTTTGCCGTAGGCTCCGGAGACCGCGTCATTGCCGTTTGCTACTTTGAGGAGGAAAACGACTGGTGGGTTTCGAAGCACCTGAAGAAGCCCATCCGCAGTACCATCACCAGCGTCGCTTGGCACCCCAACTCCGTGCTCCTCGCCGCCGGCTCTACCGATGCGCATGCCCGAGTGCTGTCCGCCTTTGTCAAGGGTGTCGATGAGCGTCCCGAGCCTTGTGTCTGGGGTGAGCGATTGCCCTTCAACACCATCTGCGGAGAATACCTAAACAACTCTGCTGGCTGGGTGCACTCTGTGGCCTTTTCTCCCAGCGGAAACGCTCTTGCTTTTGCTGCGCATGACAGCAGCGTCACCGTTGTGTACCCCAGCGGCCCTGAGCAACCCCCCAAGGCCGTCTTGAGCATTCCTACTCAGCTTCTGCCATTCAAGAGCTTGCTCTGGAAGGCTGAAGACGAGATCATTGCTGCTGGCTACGATTGCGAGGCTTTCCGTTTCCAGGGCGGCGAGGGAGGCTGGCAGCTTGTCGGTACCATGGAGTCCAAGGGCCACGCTGGCGCTGGTGAGCAGCGCGAGGAGTCTGCGCTCAACATGTTCAGACAGATGGACCTCAAGGGCAAAGTCAAGGACAACACACAATTGAAGACGGTTCATCAAAACACAATCTCCAATATCAGACCTTATGAGGTCTCTGGCGGAAAGGTCACCAAGTTTAGCTGTGAGTATACGGCCATACCTTTCTCAAAGTAGACCGATGAGATGACTAACAGCTACCTTAGCGAGCGGCGTTGATGGAAGAGTCGTGATTTGGAATGCTTAGAGTCGATTACCATAGATTATAATGAGGGCTACATGATGCGTCCTTGACATAGCTTACAATGGCAGAAGCGCGAGCTTTTGGCGCCATGTAACTTGTCTACGATATATTAAGCAACTAAGGAGGCGGCACAAGTGTATTTAACTCATTTGATTGGAATAGCATGTAAAATGTCTATATATAAAACTTTTCCTGCGTTCCCTATGCAGCCGTCTATGGCAGGGCAATAGCCTCAATTTCCACATCGACGCCCTTGGGGAGCGTCTTGACTGCAACGCAGCTTCGAGCAGGCTTGTGAGAAAAGAATTTCTCGTACTCTCCGTTCATCTCCTGCAACAAGAGTCATGAGATTTGATTATTTAGAGAACTACTAATTGGCAAAGATGACTTACAGCAAAGTGATCCATGTCGGAGATGAAAATAGTGGTCTTGACGACTCTGGGCAGGGAAGAGCCAGCCTGCTTGAGAACGGCATCCAGGTTCTCGCAGCACTTTCTCGTCTTCTCGGCGATGGTGCCTTCAATCAGGGTGCCATCAGCAGTAAGGGGGATCTGGCCGGAGCAGTAGATGGCAGTAGGAGTCTTGACGGCTTGAGACTAGAGGTTCGTACAATATGAGAATGACGTCTTTAACGCTATTGGAATCAAGAGATACTCACGTAAGGGCCGAGGGCTAGATTCTCGTGTGTTAGCCTCATGATCCATAAATCATTAATAGACCCTTGAATCATTTGAAATTATACTCACGGAAGGGGGCTTCCTTAGTGTACACGATAGTCTGGTCGGCCATTGTGGATTTTGGTCTCGCGAAAGCTGTGACGAGTGTAAACTTGGGTCTTGCAGCGAATAGCGCCGGAGAGGACGCGGCGGCGGCAAGGCCTCTGGCGAGGGGCCGAGCTGAGCTGCGAGCAATAGGTAACATACCTACTTTAACTGTGTTTTCTGGATAAGGGAGGGTTGCTAACAAGATAGGTAGAATGGGCAAGGGTAGGATAGGTATTTATGGAATTGGGGATTGAAGAAGAGCTCAATGCGTTTATTTGTAAAAGGACACAGGCTTTGGCGCGCCCTTGGACCCCTCCGACAGCCGGAATTGCTCCCCCGCCCTTCCAATTGTGCGTAGTAGTGGCGCTTTGTACCGGGCCAAAGAAGAACCGCGGTGGATCGCATTGGAGAGCAGTGGTCAACTTGAAGCTCTAATGTTATAGGCACTTGACGTGACTATGTTGATGGTATGCAGCTCTATCAATCTACTTGTAAAAACATATCCTAACGCAGATTCAATTGGATTTATCAGAAGGGAGAATTCCTGGCGTCATCATGAACACATTTACTGAAAGAAAACTGCCTTTCTCTTTTCTTCAACGCGTTGCTATATTCTCAGCCTCGCGGTTCTTTTTCTTCTTTATGAATCTCGCATGTAATAGATAATCAATTGACTGTCATCTTATATGTGTGAACCCTCCCGGCGCCTACCTGCCAATAGCGGAAACGTCTGAGACTATATTGGGCTTACGCATCTTCTCGATCATTACAGGGTCCCCAACCGGCAGTTTGAAACACCCTGAGTGCAGAGTACACGCTACTTTGAGTCAGTCCGGCATGTGACGAAGAAAGACAGAAGGATAAATGATTGTGTCTGAAAGTGGTGATGCGGTCTTCATACTGCAGAGATACAGGCTAAATAGATGACCAGAAGAGCCAATGATTGTTTTTTCAAGTGCACCAAAAAGAGCCAAACCAAGACGTGCAATTACTGTTTCCCATTTATCCTATCTAGGTGTATTCCCTTCAGCCAGGTGGCTTAAAAGGACCACAGAAGTCTGGTACAAAGTACTCCATACCTGTGGCTCTGCGCTGGCCCCTGCCGCTTTAGTGGCTCCAGGGTCGAGACGACACGTTCGCCTCAGCTCGACTTGGCCGTCTTCATCCAATCCACCTACGGGAGGCTCAATTCACCCCCAATTCGGGCCTCTGCCGCGCGACGCATCTGCGGGCTCTCTTCCTCCTTTTCTCTTCTCTTCCCTCTTTCAATTTATTTGCATCTATTCAATTCACTCCAAGCCGGCGCGGAGCCAAATTTTCTCTTTTGTAAGTCGTCGTACCACCAAGACCTGCACCCCAGTTCCACATACCGTAGCTCTTTTGTCTTTGGCCTCAGAGCCTCTCGAGATCTGGCATCACCTCAGGTTCCAGGCTGCAAAAGTCCAGACTGCGCTGCTCTTCACAGACCTCGCTAACTCTCCACCGGTGAAGCTTCGTAGAGCCATGGCTCGAGCTTCAACGCCGCAGGGAAGCCTGCGACAGCGGGGCGGAGCGTCCAAGCAGACGCTCAGCGAATCTACCTTTGCCCCCGAGGTCGAGCTCGATAAACTGTCCAAGGCAGCCGCATCATCGCGTCAAAACGTCCAGCGAGGCGAGATCGAGCACAAGATTGCATTGACTCTGGTCACCATTCTCGGCTTCGTCACCCGATTCTGGGGCATCAGCCACCCTGACGAGGTTGTCTTTGACGAAGTGCACTTCGGAAAGGTAAGGACTATATTTGCATCATGGCTTGATACAATATGGCTGGAAATAACAAGAAAGCTAACTGGTCAATTGCTTAGTTTGCTTCGTACTACCTCCAGCGAACCTACTTTTTCGATGTTCACCCTCCTTTTGCCAAGCTGCTCTTCGCCTTTGTTGGCTGGCTGGTTGGATATGACGGCCACTTCCACTTCGAAAACATCGGCGACTCCTACGTCGCCAACAAAGTTCCCTACGTCGCTTTCCGAGCCCTGCCCGCCGTCCTCGGTGCATTGACCGTGTCCGTCACCTATTTGATCATGTGGGAGTCGGGCTACAGCTTGCCCGCTTGTCTTGTCGCTACTGGCTTGATTCTCCTGGACAATGCTCACATTGGCCAAACGCGCTTGATTCTCCTCGATGCCACCCTGGTTCTCGCCATGGCCTGCAGTCTCTTGTTCTACATCAAGTTCTACAAGCTGCGACATGAGGCGTTTAGCAGGAAGTGGTGGAAGTGGCTCATCTTGACTGGCTTTGCGCTGTCCTGCGACATCTCGACCAAATACGTTGGCCTCTTCGCTTTCGTTACCATTGGCTCCGCAGTCATTATTGATCTCTGGGATCTTTTGGATATCAAGCGACGCAACGGTGCCATCAGCCTGCAGTTGTTTGGAAAGCACTTTGCTGCCCGCGCCATTGGCCTCATCGTTCTGCCATTCCTCTTCTATCTCTTCTGGTTCCAGGTGCACTTTGCCGTCCTGACTCGATCCGGCCCTGGCGACGACTTCATGACGCCAGAATTCCAGGAAACCCTGAGCGACAACGTCATGCTAGCAAATGCTCTCGACATTCACTACTATGATTACATCACCATCAGGCACAAGGAGACCAAGGCCTACCTTCACAGCCACCCCGACCTCTATCCCCTGCGATATGATGATGGCCGTATCTCCAGCCAAGGCCAGCAGATTACTGGTTATCCCCACAACGACACAAACAACTACTGGCAAGTTCTTCCTTCCGACAATGTGCACAACACGGAGCGCATTGTCAGGAACTTCGACCTAGTTCGACTTAGGCACATTGTCACGGACAAGATTCTGCTCTCTCACGATGTCGCTTCGCCCTATTTCCCCACCAACCAAGAGTTTACCGCTGTGGCTTCTGAGGAAGCTTTTGGCGAGCGCCAAAACGACACCCTTTTCGAGATCCGAGTTGAAACAGCCAAGGTCGGCGCAGAGTTCAAAACTGTTGCCAGCCACTTCAAGCTTATCCACTTCCCCAGCAAAGTTGCCATGTGGACACATACCACTCCTCTGCCTGAGTGGGGCTATAAGCAGCAGGAAATCAATGGCAACAAGCAGGTTACAGTCAGCTCCAACATGTGGATTGCCGAGGACATTCCCTCGCTTCCTCAAGATGATCCCCGCCGCCAAAAGGAGCAGCGAAAAGTCAAGTCACTGCCGTTCCTCCGCAAGTGGTTTGAGCTACAGAGGTCAATGTTTTACCACAACAACAAGCTGACCAGCAGCCACCCGTACTCCAGCCAGCCTTACCACTGGCCATTCTTGCTTCGCGGAGTGAGCTTCTGGACTCAGAATGATACACGTCAACAAATCTACTTTGTTGGCAACCCCATTGGCTGGTGGATCACCAGCAGTCTTCTGGCTGTGTTTGCTGGCATTATCGCAGCTGACCAAATCTCTCTCCGCCGAAACATTGATGCTCTAGACCATCGTAAGTACTCTAGCCTCTTTTTTTTTTTTTTTTTATGAAGTACTCTAGCCTCTTTTTTTTTTTTTTTTTATGAAGAAACCACAACCTCTCCTTCCAGTATACTCTCTAACTAATCTTAAAAAGGCACACGTTCGCGACTCTACAACTCTACGGGTTTCTTCTGGCTTGCCTGGGCTACTCACTACTTTCCATTCTACCTTATGGGTCGTCAACTCTTCCTTCACCACTATCTCCCAGCCCATCTAGCCTCTTGCTTAGTCACAGGTGCTCTCGTCGAGTTCATCTTCAACTCTGACGCAGTGGAGGAGGAATCTCCCAAGTCTGGCAACCGTGTAGGCCCTAAAAGACATGTTACGGCCCGTGAGCGATTCGCTGGTAAGAGCATGCTTGGTGCTTGGATTGCCTGTGGTGTGATTCTTTCTGCCGCTGCCGCTTGCTGGTACTTCTTCTTGCCTTTGACTTACGGTTATCCCGGACTGTCTGTAGAGGAAGTTGTCAGGAGAAAGTGGCTCGGATACGACCTCCACTTTGCCAAATAAGCGAATAGAGATCTTGAACGGTTCAGCCATGACGCTGTTAAAGAAGAGCTGATTTTGGATGGAGACACGTTTTGTTTTTAGGCCGGTAAGAGCCTCTGCAAATTATTGTCAACAACTAAAAGGTGTAAGTGGAGGTAGCTCGTTGTTTGATGCGACAATAGGAGACTGTATGTGTACAATAAAAGGGGTGGACTAGTAGTAGAGGGGTAAGAATGCGTGAAGTTGAAAAAGAAGCATAGCTTGTCAAATGCAGAATAATAAATGACTATTTACTAATTCCAAATTCCATCTTGCACTATTATTAGACACAATGCAACATCTCGTATAACAAATTGGGTATCAAACGATGCAAATGACGGCTTATATCTGTCCCCTACTATTGTTACGTAAGCTGTAATGAGCGCCCGCTAGCTGGAACTCTATCGTCATTCTCCAGGGATGAAGATGTCAAGCTCCCCAACACCAATGTTCTGATTGCCGCGTCGCGCCTACGAATTGGCGCGATGGGCTGGCATAGCGATTTGCATTTCATGATATTAGCAAGTACCTGAACTTGTTGCACATGCTTCTCATTTTCCAATCTCCGCATAGCGCGTCTATAGACAACGATGCTGTTTTCAAGCGCAAACAGGCTGTACCTCCGTCGAATACTTCGCTGGCGAGCGACGAGGATTGCACTTCTTCTTCTGTTTTTGATCAACGTCTTTGATATTCTGCGAATACAGCGCGATATCGTCCATGGAGACCGAGAACACGGGCTGCGCAGCGGCAGCGGGGCGATGCGACGCCGCGAGAGGATATACATTGCGAGCATGCATTGGAACAACGCAGAGGTGCTCAAGGACTACTGGAACGATGCGGTGATTAAGCTCACCGAGACGTTCGGCACGGACAATGTGTTTGTGAGCATTTACGAGAGCGGGAGCTGGGACGACAGCAAGGAAGCTCTACAGACGCTAGATGCGGAGCTTGAGAAGAGGAACGTGCCGAGACGGGTCGAGGTGTCGGATACCACGCACTACGACGAGATTACGAAGCCGAAGAGTGAGAGGGGCGAAGGGTGGATAGATACGTCGAGGGGGGAGAGGGAATTGAGGAGGATTCCCTACTTGGCGAAGCTACGAAACAAGACGATACAGGACTTGATTGAGTTGAGCGAGAAGGGAATCAAGTTTGACAAAGTGCTGTTCCTAAACGATGTGGTTTTCACGGTACGAATGGCCAAATACGTTTTGCTCTATACAGACGAACGAAGTAAAAGCTGAAAGCTAACATTGACATAGGTTGAAGATGTATTGACATTGATGGACACCAACGGGGGAAACTATGCTGCAGCCTGCTCCATGGACTTTTCGAAGCCGCCGCTGTACTACGATACCTTTGCGCTGCGCGATATCGAAGGAAATGCACATGTTATGCAGACATGGCCCTATTTCAGGTCCAGGACCTCAAGGAATGCATTGGTGAACCACTTGGACGCAGTCCCGGTGTCGAGCTGCTGGAATGGTATAGGTGAGTGACATCCAACCCCAAATTTAGCTGTGAGATATACTCACGTGTTCTTCTTGACAAGTCGTCATGCCCGCCGAGCCCTTTGTGTCGTCCACACAGCTTCGCTTCCGCGCCGTCTCTGACTCCCTCGCCGCTCACCACCTCGAAGGCTCCGAATGCTGCCTAATCCACGCCGATAACCCACTTTCCAAGACAAAGGGCGTGTATCTCAACCCGCGAGTCAGGGTGGGCTACAATTACCCGGCTTACGCGGCGACGCATCCCGCGACAAAGGCGTGGGTGTCTCCGTGGGATATCTTCACTGGCCGGTGGGTCAATAGATTTCGGAGATGGACGACGTGGACTTTTGATTCGTGGACGGTGAGATGGAGAGTAGGGCGCTGGGAGAGGGAGAAGAAGGGGAATCGCGAGCCGGGCGAGTTTTGCTTGATCAATGAGATGCAGGTATTGGTCCACAATGGATGGGCTCATGTGTGATTTTCTATGGAAAACTATCAAATAGACCGCAATAGACAACGAGATGAAATCAATTATTATTATAGAGTATAAACGTCTAACTACAAGGTTCTTATCATATCTCACACTACAACTTCTTCAGGCCTGACTGCATGTCTCAGCAGGCTATACGGACGACTCTCCCGCATCTGTTGAACCGCCATCTCATGCAGCTTACGAGAACCCAAATCCTCGAGCGCCGGCTCCTTCCATACCATGTCCTTCATTGTCTGAGAAACATCGGGCAGAATGTGCGATACCTTTTTCTTGCACAGAAAAGCCAAAGCCCCGGCTTCATCTGTCGTGGACAGTCTTACCGCCTCTATAACATCGGGATGCGTCCATTCTAGCTGCTGCATAGCACGTAGCAATGTTTTATTAAATTGCTTACCGCCGGGTCTATTAATATTGATGCCGCAGCGGGAATTGTCACTATCATCGTTAAAGATGAGATCTGGGTTAGGGACAATATTAAAACAAAGGCACATGATGATGAAGAGATTGCGGCTGAGGAACTTCTCAAGGTCCGAGGGGGTACCGGACATTGAAAAGCCAAGAGCTCTAGCGATGAAGCGGAGGCGGACTTGGCCGGAGTAGCTTGGGAGGGCGTAGGGCGGGACGGTGTATTTAGATTCAGGGGGGATGACGCCGCCAAACATGTTTGTTTCGACAATGGCCCATTTGGTGAAGAAGTCGTCGGAGAGGCCTGTTTCCTCGAGGCGTGTCTGAGTTCTCTCTTTGACAAAGTCCAGGAGGGTTTGGGCTTGGTGGGGGTTGTTGTCGTTGAGGGCGGTGGGAGAGGGATATGTGGGAGCGGTATGCAAGGATGAAGTGGACGAAGCAGGCGAGGGTACTTGTAAATACGCCTCCTGTAAATATGGAGGCGTGTATTGATATCTGGATGGCAGAGAGGAATAGTGATGTGGAAATGCGAGGTGAGTATTGCCAATTGTGTTGCCGTACCGAGGCTGAGGCGCCAGAACACTTGCGTGAGAGGTTACTTGGATGGTCGGCGGAGGAGTGGCTTGATAACCGGAACAACAAGGGCTTTCTAAGACTATAGTCATCGAGAGATCAAATTCATCCTCCTCTTCAGGAATTGTCTCGAGTGGTGTAAGCGCTTGCCTAGGCATCTTGAAGGATGGCCTATGGCGGATGCTTTGATACGCTGAGAAGGAGGATTTGGGTTGACGAGGTTAGTAAAGAAAACGGTCAGAGTTGTGAGTTTTCAGGAAAATCTTTGTTTCAGGAGATGGTTTGCGTAACGAGATCTCGAGTTGCTGTAAATACTGATGCCCTTATATACATGTCCACACTTACACTCTTAACGGAGAGGCTAGAAGAAAATTGTGTTCAAAAGTGCAACAGTTTGGTAGTCGGCTAATTTTAGTGATGATGAATGTATATCTCCTTGTTTACGGATTAGAGGTTTCAGAATGAAAAGTATATGTGTGAGTTCATGTAAACAGGTAAACGACCTTGTCACCGTTCAGATACTACAGCTGAACAGCCCAGGCATCTTAAAAGTCCGGAAGACAGACAATCTCAACTTATTGATAGCAGCATCTACAGTCTATGTGACTTGCTGATAATATCGCTTTTAGAGAGAAGAAAGGAAGGAAGGAAGGAAGAACAGGAGAAGGTAATGGTTCAAAAGGCGGGAGGGCAGCAAACAGTCGTTCTTTTGATATCTACCTAGGTATGAAGACTGTCTCCTTGCTTTGTTCATTAATTCTTTGTGGCCGTCATTTGCAAATGCCATATAAGCTCTTTGTACATTCCAACTCGTAACACGCTTTCACATTGTCAAACAAATGTGAGATATAGACTGTTTCTCATCCTCCAGTCCAGCAACTGAGCAGTGAAGTGAAAGGAATATCAAAGGCGACGAGATATCATTGTCAATCGTTCGCTTCTATCATGTGTGTAAAAGTCAAACTCATTTTCCCATGTTTCCAATTCAGTTATGCGTGCGAAGGAACCCACATCTATACGACATATCATCTGGCTACTTAGATTCATTTGACGGCATTCCCACCGAAATTGGGGGTTTTATTCAATATAAATGCATGTAATCAAAGAATCCCACCATTCTTAAGCACCTGCATATTCATACTGCACGGGTTATTCAGATTCAATAGTGGTCTTATAGAATGAGATTGCAGAGACGTAATGTATAAAAAAACACCGTCACTTTTTGGTAATCGGTGAGACTTGACAGAATCGTTGGAGGATAGAGCTTGGATGGCCTCTGTTAATATGATTGCTATAACAATCACTTTTGCTTGTTTCAGAGATTTAGTTACATAAAAGGCTCTAAGACAAAGAAAAAGCGAAGCCACTCGTGTATCGGCGCCTCTATGTAGCTTAGAGCAGCGCCCACTCCCAGCATCAGGGTTTGAAAGGTTTGGTCTTCACACAGTTACTTACTGGAATTTTTTCCTGATTATGTTTTTCCTTTCTGTCTTTCTTTCTTCTCTCTTGTTAAAGCTACAGTGTCACCTTTGTAGCTGAGTCACCGGCGTGGAACCTCCACCGCCGTTTATTGTTGGTGGTGATACAGCCATGGTTGGCTCTTACATAGTCAAGCTAAAACCTACATGGCAGTATCAAAAGTACGGCTAGCTTGGAGGTTTCAAGCGGCTATTGCGAGTCAAGTATCTAATAGAGAAAAACCTCTAGCAGCAAAGATCAAGGTGTTCATACGCCAGTCACGACAACACTCAAAAACTCGCGCGTATTACCGGCCATAGCAAGCAGCAACGGCGGTGGGTCCGCTTGAATCTCAATCAAAGAATTGAATGAGCCCCCAAAGCGGAATTGCAGGTTTGCCAAGCCTCGGAAACAAAGGAAATCAAGGACTTTGAGACCAGGGAACGCACAAAATTGAAGCTCTCAAAGCCCCCCCAGTTCGAGACCCACCGCGATGTTCCCATGCCTTGCTCTCATTGGAGGACTAGTCCCGTTTGGGCAATGGCCGAAAATGGCCAGCAGAGTCACTTTGTGTCATGTCTCCGCCTATCAGAAAAGCCAGCCAAGTTGCGTGCTGCTGGTTTTCTGCAAGTTGGGCTCTTCTTTTTGGCTTTTCTCTCTGGTCGGGGTGATTGATGCCGACTTTTTGGCGCTGCTGTTTTCTGTCGGTCACCTGCTGAGTGACCGAGGCCTGAGATCGGCAGAGATTGGCCCGTCTTGCTCCATCAGGTCTGTCCGGGTTCGATCCGGGCTCTTGTCTTGCAAAACAAGGGACCTGTCAAGCAGTGCAGTAGTGACAATATGTACTGTGTGAGATACGAATGGGGGCCCTGGTTGATTATCTTTGCTGCTCGCCGAATGTACTTATCGCGCTGCTGCTATTGTTGGACACAGCGGCTGGGTATTCATGCATGTCTAACACATGCCTCGCTTGCATGTTATTGCATTCACAGCATTCACCCATTCACTCATTCTCACTGTCAGACTGGCGCAGATGCAGCGCTGCGGAGTGCTTCCATGCACAGCAGCAGTAATCGCAGCATCTTGGGAATTCTGTGTATCCCTTGGCAGCGCCACAAAGTGCTCTCTCAATCTCACTCTCACTCTCACTCCCACGCCTCTCTCCCACCACCACTCTCCATCACCCAGCGGTATGATGCATGCATGTCAAGATGCGGCCAGTACGACCTGAACCTGAGGCACGTCGCTTCCGATCCACACGTAGGGCTGGAGCAGCCAGTTGCTAGACACGAAGGGGGTTGGTTGGGAGGTGTACAGGTAGCTCTTCGGGCTTGACTCATTCCCTGCCGCCACCATTGAGGTTTCGCCGCAGATCGATGCGCGCTCGCGGCTTCGTTGTCCTGCATGATGGGCTCCGTCAAAAGCGAATGTGACCAGCGCCAGCATACTTGTGCATACATATGTACCTATCCGTACGTACATGGCAAGGAATTATTGTTTACGATACGGAGTCCATATCCTTTTACGGGCCTGATCATTGGTCGACGCTCCGCTGTCTGTCACAGGCCGGCGGTTGTCGTATAAGCCCAGAGCTCACGTAGCCATCACTGCGGTATGCATACAGGCCCAAAGGATGCGAGAAACAGGCCATCAACTCTGCTTTCCCCTCTTCTACCTATTCTTTCCGGCTCTTTTCTTTTTGTCCACGAGAAGGTACTTTTTATCAAAGCTCCACGAGGAGGTACTTTTTATCAGAGCGGCATGTAGGCAGTACTTTAAACGTTCAGTCCCAGCCAATCACACATCTTCATATCGGGCAGCCTGCTAAGGCATCCAAATTCTGAGCTTAGCTCGCCGGACCCCAGCAGCACCTATTGAAGTCTTCCCCTCAATACGGCGTATTACTCGTCCCCCCTCGTACATATGACATACATGATCGCGGCACATGTGAAGCCCAGCATATGCAGTGATGAGTAAACGCTCGATTATTGGGCAAAGATGAGAAGCGGGGATGTCAAAATGCGGCTGCCTTCACAAGCTCGTTGAAGAGGGACCCCGGTAAAGATGCCGGGGGGTTGACGCTTTCTTTGGTGATGAGGCTCTTGTAAACGGTTTTTGGGTTTGTCTCGACTGTTTGTTCTAACGCGATGTGGCCATATCGACGTTACTACTACACCCTGCTTGCGTGGGTTGGTGATGCAATCTCAGACCCTTTTGTTTTGATCTTGTCTGTTGTGGTTTTTTTGTTTTCTCAGCTGAACGCAAATGGCTGACAAGGGGGATGAATTCGGCACGCAAGGTGCTTGCGTGTCCTCTTTCGTCTCACGACTCCATACTTCAGGCAGTCGTATTTCTGAGGTTTTGGCGATATACACGCCCCTTTTAACTCAAGGCACCGAAATTATTGTCCTTCTTATTCTCCAGGCAGCTTCATTTTTTGATCGAACCCATGCGATTCCAGGAAAAATCAATACCATTACATGGATGATGAAACCAAAATAGATTTACCTTTTTTTTTTTTTTTTTTGTTCGTAGCAGGTGAAGCGTTCGTAATGCGCTCGTGCCACTGACGATCTGGCTAAATCCCAGCCTACCCTTGAGCTATGCGTGATCTCTGATCCTGGTGCCAGTCGAATTTACACGAGCTGAAGATTTCTACTTTTGTCTTCAATCTTTAATTGTTCCTTCTAGCCGCTAAAGGGGCTAGCTGGATTTGTGGACAGATCGTAGATGCAGATGTTGCTACACATCATTTCATCACCATCCTTTCCGACTGCCGAGTTCCTTCAGGAGCCTTGCCCGTAAATGTCAATGAGGCCAGGAATACGGCAATGCCAACAATGATGAAGCATAATAGTTGCAAACAGTAGTAGAATTAAACCCATCAGTCAAAAAATCCACCTGCGAGCTATGTAATAATAAACAGCTCTACTATAATCTCAACGCAAGAAATCTCATGTAGTGCAGGGCAATGCTGCGTTGTCAATCTCTCCTGCCGCTATAATTCGCCCACGAAAGTACCCGGATGGATATTGATGGGATCCATCACTTCTTGGACTTTCAATCTCTTCCAGCGGTGGCTCAGTCGCAGCAAAAGAGCCTGTGGAGCTTTGGAACTGATCCTACTGGTACGACTGATCGATAGCGCTCTCATCAGAGTGGCAGCGCAAACAGCACCTGCAAGGGAGCAGCGACGAGCAAGGAACATGAAGCAGTCGGCGGGCATTGTTGGTGTGTCCTTTATTTTTCTTTTGCGGGTCGCGGACCAACAGCGAGTGGCCACAGATCCCTGCACAGGCGCGAGGCTTCACGATAGGCTCATGGCCGCCACGGTGGTGCTGGCGCTCGTGCTGGAGCTCATGCTGGAGCTCGCACTGTCGGCACGTCACCAACGGTCACACGAGGGAGTGGGTGGGCTTTTTGGAGTGTTCCGTGCGTTTGTGTTTAGCGGTCACCATCTTAGAGCTGCGTTTTTGGACTACAGGTACGCATGTTCTTGTTGGGCAAACAGGAAGAGGAGCCTGCATATGGCTCAAGTCGGGACTTGACCGCATTACGTGGAAAAACGCGCCAGAGTCGTCAACTTTTGCCAATAACGGCGGCGCAAGATTAGGGAGTTTTGCTAGCACGAGGAGCGAGTCGGACTCGCTTGGTATTTGCAGCAGGATTTGGCTTTCTGGCCTCCGGGGAAGCTGGCCCGGATCGCAAAATACAGGTACCGGGGGGCTTTGGAGTGCAAGTTGCTGTGCTGCTGATTTCCGAGCCGGAATACACGGGACCAGCGCGGTGCGTGTCGCCAGCGATAGCGCCGCAACCTGAGTCGCTACCAGTGACACAAGCCCGCGGCAGCGCAGCAGACGGGCATCTTGGCCGCTCCCTTGCATTGACTGCTGGGCTGCTTAGCGCCAGCACCGGCGCCGCACTACTTCATACGCCGCTGGACGTTCAGTGGCCTGTTAGTGCTGCGAGTACCGTTGCGGCTCTCCCTACCGCCAGGTACCGCCGCCGGCCTCCAAGCGCAGGGATGCTCGTCCTCCGCAGCGCTTACGCCTCAGCCCACACCTGCGCTAGGCCGCTTCGGGCACGCCTGTTAGGCAGCAGCCTGCGGTGGGCTGAGTCGGCCTGGTTTCTAATCCGGCTCCAAGCCTCTCTCTTGTCTTCTCTCGTCCTCCGCTCGACCTCGACCTCGTCTTCTCAACCATCGCAGCGTCGTTTGTGCCTTGTTACATGCTCTGGGCTCGTGCTTGCGTGCATCAGGCCTAGTTACTGCCGCAATCCACGCCCCTCCCCAGTCCTCTCCACTCCCTGGAGTTGTATCTCGGTCCCTCTCGCGCCCACCCTCTTTTCCCATCCCCGTGTGTCCCGGCTCCTCACGTCCATATATCCAATTTACGCCCCGTCCTCATCGAGACCTCTTCTCTCTGTTGCATACTTTGCGCCTCTTTGCTGCTCTCATCAAAACATCCTCTTCGAGTCGCCAGCACTCCAGCATCAGCGCTTTTCTCGCCTATCCAGCCTGTTCCAGCGAAGGAGCCGTTAATCCCGGATACAATTGATTGACTGCCCCGGCTTCACACGTCTCGCATTGACGTTTGCGTTTGCATTGGCTCGCTTGCCCGTCCAGCACACTGTGGGCTAGGATTGCCCATTCAGATCGCGCCTATCCATTGGTAAGGTTTTGCCTTTCTTCTTTACTCATATATCTGGCCTCCTCTTCCCTGCTGGCCTCAACGCCTCAGGTTTCCTGCCGTTTCCTTTTCGGTATTGCATAGCCCTCGTACATCTTTGGGGCTTGTGACTCACACGCCTGTCGACCCTCCATTAGAGCCTCATTGCTACATTGACCTGTTCTTCTGTTCGACAAGGAGGCTAACCGCTTGTTGCTACGTGGATAGGACTTCTTGTGGCCATATCTCATACATCTTCTTCCCCACCAGGGAAGGAAAACTCAGATCTAAGCCGCCATGTCCCTCCCAAACCCCCGCAGAAGGTCTCCGGTGACTCGCCCGGGAACCGATTGCGAACATGATCTTTCTCTTAAGACGGCTGCCATCCTTCGCAAGGGTGCCACCTTCCACTCTCCTACCTCTCCCACTTCTTCCAACGACGACTTTGTTCCTCCTCGGCTAGAGAGATCCCAATCAGACTTTGATGATGTTGTCGATGCCAGCCGGCGTCGCATTGCCCTGACTCTAAACGACATCGACGAGGCCCTCTCCCAGGCAAAGGACCTCTCCCTGTCCGACAAGAGCCCCCGAAGCCAGACCCTTCGGGACACAAGCTTGCCTGTTCCTCGAGGCTTCCTCGAGATGCCTGTTGTCGACCCCTCCATGGAGCGACGCGTTCTGCGCCCTCGCTCCGTTCGACGCTCACGAAACCATGCCTCTGACAGCGGCATTGGCAGCTCGGCCGCCTCTACCAACGAAAAGGCCGCTGCCACAGACTCTACCAAGAAGCCCCAGGTGTCCGCCCTGACCAGGTCGGCTGCCTCTAGCACCACCAAGATGCTTCCCACCCTTAGCCCTCGGGCCATCAATCGCATCCGCGAACACACTCTCCGTCCTCTTTTGGAGAAACCCACGCTCAAGGATTTTGAGCCCATTATTCTGGATGTGCCTCGACGCATTCGATCCAAGGAAATTATTTGCCTGCGAGATCTCGAGAAGACCTTGATCTTCATGGCACCGGTAAGTCGACTTCTGACTGATGATGGTGTTTGGGGTGATGCTTATCGGTTGTTACGTCAAAAGGAGAAGGCCAAGTCCGCCGCCTTGTACCTTGATTTCTGCCTCACGTCCGTCCGATGCATCCAGGCGACTGTCGAATACTTAACCGACCGCGAACAAATCCGGCCCGGCGACCGACCTTACACTAACGGATACTTTATCGACTTGAAGGAGCAAATCTACCAGTATGGCAAGCAGCTCGCTGCCATCAAGGAAAAGGGCAGCCTCGCCGACGACATGGATATTGACCAGTACGTACCCTGCTTTATTCCTCTCATCAATATAGAGAGCCCTACTAACGACCCGTCAAGATCTGACGAGGTCCGACTCTACGGCGGCATCGCTGAGAATGGCCGCCCTGCTGAGCTTGTCCGCATCCGAAAAGACGGCACCGCTATTTCAATGGCCACTGGCAAGGTAGTTGACATGGGGGAATCTCCCGCACCCATGAAGCGCTCACTGAGCCAGCAGCGCGAGGATGAGGAGGAGATTATGCGATCCATGGCCCGCCGGAAGAAGAACGCCAGCCCGGAAGAGCTGGCTCCCAAGAAGTGCCGTGAGCCCGGCTGCACCAAGGAGTTCAAGCGCCCCTGCGACCTCACCAAGCACGAGAAGACTCACTCTCGTCCCTGGAAGTGCCCCTTCGCCACTTGCAAGTACCACGATTATGGCTGGCCCACCGAGAAGGAGATGGACCGCCACATCAACGACAAGCACTCCGATGCCCCTGCCATGTTCGAGTGCCTGTTCAAGCCCTGCCCCTACAAGTCGAAGCGTGAGTCAAACTGCAAGCAACACATGGAAAAGGCCCACGGCTGGACCTATGTCCGCACCAAGACCAACGGCAAGAAGGCCCCCAGCCAAAACGGCTCTGTCGCCCAGCACACTCCTCCTCTGGCCAGCGTCTCTACTCCTTCTACCACCCCGACCTACAGCGTCTCCACGCCTCCACAGGAGGGCACTCAGATCATGACCAATGATTTCCCTCTTTACCCCGCCGAGTCGGACTGGCTTGCCACCTACGGCATGCAGCCTGAGACCATCGATGCCATGGACCTTGCTCTCGAGAATCCTTCTCCTTCTTCTGCAGCATCCTCGTACGAGCAGTACCCACCCTACCAGAACGGCTCCACCTTCATCATCAACGATGAGGACATTTACGCTGCCCACGTCCAGATCCCTGCTCAGCTCCCCACCCCCGAGCAAGTCTACAGCAAAATGATGCCTCAGCAGATGCCAATCTACCACACCCAGCCACAGCCCTGTGCTACCATCCCTGCCATGGCACAGCAGCAGGAGTTCTCTCCCAACGCACAGCAGAATGCAGTTCTCTACACACCAACCTCACTGCGTGAAGTCGATGAGGGTTTTGATGAGTCCTTTGCTTCTGACGGCGCTGACTTCCAACTGTTCCCGGCGTCACTAGACAAGACCAATGCCGCTTTCCAATCTCTGTTTACAGAGATGCCAAGTGCCAACCTGGGCTTCTCCCAGGCTACACAGCCAGACATTTTCCAACAAATGGACTGCTGGAACCTTGACTACCAAGGATTCCAAGAATAAACAAAGAAATAAAAAGAATGACAGAATTTCCCCAAGAAAGACGACAAAGACGTCTTGCATTGCTATCAACACTTTACTCATTCACCACTACACCTTGTTTTAACGATTTTACGAAAAGATTTCGGCAGTTTTTAATGATTAAAAGGGTTGCCTTGTGTATTAAGATTTTTTTTTTTCCATTCTACTCCTTCATTCTCATTTACACTTGAGACGTTTTATGTGGCACAGAAGCATACAAGAACAGCTAAAGGTTTGGCCATTCGGGCCACTGAGGAAGGACTACAGCTAGCTTTGGGTATGAATAGGGATAAGCACTGCGATCTTCTAAGACGCTGATATGTTGCTACCTGGAGTAAAGTTTTGACTTTTATTTCAATTCAATAAGAATTATTAGAAGATTTTGTGTGCCTCTTGCTTGTGATATGACTTGTTGACTATCTATAAGATAGCCTATAACTAAAAGGTAGTAAGTAGAGCCTGATTGATATACAGTAAATAATAGCGCTGATACAAAGGAAGCAAAAAATCTAGCAGCCAAAAAAGACTGTCAAAAGTAAAGTCTCCGATACTGGGAATCGAACCCAGGGCTGCTCGGTGCTTCAAATACAAGTTGAGAGCGAGCGATGTTAGCCACTACACCATATCGGATATGAAGAGTTGAGCGATGATTGTCACTTGACTCGTTGAGAGGTGGGAACGTGAAGTAGTTGATAACCTCTTTGCTTGAGAAATCTCGGCTAGAGTTGAGTGGAGTTTGAGTTGAGGTATCTAGTGTGGTGGAGTGGGAAAAAAGACATGATTCGCGAAGTAGTGCTAGCTTGGAAAGAGTAAAAGAGACAGAAAAAGCGGAGAAAAGAGAAGAAGAGAAAGAAAGCCGGATGGGCTGTGTGAAAAGAAGGGCCAAAAAGCAAAAGTTAAGGTGTCTCCGATACTGGGAATCGAACCCAGGGCTGCTCGGGTCATGAATGAGAGCGAGCGATGTTAGCCACTACACCATATCGGATTTGTTATTGACAAGGGTGGTGTACTTGGAGTATAGGAATGGATGGTCAGAGACGTGAATATCATTTGGATAATTCATGGGCGTTTAGTTATGAGTTATATATTCATTCACAATGTCGTAGGTTAGCTGTATACACATTCTATTGACAGAGCCAAGGTTGTTTCAAGCATTCATCCCAACTCATTCTTCTGCTAAAAGCAGCGACCAATTAACGAGATGCTGCAGCTGTATCCAGATCACCTAGTATCCCTAGTTGAGAGCGGTGATGTATGACCACTGCTCAAAAGGAGTGCTCAAAGTCAAGAGACCACCTTCTGGGCAGGCACCATCTCCGAGCAGGGCGTTGGCGTTGACCTGTACATAAGTGACCCCCGTGTTAGTTGAACTCACAAGTGGCAGAATGGTGGAATTGAAACATACGTTGCAGAGATCCTCGGTTCGGATGGCATGGAGACCCTTTTTGTTTTTGTACGTTAGCACATATTGATCTTTTCTTCAAGAGCGTGCTTGCGGAACAAGAAATAAGCTAGGCATGAGCTACTCACCACCTCGAGACCGTAGAGCTTGCCGTCATCTCCCAAGATACCGTCGGTGAGCGCAGTCGTGGCAATTTGAATTCCGTTTCCTTGATCAGTGGGAGATGGGAAGACCAGCTGAGAGCAGAGAGTGGCGGCCCAGTTGAGCTTGATTGAGACGTCGAGATCCAGGATGTTTTGCGGGATGGTTTCGGGCTGGCCAGGAATGGGGTAGCAAAACCTTGAGTCGGCTCTGGCGGAGAGCGCGAGGGCGAGGGTGGTGAAGATGGCTGTTGTGAACTGCATTGTGAAAGGCTTGTGGATGAGATTTGGTTGTGTTGGAAGTTCGAAAGGAAAGTGTTTAGGCGGGAACAAATAGATGTTTATATACGCGTGTGTATATTCACAACTCTTTGACAACTATTGTTAACTAGATACATTTGGTAAGTTTCCTTGCCTGCGGATAGTCAGTTACACCGATTGACAGGAGAACAAGCTTCGTTGTGTTTAGAATATCGTCCGCATTAGGAAGGTTACAGTAAGCTTATGTTGTTTAAGCTATGCGAATAATAAACTTTCCTGTCTTGGCGGAGAGTAGAAGGCAGACCTCTCCAATAGGAAACTACACGCGAGATGATTTGGTGAACCAAATCCGCGATACTAATTGTTTCTTTGATGAATGAACTGCACGGAATATTCATGTGCTGCAGACCCCGCGCAGTACGTGATGGAATCAGTTCATTGAGTCGATATTGAATTAAGCCTATAGAAATTTATTTTACCCGTGCCTCGTATAATCTGCTCAACTGCTCTGGAAAATCTAAGACAAAACATTAATTGGTCATTCGTCTACAACCTAGAACGAGATATATTACCGGATGAAGTTGGCGTATAGAATAATAGAATAATCTAAAATCCGGGCTGAATATGCAACAGCTCTCGACTTTCCTTTCATGGACAAAATGGATGACTACTCCACGAATACTAATCCAGATTATTTTTAGACACCCCTGAACCTGCCATGATGGTCAACCTTTGGCAGACCCTCGCTAATCTTGTAAATATCTAAACAGGCCCGAGAGCATACAACGTATGCTACATGGCAGTCACATGTGAAGTACACGATATAGGGGCATGCATGTCGCAAGCGGGCGCTGTGGATAGGATTATAAATGCGAGAATTGGCATCGTGGATAATAATCCGGACGAAATAATTGCCTAAATACAGATATACCTACATAAGGCAACTACTAGGTACAATATCACAATGGCTGTTTCGGCGATTTTGGTCTTTCTACAACGTGTCAGTACTAGGATGCCTGGCTGGTCTATTTATATCGCGGCAGGGACTGGATCGTTTCGCGGATCTATTTGATGAAGATCTTGGGTTCAGCCTTGAACTGGGTATAAGTAACATAGTTATGTAATATAAAAAACCATAGGGCTGTGAGTACTTGTGCAATTTGGATAAACCTGTTTGGGATTGTGTCCTGCCGGTTGGTGCATTCATATATTCCGAATAATCTTCCCGGCTAAAAAGATGTCTTGCATGCAAGTATACAATGACATGTCGGGTCAAATACGATGATGCAAAACGAGAAATATTGCCTGCTGCCTGGCTCTTTTTTTCTTGTATCTAATATCACGCTTCCTAGCGATTCTCGGCTGTAATAGATCAGAAGAGTACCAGCTGATACCCTCATAGTAGGACAATCCAATAGAGCAACTTTTGAGAGTAGGTTCAATTTCCCTTGACAGCCCCTTTCCCTGATTGATCATAGTCTTAGCTAATTGTATATCTTCTCTCGACTGCTCAGTCTAAACTCGAATGCGCGTCAACAAGGCGCTTCTTCTTCTGGCCATCTCCAGAAGTCCACCACTCTCTCACCCTATTCATGAATTTGATGGGTGCGTGTTTGTACGAAGAACCCTGACTGGCCACCTGGGCGTATGAAAGTTGGGGGAAGAGAGATGGCGACACCAGCTCTATGCTCCATCTTTGACCGCCGCTCCCCATTTTGAGGATTTTGTTCGCCGAGGAAGATAATAAGTCGTTGCCGTGAGATTCTCCCCGCCTGTGGCCACTGGTTCGTTTCCCATTACTCGATAAACTGTATCTGTTTCGATTAGAAGTTTGTACACGGTAGGGCCGCTCCCGAGAAGTCTCTTCTAGCGAAGTGTCTATGACATATTTGATATGCTTCAGGTTTTCGCCAAAATGCTGCAGCGCATATAGCTTTTTCACCAGAGCATCAACCCCTTGTTCGTCAAGGAGCACGTCCTCTGGACCAGAAGGCTCAAGCATATTCTGCTTGAACGTTTCAACCAGCTGGAGGTGGATCTGCCTGTCCTCCTGCAATGCTTCGAGGCGTTTCTTGTTCGTCGGTATGCCTCGTCGATTTGCGGTGTCAATAATGCCCTTTTCATCCTGAATGAGCATCTCAAGATAGTCCAGTGTAGCGTCGTTAATGACAGTGATTGAGTTCTCCCTCAGAAACAGACAAAATCGAGCCGCAGCACGTCGAATCTCGTCGAGCTCTTGTTTGTACTCTTCAATAGTTTTGTCCAGCCTAGCGATGCTTGTTTGTCGGAGCGTTACATCGTCTGCGTTAGACTTTAGTTGCCTCTCAATTTCGGTATCTGTGATTAGAGCCTTGGTCTCGGACAATTCGTAGAGAACGTGTAAATGCTCTTGCCATCGATGGCCGCATAGCCTGCAAACATTGCTGCCACCAAAAGCATAGCAGTGTATGAGACCTGGATCGGCGACGACGTCTTCTTTGACATTGTCCAGGTAGCATTCAGGGTGGCAGTGCGTCTTGTAAATGGTGACAACTGCCCCGTCTCCAAGACCGCTATCCTTAAAATCACAACAATCATGCTTCTGGCAGACCGTGCGAGGTCTATCCAACTTCTTGGCTACGAACTGGATCTTCTCTATGCGAAGCCTCTTGCGAAGGTTCGCCGCAGTCAATTTTGTGCCATCCAGCTCCGTCCTCTGGTCAACGCACAACGTGATGTTTTTTCTGATAGATTCTGCAATGCTCGCCATTGGTTTCGTGAGTTCCAATATCAGCTTTCGTGCTCCATTTAGGCTAATTGTGCTGGCAACGGGATGGGGCGGTGTCGATGCGAAGTAATTGAGAAGCCTATGCGCCTCTTTACTCGAGTGATCCCAGCTTGCGCGGAAATCTTCTTCACTGGGGAGCGGCACTCCCTGCTTATACGCTGCAAGGTAGCGGAAGCTTTCAGAGTCGAAACAGTATGTAGTTGTTGCTGAGAGTGTAATGGGAATATCCGAGTGCTCATCAAGGAGTGACTTGAGTGGCTTGAAGGTATCTCCAGGGGCGTAATTGGATATGCGCGTGTTAGTGAACCCAAAGGCCATACTTTTCGCAGCACTACGGTGGAGATGAGTGAGGAGTTCCTTGACGCAGAATCTGAAAGTAATGGTAAGGCGAGCGTTGTTCGATTTGACCAGGACTAGAATACCGTGCAGTTGTTCGTAGCTGCTGATGGCTTTCAGGATATCGGCCATGTTCTCCTTATCGTAAGACAGGCCTCGAGTATCCCCAATTCCTGGCGTGTCAATCAAGCGATATGTCTTTGTCCCAATTTTCACAGTGTAAACAGATGACTTCTGGGTTGCCGACTTCCCCGTTGAACCATCCACTTCATCATCACGAGCGCCAACCTTGACATTGTATTCTTGAATTCCTGCAGACAAATTTGCTCTGTCCATGGTCTGAAGAGAGAAAGAGCACGGTATCACAGATGTGAGCTCATCCACATCTATGGCTTCATCCAGTGTTGAATAGGTCAAGTAATTGACGAAGGCATTGATAAATGTCGACTTTCCCACTCCAGTTTCTCCGAGAATGAGTATGTTGATGAAGTCAGCCTCATCCAACCCGGTCAAGATTTTGTGAAGCTCCTTTGCATTATATCTTGTGTATGTAGCTCCGTGCTTGGGATCGTTACATTTAAACTTGAATGTGCTGTAAGCGGCCCGGCCACATTCGCAGTAGAAGTGTTCGTCGCTGTATCCGAACTCAATCTCGACAAAGCATACTGGACAGATCCATTCCACACATCTAGAATCACAGTTTGGTTTGGGGCAAGGTACCCTAACAATGCATCTCTTGACTGGTCGTTGGCGCCTACTAGTATCCAGAGCAGCACCATGAGGTTGAGCGAAGCATTTTGAAGACAGAAACTGGCGGTAACTGAGAACATCGGGAATAGTCTCCTTCTCGCCCTTGTACTGGGATATGCATGGTCCGGCATCAGGGCAGAAATAAGAGTCTACCGAGTCATGATCTAATAGATAGACTGGCATATGTTGATCTGGCTGACTGAGTAAATCCAACAACAAAGCGACGTTATCCTCCCATTGTTTCTTTTGGTCCATTGACGCAGAACTGAAATGAAATACATAAAAATGGTCGTCTTTGTGAGACTTGTTGACTGTCTCTGGAGAAATCCCGTTGAAGCCCAAATATCTTGCGCCTTGTGCAGCAACGCTGCTGATGAAATTGAGCTTGCTAGATTCCTGGCCAATAATGGCGGATGCATGCTCTACAGTAAATTCTCCCGAAGTGGCTTGTTGATATAGGTCAAACAGCATCGAAGGCCCTCCCTTTCCCTTTCGTGCCTCCTGCAAGACATAAGACAGCCGTTTAACCGTCCGGTTTCTGAGGTCTTCCAAAGCCTTCATAGAAGTAATAACTTGATTGAGATGATCTTTGCTAGTGTGCATCATATGGCCTACTAGGTAGGCATCATATTTCTGGAGTCCAACTGCGGAGACCTCAAATTGGTCAAATAGCTGAATGAAGGCAGCAAGATAATCATTCCTGATTGGATTAAGAGTATACCGAAATCCCAGCGGGAGCGAAACCATGTATGAAAGTGCCGTGATGGGGATCAAGGTGTATTCTATTGGCCATCCCTTTCCGCCATTCTCTCGCCGAATATGATCTGGTACAATTCGGATGAAGTTGCAGATCTCCGAAACGTCTTGCATAACAAGACCTTCTTTCTCAAGAACATCGCTATAGAGCGTGAGCTCGCCGCAAATCTCCAGTTTAGGAGGTGTTTTAGGTGTGAGAAAGGCAGATTCGATAGCGTAAGTCAGAGTATTCAGATCTCCTTGAAAGGTGATATCATCCTCTTCGGGTCGACTAGATTTTCTTGACATGGGACTATTGGCTGCAATGACCGTCTTCAAGCCCCAGTTGATTCCAATCACGACGTGAGTGCAGTCACTTTTCCCCAAAGGCGTCAAGTCGCTACATGACTTGAATGCTTCAATCACATTGTCCAGTGTCTGCTGCACTGTCGAGACATGATGAATGATGGCGGCACGAAGATCTCCTCCGCTGGGCGTGAAATCACGAATGAAAGCGGCGGCGCCTTGCAGATGAAGTAACCCGGCAAGAATGTTGACCGCAGTGTCTTCGTCTATATGGAGATCTTTAAAGATATCCATGTATGAGGCACATTTTGAGAGGGTGATTTCTGTGGTAGCGGTTGGCCGTGTTGATACATAACTGGCCAGTAGGTTGGAAGATAGGATTGAGGCTTGTAGAAATTTATCTGCTTTCGCATCATAGAGAGTGCCGATTTCTGCAACTCGCCTGAGGGCTGGGCAAAGTGGATCTTCCATTATTGTTGTAATTTGTAACTCTCGGCTATGAGATAACAACAATGAGGATTAGGAATCCAGCTTCTAGTAGGAAAGGCTCTGTTACAGCTTGTAAATGATGGGTAGACAACCTTTTATATAAAGGATCTATTATACTGGTTGAGTTGCATAAATACTTGCCCAGCTCTCAAGGCCTTCCAACTCATCTTCAGACATATATGTGGGAGGCCAACAACTGGCAGAATATCATTTTTATGGCTTGTGACATGTATATCTTTTAAGAGGAGTCACAAGCCCATGCATTTGAGCCTAATATGCAGACAATACGGTTCGAGGCCGACCAACGCAGGTTTCTGCATGATGTTGCATGCATAAGGCATGCATGCGCATTGATCCTATATACAGTGGGAGGCCTACGCTCGTCATGTGTAAGCTTTCAATTGGCCCGCGTGAAGCCAAATGCAACAGACACGGTGAATAAGATATATGCTGTCGCCTTATCAAGGCGAATTGTAACCAATACGGGCTTTTACATGGCCAAAAGGACGCCCGGTTAACAAGGGAAGAGTTCATATCTCGTTTCTTTCCCGAGTCGATTTTCTCTTAACCAGTGAACGTCTAACACGATAGCTTTACCCCCGTCGAGCGGAATACGCGGCACATTGGACAAGCCTCTAAGATATGTAAATGTTGTCATGATGATATCTGAAATCTGATTACTCTTGCAATATACTTTACTTACTGTTGTCGGACATGACGAGCCATCGGATCATTATGAGCTTTGCTGAGCCGGCACGTAAAGCACATCTCTTGTAGCTCTTGGAAAAGCTTTTGGCTATGAATAATGAGGTTAAAGTTGAACGTATTGTCTAAGAAGACCACGGGTCAATGGTTAAAGTATTGATTTCTATCGCAAAAATAAACTACTAGAGTCATGACTGAGTATTTACTCGAGTATCCGTCAGTATCTTGCCCACGATATCTCCATCGTCCACATCGATAATAAAGTCACGTAGGTCGTCTTGTTCTGTAATCTCCTCATCGTCATCGAGGTACACATCCAGAACAATACGCTTCACCTTTTCTGCGCCAGCCATCAAACTACGAGCCCCCAGCTTGACGTGGTAGTGAGACTTTGCAAGCGTTGTGCATACAGTACCATCTCTCCTAATCAGCAATCTGATGTTACCAATGAGCCTCTCTGATGGGTTCTTGATCAGGCAAATTGGAAGGCGCAGATCTTGAGCCAATTCCAATAAGCATTTGTGTGTGATGACAGCTTGTTCACCAGTCGAAAAGGGTAGCAGAGGAATGAAATCTGAGATGCGGCCAGTAACGGGTGCCTATATGCCTAGATTAGCAACAAGTAGCACATATTTAGAAAAAGCAAGCAAGCTAAACCTACGCCAAATTGCTGTAAGAAGCTCTCTCGTAACTGCTGTGAGAGTTTCCTGACTTGTCGAGATTTCTCGTCTCCGTCATCGCCGGCTATAGCCTCATTGTCTTCACAAAAGTCCAAGATTGTGTTGTCCAGTGCATTCGTTGCTAGTATCCATATAGTTTTTGAGCAATCAATCTTTTCACCATTGCGCCTGTCTTGATACTCGCCTGTCAATAGTAATTAGCTTCCTGACACTTAAAAAAAACTGAGTAATTAAGATTATTGTCATACCATTGTCAAATGGGAGTAGTAGAGATGAATGTATCTCCTTGGTCGTCTTTTCAAACTCGTCTAGGAAGACAATGCACCTCTTCCTAGAATGCCCAACGAGAAAGTTGTTCACTGCTGAGCCCTTGTCGTACCCCTGATAAGGCCTTCTCGGACCAAACAGCTCCATTTCATGAGTAAACGTGGTACAATCAACCACCTCCAGATCCAAGGAGAGTAAGTGGCCGAGCTGTCGAGCTAGCTCAGTCTTTCCGTGACCACTTGGCCCAGCAAAACACAAAACGAGTGGCTTTTTAGCTGGTAGCATCATATGAATGAGCAGTTTTTGAACAAGTAACTCCGTGGCGACAGATTGTCCAATGAGAAAATATGGAATGCCTAAAAGTCCCTGGCACTTTTTGAGTCGTGCAATCTGTCGTCTCTTGGTAGAGGGTGGCTTCAACTTTGTAGATTTTTCCAAGAAATATCGATGAGTGAGATTGACATTCTTAGAAAGCCTGGCTTTTATCTCTGGTGAGCACCAAGCGACCTCTTCAGTCACCTCGGAGTCTTGCTGTCCAGAGCTGGTTGCATTATCATGTAGATAAGGTGTATATAAGTCCTTGGGAATAGCGCAAGGCGAGGCTCCTTTACTGAGGAGCACGCAAACCATATTTGCCGTGTCAATTTGCAGCGTTTCACTGCACATGATTGTAAACGCCAATAAAGGGACATTCAACGGCTCGTATACAGCGTTCGGGCTCGCTCCGTACTCGATGAAGAGTCGCACGATGTCTTCACTGTTGGATGCAACGGCGTAAAATATGAGTGGAAAGCCCTCAACTGTGGTGTTCATATTTTGCTCAGTCACCGCTGTATCACAGAGATTCAAGTAGCTTCGGATATGAGAAGCTATAGCCCCATGTTGAATAGCCGAAGCGAGACTATACGAGTCGAAGTAGTCCATGTCTCCTAAAGACATATCAAGTAGACTCGGTAAAATAAAGTCCCATTCTTTGCCATGGCCATCGTGTGGCGCAAGTTTAGCAGACACCTCAACTTGCTCAACTTGCTCAACTTGCTCAACTTGCTCAAGGACTTTGACTTCCGCCATGGGAACTTTTGGGTCGGAAGGGGGAGTAATCGCTTGAGAGCTTGAAAAGGATCCCAGAGAGAGATCGCTATGCCCATCACTAAAGGAAAGTGCTAAATCCTCGTGCGAGTCCTGAGCGTATACTTGGTAAAGATCATGATGTTTCTTCGCTGCATCCACATTATTATTGCAAATCTGTAACATATAGTTAGTAAACATGGAGATTCGAGGTTTTGGGTGTATGGCTCACGCTGAGTAAATCGATAGCTCTCTGTCTGGTGCAACCGCACTCTTCCATCAAGGTCCTGATGGGGTGACTGTCTTCCAATGCTGAATCCATTTCCGTCCAATAGATTGATTGAGTATCTGACATGATGATAGAATCGTAGTGTTTTCGGCGCGATGCAATCGCTGGAAGGTGGGAAATGCTCCTAATCCTTTTCTATTAGGATTATTAAAGACCTTGAAATTATCTACATGTACGCATTAGAGAAGAGTTGTAGGCCTCCCGGCGACAGTATCTTGACAGTCTCCGCATGAAAGATATGTATGGATGCCCAATTTTATAATCACTATTTCCTCCATGCATCATCATTAAAGTGTGTGTAGGTCTGCGTCGCTACGAGCATGTACACGTATTTCCCCCGCTTTCTGCAGCTTTGCGACGAGGCTGCGGGAGGCCTTCAACGCAGCCGTTTATCTGAAGCCAATCACATATCATGGACGTAGGTACGTGCAGTGTGGCGTTGAATTGATACAATACGCCCGGCCAACGCATTTTAAAGTAGCAAGTCTGCAGCTAACAAATGTATTTTATTGGTCAGATTCTCAACTGCAGCTATAGTTACAGTCCGTAACTGCATCTATCCTATCATCCACTACCTATTCCCATGCAAGCATGACACCATCTCTCACGACTTCATGCCGGCGGCCTTCAAAACTTCCTGCGATTAGGCTGTAGCCCCAACCCCGAAATCAGTGCTGTCTGTTCTTCAAGCATCTTTTCGGTGGCCTGCAGCGAGAGCTGGAGGTCCTTGTTGGCAGCCTGCAGATCTTGACACTGCCTCGATACTCGTTCTCCATTAGTTTTGTGAAATTCCAAAAGTCTCCGCAGTTCGTTCACTTCCTCATCAAGAGCTGGCTGCAGTACGCCAATCCGTTCAACTTGCTGTTCCTTTGTCACTGCCGCGTTGCTATTTTGGAGATGGCCGTGAGCTTTGTCCACGAGTTGTCCTAACTTTTCGTTTATTTGCGCAATATAGGCATCCTTTTGCGCAACTTTTTCCTTTTCTTCCTCTAGGCGTGCTCGAGTAGCCATCAAATCTTGTACCAGTCTGTCGGCTCCGCGAAGACTATCTCGGGGCTTCTGAGCCACTGTCGTTTCCCAGTGAGAGTGAAAAGGATTTGTTTCATCCTCCTCAAGCATTGAAAAATCCGTCACTGTCCAATTGTTTTCGTCGATGGAAGTCCCAGGCCGAAAAGAAGGTGCGCGTCTGGGAACTATGTCTGTCATGGTAGACTCCGTAACAAGGTTTGAGGAAATTGACGAGCGGGATGAGGCACCTAGCATAGCCATGATGTAAATATATGATATCGTGACGGCAGTGAAAAGAGCTGAAGGCATGGATAATGGAGAGATGAAATGGTGCAGGTAGAATTTCAGCCAAGGCTGTTGAATTTATACTGATTCAAGATGCTACTGTATACTGTCATTGGCTCCACTTTCATCACTTGTAGCTGCTTCTACTATTTGCATCGTAACGTGCGGAGTACTGCATAAGTCTTGCATTAATGCAGTGCTGTTGGTACATATTGACCAACTGATGTAGTAAATTTGGAGGTACTCTTGAAGTGGCCTTGTGTTGGGCAGCTTGGCTGGCAATAGGCAAGAAGCAAGAGATGCTGAACGCTTGGGCATTGACTTACAAGTATAACAAATGGAAGAGAAAAGATGGGCTAATATCACGCTAAAAATGGATAAAGAGATATGTTTCATCTGAAAGCTGAATGAAAAACAAGCTCTATAGAGATTTGTAGTTCCAAGATCTATAAAACACCTGCGCCTATGCTACAAGAACAGCCGAATAACTCCACCAAGAAAATCGGGTATATTAAATGCGACAAAGTTGAAGTCTCCATGCTGAGACTCATATTAATAATTTAGCATTCGAGAGCAACGTCCTTGACGATGACGTCGAGCACAAGGCCGGTGTCGCCAGTAACTTGAATCTTGCCACTACGAAGACGATGAATATTAGTACGGCAATTGGGAAAAATCATCAGACAACCGTGAAACTCACCCCTTGGAAGTGCCATCGTTGCGATCGCACTCATCCAGAATGCTCTGTACAGCAAAACGCAGGTCATTCTGGTCAATGTGTGTGTTTTGCCATGAGTAGGTGTTGGCAAGACAAGCTCTGGCGCTGCCCATGCTGAAGCTGGCGGTATGTGAAGCCTCGATGAGGAAGGGAAAGTCTAGCTGAGGGTTGAACTTGTTGCCGGCAATCTCGTTTTGCAGCTTTCTACCATCGGAAACGGAGAAGCTGGGAATGGAGGCGTCATCATGCGCGTAGCAGTCGGCGGCCGCAGAGCCCAGAGTGAGGAGGGAGAAGAAAGCGGCAGCTCCCTGGACGTAGACTGAAGAGCGCATCTCGGCTTATGTAATTCTTGATTCGTTTAGATGACGAGAAGCAGCCTTGATAGTTACAATGAAGCTCAAGTTGTAAAGTTGCTGTTGTTAATGGTTCTTGGAAGGGATCTACAATTTGCTGGGCTTGAATACCTTTATAACTACACAACAGCCATAGCCACGATTCTTCACTATCCATGCTCGTGAGATTATAGCGATAGTCTAGTTCTATCGACACAATGCACCATAGCCCAAACACCATGGTTCGTGCCAGGCTATTCTTGGACGAGCTTTACTCAGTGGTCGAGAAAGCCTCGAGCTAGATCCGTCTGACGCCAAAAATAGCACGGAGGGCGACGCTGCCGCATGATTTCGGGCCAGGCTAACCAGCAACGCTCTAGACTGCACTGCTGCCCAATTAGTAAAGCAGAGCTATTTCTAGTGACAGCATCTAGAACAGGGCCAACGCAGAATCAAGCAGTGTATAAGCCAAATAGCGTCCGTCTTGTCGAGTTAGACTCTGACGTGAGATGCCAAAACTTTAGGGCTAATGCTTCTGCTGCGGCACTAAAGAGAGCATGTACCTGGGCGGTTCTGGCTTCAAGTTGTTTACTTCAGCTTGGTGCCCATACTGGCCTCTCCCTCTATATAAGTGTATAAACGGATATTGGCGATTATTAATCTTTAGGCTCTACGGGGTAATCGAGTAACCTTTCTATTGTGGCATACACTAGCTTATTGCCTCGGCCTATGCTTATGTCTATCACATGAATGGCTCAGGCACAGGAAACAATCTTGTTTGAGAATTAGCTATAAGTCTCGCATTCCGCATGCCAACTATGGATCTTGGAAGCCACAATCTAGATAGCCGATGCTAGCGCTATCTTTAAGATGTGACATCTTGAACATATGAAAGCACTGGTTTCGAAATACTCTTGGTCCATGGATGTCAAAGTATCATGAATTGTGCTTTGGGCGCGCTGGGCCGAGAAAATACCACGTAACTCCAACAGAGCCGAGGATGCCGCCACACTTCTACTCCAACTTTTACCCCAGCAATAAGATCTTAGCATTATAAGTATGAATTAAAAGGCAACTCAAGACACTACAGTCACGTCTTTCATTCAAACGTGTCCCTCTCATAACCAGCATTTCATCCATTTCATCTGCATTGGATAGCAGCTCACTTACTGCGGGTATTGTTCACGCTATTTCATAGCTTCTCTCCTGGCTCTTTGGACGCCACAACACCCCAGAAGAGTAGCACATGCTTCAAAAGTCTTGATAATATGAAGGTCATTATTATTGGCGCTGGCCTTGGTGGTCTTACCGCCGCTTACGCCTTGGCTAAAAGCGGACACGACGTGCAAGTCCTTGAGCGCAGCTCCAAGCTCAACCCTACAGGAGGCGGCATCAGCATCCGGCCGAGCGCAAGCAAGGTCATCCAAAGCTGGGGTCTTCAGCAGACCTTGGAGCAAATCAGCGACAGATCGCCATACGTGAGCTATCGCGAGCTCAACACCGGAGAGGTCCGAACCACCGTCGTCGATGACCCCAAACATGCCGACTGGGGCACCACCAGGCGGGCCATGGTCAAGTTTCTGTACAAATTTGCAACCGATGCTGGAGCCCGCGTTCGCCTAGGCGCAGCCGTGACTCGAGTTTCCGACGACGCGACTCGAGCTTCTGTGACGCTGGAAGGCGGAGAGGAGCTATCCGCCGATCTGGTCGTGGGTGCGGATGGCATCAAGTCATATACTCGTCGAAGCGTCTTGTCAGACCTTGGCTCTCCCGAGCAATGGGAGCCCATTGTCGACCACACGACGTTCTACGGCTTCAGCGTGGCAGCAACCGATTTGGCCAGCGACCCCAGCTCGACGAAGCTGACGGAGAACACAAACATCAACACCTGGAAGGGCGAAGGCGGCTTCGTAGTGACTCGCTATAGCGCTAAATTTAATCGCGTGGGCCTCCTGTTTGCCATCCAGGGAGAAACTGACCAGAAGGGCCTCTGGGACGAGAACGGCGACATCGAGCATGTGCGTCGCTTCTTTTCCTCGTCGTGCAGCGACATGATCAAGGCCTTGAAACTCGCCGACGCCTGCGATCGCTGGAGAGTTGCCGAGGTGCCGAATCTCCCTCGCTGGTCGAGCAAGGCTGGCCGAGTCGTGCTGCTGGGCGATGCCGCCCACGCAATGCATCCCAACGCCGCTCAGGGGTACTCGACCATCATCGAAGATATTGGCGTTCTGCAGCTCCTCTTGTCTAGGTCTGCAGAAGCCACGGTGCCGGAGGTGGTCAATGTCTGGCAGGCGATTTGCAAGCCCAGAGCAGAGCGAGTCAAGGAGTTCTCGCGGTGGAACACCAAGCATCTGTCTGGAAGGACTGAGCATGCCATTGGCGTTTCTCACGCAGACAGCGTGCTTGATGGGGTTGTACCGGATGGAGATGCGGAGTTTAGCAGCCTGGAATTTTGGAAGTGGAATGTCGAGTATGATGCTCTTGCTGAGGTATGTCTGCTGTATATGTTTACCCTTCCATCTCTCTCGTGCGGTTGGATACTAATACGAAACTACTCATTTTAGGCAAAGAAGTATCTTGAAAAGAACAAGAGCCTCTCAAAACTATAAGTTTGGGACATGACGCATAATTTCTTTTGATTTTAGTTTTGCGTACAGGTGTAGGTTAGCGCCTGTATGGAAAAACATCCGAGAGACGAATGAGAGCAATGATTCCAGATACAAATGTACATACAAATATAAACATGCAGACAGATTTCCTCCCTTGAAAGATACGGCCATTGTTTGGCCAACGGTTCTTTTATAGATCAGTTATGAGTTTACCAATGTTGCTTGAACCGAGTAATAAATCGGTGGGATCAAGTGTGAATTAGACACTCAATGTCATTTATTCGGCAGAATATCGGCGCAACGTGGTACACTTCTAGTGCCTGCGTTGCGCACGGCTTTAGCGCTCTGCCCTGAATTTAATCAGAGCCATCGACGTGATCCTTGTCAATGCAATATCTCGCGTGGAAGTTCATTTTCTTCCACGGCCTACAATGTGCGGCATCCACGCTGCCATATCAGCAGATGCAGGCTATCACAAACTATCTCCAGGACTCGAGCAAAGGCTTCGCAACCGTGGCCCTGACCATCTCGGGGCTGTGAAGACGCAGCTCCGTCAAGATGATGCGAATTCCCTCTATCTGACTCTGACCTCTACGGTTCTGTCCCTGCGCGGAGACCACGTTGCGAGGCAGCCGCTGGTGGACGAGGACTCTGGATCTGTCCTTTGCTGGAACGGTGAAGCCTGGAAGCTTGGTAGCAAGCCTGTCGAGGGCAACGACGGCGAGGCCATCTTATCCATGTTGATCGCCGCGAGCAGCAACAGCTTAGGCGGTAGAGACAGTGTTCTTGACGCACTGCGATCCATTGAGGGCCCATTTGCATTCATTTTCCTGGACAAGAAAGCGAAACGGCTGTACTATGGACGCGATCGCCTTGGACGTCGGTCCCTGCTGCTGAAGAGAGGAGAAGAGTTTCTTCTCTCCAGCATCGCAGAGGCACCCGCTGTGGGATGGGCCGAGGTCGAGGCCGATGGTTGCTATACTATTCAGCTGAGTGAAGCCAACTCGCCGAAAGACTTGATGCCCGTGAGACATGACTGGGATCAGACCGAAGCTTTGGTAAGTGATTTACAAGTGCTCTCGCAGGATATTAAATTACTGCAGAGTGTAAGTTATTAACCGAAACTCGTGCTACTTACGTTTGTAGGTGTCAAGTATTGGCGTGTTTAATGCTTCTATCCCTACGTCTGCGACCACTGCGTTGAGTAGTCAGTCTCTCTCTGTAGAGCAGTTGCGAGACCATTTGACGGAGTCGCTCAAACTACGAGTTCTGCATGTCCCAGTGCCTCCAAAGGCAGGACCTTTGGACGCACGGGCTGCAGTACTGTTTTCAGGAGGTCTAGATTGCACGGTTCTCGCTCGAATCGCCAGCGACGTAATACCCCCCGGGCAAGCCATTGACTTGATTAATGTTGCGTTTGAGAACCCTAGAATTGCGGCACAAAACAGAAATCTATCAGCTGCCGAGCTTTATGAGCTATGCCCTGATAGAATGACTGGAAGAAAGTCGTTTGCGGAGCTGTTGGCGGTCTGTCCAGACAGGCCGTGGCGATTTGTGACTGTAAGGAACCCGACACATAATTTGAGTTGTGCAAGGCATTAATTGAGTTTGTTTAGGTGAACGTTCCTTATGAGGAGACGTCTGCTCATCGAGCAGAGTTGATAGACCTGATATACCCCCACAATACCGAAATGGATCTCTCCATTGCCTGTGCTTTATACTTTGCCGCACGAGGTAAAGGGATGGGGCAGTTGGCCTCGGATTCGGAGGCTGAGCCATATGATACAACTGCTCGAGTGTTGTTGTCGGGGCTTGGTGCAGATGAATTATTTGGCGGATATGTCCGACATGCAACCGCTTATACACGAAGCGGATATGCGGGCCTTATAGACGAATTGAAACTGGATGTGAGTCGACTGGGCAAGAGGAATCTAGGACGAGACGATAGGGTCATGTCGCATTGGAGCAGAGAAGTTCGATTTCCATTTTTGGATGAAAGCCTTGTGAAATGGGCGATTGAGCTACCTGCATGGAAGAAATGCGACTTTGATAACCAGGGCCCGGATTGTGATTATGACCCTGAGAAAAGGGTGCTGCGTCTCTTGGCGGACAGACTGGGCATGCGCTCTGTGGCTGCGGAGAAGAAACGAGCGGTAGGTGGTGACCCGATGAGGTACATATAAATTGCATGATCCTTACTAACTGTCTGCTTTTTTTTTTTCAGATTCAATTTGGAGCGCGAACTGCTAAGATGGAGAGTGGCAAAGTCAAGGGCACCACGCTGCTTCTCCCGTGAAGCATGCGAGATTCTGCATGTACATACATATAGCTATGCTACTAAAGTGAGGCATGGCGCATTTCTGAGGAGGAAAAAGGGCAATCTCGGCGGTGATGACACAACAGATACTTCCGAGCTACACGGCCGCAGACAGCATCAAAGGAACGGCTGTGCGTTTGCTGCTTCGCAGCTAACCCTTTCGTCCAGATGCCTGTCTGTTCCCTTTTAAACAAGTGTCGGTAGCAGTGACGTCGTAAAAGGCAAGTCTGAGTCGAGATGTCTGACCCCTTTTCTACTTGGCAGCAGCCTGGCTGGGGTTAGAAGCCACCCTAGGGCTGGCTTCTCGACAAATAAAATGAATAAAAATCGGTGAAGACTGACTCTCGAGTGCGTATTCAAGCTGCGTATTCTCTTGCTGGCCATTGGTCGTATCTGGGCCTGGAACGCTTTCCATCGTGATCGAACTCGTCCTTGCATTACTTGATACGAGCTAAAAAGAGCACACAGCACAACAGCCCCTACATGTATAATGCCAGCTACCAGAATCTTCGGCACTCAGGTAATACGGATTTGGACCGTATCTGCGAACCCCGCGTGTCAAAGATCAGATGCCGGGCGTTAACATCGGGAGCCCCCTAATCGGATGGGCGGGACCGGCAATAGCGCACGTTAGACAGGGGGCCTTGCAGAGAGTCCAGGGTTATAGCGCAGAAGCGGAATACGAAGCGAAGGAAGAGAGTCGATCGAAATATTCCGTAGCGATAGAATGGCTGTCTCGGACAGTTTGTTCCTGTCTTCTTTTTCTTTCTACGGCGTCATCCGTGTTTAACCAGCCATTGACGCCGATAGGCCTATGCAAGCATATATCAATGTAGCTCGGAGTAAGCAGAGACAATGTGTGTGGAGTTGTATTGAGATTTGCATTGTACATATGCAGATGCGAAGAATTCTTCTACACGTCATTCATTACAGCTCAGGTGGATGCCGTAGCAGTGATGAGTATTTCGGTTCATCGGCGCCAAGTTTCATCTTCTGCCGCTCGTGATATAAAAAGAAGTCTGTGCGAAGAGGGGAAAGTCCTAGGTGGGCTAATGGTCTGGCGACAGCTATGGGTGTACGTATGTTCTTCAACTCGTATATCACGATTAAAAAAAGAAAAAGGCCGCATCTATTCCTGTTCCTTCGTATAACGCGAGTTCTTTGTATGTATTTGTCTTGCGGAGTTTGTGAGCATTGCTGCAGTAAGCTGCCTGTATTTGTGCTGCTAATAATATCTCGGGTTTGAATATATCTCCGGGTGCGGGCACAGCAAAGGGGATTAGTTACCCTAGCCCAGCAGAACCAGGGGGAGTACAGCCTTGTATCCTTTAACCCTGTTCCTGTTCCTTTTCGTTTCTTTCTAGCTTCGTTTATAGCGTCTAGCGTGCGTCAACCGTTGTAGATGTCAACCGACTCGCTGCCCACGCATGGATCCACCTGTCTGATATTAGCTTGATCGTCAAGATGCCGTTCGAACTGAGACACGACTATCCATTGTGTTTTTGAGACATTACCAACATATCAACTGCTCGCACTAGATAGTAGTAGTACATAAGCTGTATTTCAATGACTTTTAAGAATTTCTGAGCAGCCGTTGCAACTCTCCTCCTTGCCATCAGAGATGCCAAGTGCGGATACGGAGGCAAGGTCTATCACATCTCAGTATTCTGCGAGATTGCTCTTTGAAGAGAGGACAAAGAAAAAAAAAGAAAGCCACGGTGGATACGTCACGCTGCCGAGAAGGGGCCTCGAATGCCGAGCCTCTTTCAGGTAATCTTATATTTTGCGGAATAAGCTAGCATTGTCTGTTTATAGTGGACAGGTAGATTCCGCATCCACTCCGACCATGATCACGATCCTAACGTATCATACCAACATGACACGATACTAACAAATCGATTACAATAAAGTAAACAGTTGTTAGTGTGTTAGTACTCCATCTTGGACAATACATCTCGAGAGTCAAACAACTCTCTCACTCTTATATCCATGCATTCGGTAACTCCGTACATACACCTAATCCAGCATGATACACATCAACCCTCCTTGCTGGCTTCCTCCACCTCTCCCGGACATCGACTCCGGGGCTCCGGACAACAGAACCATAGCCAGAGCTAGGGTGCATGCCGTGTCAACAGCGGTCCAAGCATCCTCCCCTGTTAGCCGTTGGCTGAAGCCCTGAGAGCAGGCAGTTCTCCAGGCAATCATACTGCACTGGCATACTGCGGAGTCCTGTCCATAGCAGCAGCTGTGATATAGCAACTCTATTTTGAGCCGTGAGGATTCGTTTCCCATCAAATTTCGGCAGGGATTGAAAGGAGTTCAAGGAATCGATCGAAAGAAAGAAAAGGAGCATCAATCACAAAATGTGTATATAAGTCAGTGTTGATCTTGCCCTCTTCTCATTTTCCCTTCCTCTTCACCCCTCACCCTCACCCTCATTCCTTCACCTCCCTCCAGAAGCCTTTGGTTTCAGTCACTCTTTTGACACCATCCCCAACTCACCCACCAGTCACTCATTAATTAAATTAATATCTTAATATTTCCAAAATGCGTTTCATCACTGCCGTTGTCTCTCTGGCCTCCGTGGCCTCCGCCGCCAGCGTCGCCGTCGGCGCCTGCGCTTCCGCCACGGCCAACCTCCAGCTCGGCAACCAAATCATCGCCGAGGTCTCGACCGACGTCAGCGCCGCCGTCAACCTCGCCGGCGGCTTCAAGTGCCCCAAGGGCATGGCCTACAGCCCCTGGGTCAAGGCCTGCGAGTGTCTTCCCGGCCAGAGCTACGACACCACCAGCAAGACTTGCAGCGGCAGCGCCCTGACCGGCGCCTGGCCGAGCCCCAAGTGCGATGCCACCGGTGCCAAGGTCGCCCTCGCTGCCTTCTGTGCCATCTCGCCCACTAAGTTCACCAAGTACGATGCTACCCACGCTTGGTGCCAGGTCGCTCTCGACACCTTCACCTTCTGTGCCGATGTCGACATCGAGGCTGAGATCAAGGCTCTTGGACTCGGCATCAACCTGGACGTCGAGCTCGACATCTCCCTGAGCGCCACCATCAGCGCTGCCCTCCGCAGCACCTCTGCCGGTCTCGCCGCTCTGTACATCGAGGAGCTCGCCCAGGCCGTCGTCATCTTCAACACCAACGCTTTCGGCTACGCCGTCGTCGCTGCTGACGTCGAGGCTTCGCTGACCACCAGCATCTTCGCCCAGCTGTCCGCCACCGCCTGCCTGCTCGGCCTCGGAAAGTGCCAGTTCGACTGCGTGTCTTACAACACCATGGGCTGCCACAACTACATTGACGTTGTCGGTGCTCTCGGTGGCCGTCTTGCCGGCTTCGTCGGCGTTACTATCCTTCCTGACGTTATCCTCAGCCTCAGCTCTACCAAGGTCTACGCCAACCTCGTTGTCAAGGACCTTCTGTGCGCTAGCCTCAAGCTTGACACTCCTCTCATCTCCCAGTACAAGTACACTTGCTAAATTAGCGGTGTAAACGTTTGACAGGGCCGAGGAGTGTTTGTGTCTTTTCGCGTCGGAGTGCAGCGGTAGATGGGTTGGCTGTGTTTGGAGAGCGGAGTAGAGTCTTTTTTTTGTGCATAAAAGAGCGAGGTGTTGGTTGAGTAAAATGGAGAGGAGTTGGATTCACGTCAATACGTCGGTAATGAGTGAAGCGTTCTCAGTTTAGCGGTTAGAAATAATTGGTAATATAATACACATAGATAGATTAATAGAACTGTTGTTGTGGTTCAGAAATATGTCGCTCTCCTTGATAACTCATAGCTGTGATGGTACAAACTGCCAACCATTATTCATAGAAACACCTAAAATCTCCCATAAGAAACACCGTCCCAATCAGGCACTTACAGGAATCGCTATTTGCTTGCCAAATTTGTCCACGCCAAAATGGCTAAATGCCTCCTCGTCATTATCGTCCAGCAAAAATGCTCGGTCTTCATCTTCTGGAGAAAGTTTTGCATACAGGCCTTCGCCGGCTTTTGGCCACAATGGCGGGAGAGCATCCCCATCGTCCATCATGGGCGATTCTTCGACTTGAATGATCGGCGCTATCTTGACCGTCTTTTTAGAAATCTTATGCTTGTTCTTCGTTCTTGACTCTAGGATGGTGTGTCCGTGGCGTGGCCGGGTGGCAGACCGGACATTCTGATGCGAGTGTTTTATCCTGTTAACTCTAACACTGCTGAGTGTATCCGCGTTCCAGTTCGGAGAGTCAAAGATTGGTAAGTCCGGATGTTTCTTGGCAACAGAGACCATGATGTCGACCAGCAACTGCGGCTTGAGCTGGTCGCAAAATGATAAGATGTTCAACAAGTCTGTCTTCTTTTTCCCATAAAAATACTCCGTCAACTATAGACCTGAGTTAGCTTCGCTTCCTTTTGATTCTCTTATTCATGTCTGCTTACCGCCGCATCCGATGCCTGTCCTGCCCAGAAACCAACATGCGCTGCGTTGGCCGGAACGGCATCTCTATTTAGAGTTGCCAAATTCCTAGCGCGCCTTCTTTCTAATTCATTCTGGTGCTGAGATTCTTGTTTGCTGTGATCCATCGCCTCAATTTCATTCGCACCCAAGCATGATGGACACGTAAACTTGAAAGTTTGTTGTGACTCTTCCTCTTTTATTATCGACGTCGACACACATCCTTGATGCCATAATTGAGAGCAGTTGCCGCAAGAAAGGAGAGGACTGAGTGATGCTGATGAACCTTGATGGCACTTGGAGCACACCATATAGCTGCTTTGCTGTGTGATGTTCAATGTCGCCGTCGTTGATAGTACGACTGCCGGCTGTGGAGCAGGTATAGGAAGTGACATTGTATTCTGGGTGAAATCATCCGCCTCATTCTGTTGCTCTCCCTTTCTCTTCAATCCCACCAGATGAGAGTTTGCCGCCATGATATTCTCAACACTGCCAAACGACGGGTGGTTTGGTGATAGGGGCATTGGTAGCGTGTCACTCAATCTTGAATCCCGTTTCTCCTCCGTCTCTCTCCCCCCATATGAAGTTTGTGGTGCATCGTTAATTAAACCTGACGAATTTGAGCTTTTAGGTCCCTGTGCATTTTTTAAACGATCCAAAATCCACGAAGCCGATGAGAATTGAGGTGTGTATAAAGGCCGTGATATTGACACCGGTGAACACGGCTCTTCCATTCTGGAGCTGATATCAGGATATGGCTGTATAACTGTTGCCACTGGCGAATAACTCATGATAGTGTCCTCATCATTCGATTCGGTTGGAGCAATGGCCGGGAATGTTGCCTCCATTTGCATCACAAGTCCGGGTATTATTTGCGTGATAGAAACGGCTTATTGCGTATGACCCTAGATGCTTTCTCATAACATTACACCTACAAAAGAGAGGAATTGAGGAACTGGGAGCTCGTAATTGGAACAAATAACTTGTAAAAGTAAAAAGACAAACTCCTCCGATATTTTTAAATCATGATATCGCGAAATTTCATTTTGATCTTGCGATAGAGACTGAGAAGGAACCATTTTCGGAAAGCGCGAGACAGGAAAGAACAGGTTAGTAAATCATGTGAAGAGTCACATGATGTGCTGCGGTTTCTCAAATTGTACGGTGTCTCATCCAACTATGCACTGTCCTACTCTCAGTTACCACTTGCCAGCTCCTTGCAATTGCTCCTGTACATATTTGTCTTCATCATGTTATCATTTCTCATCTAAATGTCTAAATATGGTATAGATCCAATTGTTCCAGCCATTATTTTAACTGACTACTCCCTGGTCCTTAAGCGCAGCAACATCCGATTCACTCAATCCGAGATGCTCGCTCAGGATCTCGTTCGTGTGCTGGCCCAGAATTGGAGGCGGTATCCTCACAATGGGCTGAGTTTCTGACCACTTGACAGGCGTGTTCACCATCTTAATCGGGCCACAGTACTCGTGGTCAATCTCGATGACCATGTCTCGGGCTTTTGTGTGGCTGTGATTGAGAGTGCCCTGGATATCGTTGATAGCGGCATACGGCATACCTTTTCCCTCGAATGTCTGTAGCCACTCTTGCGTTGTTCTTTGCTGTGTAATGGCCTCGATTTTGGCCTCTAGTTCATCACGGTGCGCCACTCGGTCAGCGTTTGTCTTGAAGTTGGCGTCGCCTTTCCACTGCGGCTTGTCAAGACCATCGCAAAGAATGCCAAACAAGCGGTCATTGCCACCGCCAATAAGAATGTCGCCGTCCTTTGTCTTGAACGCTCTGTACGGAACGATAGATGCTGCAGCACTTTAGTATAACTTTCACCAGGCTCCTAACACCACATGCATCTGACTTACGATGAGCGGTTCCCCAGCGACCACTGTCCTTCTTCCCACTTATCAGACTGCTGCTTGCAATGTTGGCCAATGTAGCTGTTTGGCAATCACTCAGGGCCACATCAATGTGTTGACCCTTTCCAGTCTTGGCTCTCGACAAAAGTGCTGCCATGATACTATTGCTAGCGTAAAGGCCAGTTGTCAGGTCGGTAACAGCTACACCGACCTTGACGGGCGGCCCATCTCGCGAGCCTGTGATGTGCATGAGGCCAAACTCAGCCTCGACCATGACATCGTAGCCAGCGCGGTTGGAGTAAGGACCGGTCTGGCCGTAGCCCGTAATAGAAGCATAGATGAGTCCGGGATTGATCTTTCGCAGGCTCTCATAGTCCATCGAGTACTTCTTCAATGTGCCTGGGAGATAGTTTTCGACCAGGATGTCGCATTTCGCCGCCAGCTTATGCAGGATATCCACTCCTTCTGGGTGCTGGAACGATAGTCCTAGAGACTTCTTGTTGCGATTGGCCTAAGAAGAATGACGCACACAAGCAACACGTTAGTCCCCTCTCGTTCATCTCAACAAACAGCTTCTCTAATTTTAGGTGTCCATGTTGGTTGGTTCATACTCCCAAGAAATACGCGGATTCGCCTGGGCCTTGCCTTCCAGAATCCGGTTTGTACTTTGCGTACGGGGGACCCCATGCCCGAGTGTCATCTCCCCGCGTTGGGTGCTCGATTTTTATGACTTCAGCGCTGGAGAATAGTAATTTTTGACAAATCAATATGCCAATCTTGGCTAGATGTAGAAGTTGAGATGTTCGAGAATAATGCTTACCCAAGATCACCAAGAATCTGTGTGCAGTACGGCTGCAGCAAGTTAGCGGAGTGATGGGCATAAGATTTGGGGCAGGCATCTATTTATATACGGCTGTTCAAATATGCGGGAGAGAGAGATCAACTTACACCAGCTAGCACTCTGGACATGTCTAGCACGCGATAGCCCTCAAGGGGCAGAGGCCCATTGTTGGCTGCGGCCGCAGAGTAGCGGCGCATGCCACGTGCTGCAGCATTAGGCCATTGGATGGGAAGTTTGGAGTGAGCCAATCTGCCGAGGCGTGAGATAGCCATGGCCCGAACCTGGGACATTGTTATAGGGTGCGTCTTGGTGACGTCTTGTAAATGGACGGTAGTAGTAGAGAGGAAGTAAGGTGTGAAAGGAAGAAGCAGATCAACTACCGAGCAGCCAAGATTGTCTATGCGTCTACCATCTGGTGCCACTTTGCGATGGATCGTGGATCTTCTTCGGCTCTGAGTGGTCGATGGCGGAGTTGTCGCCAGCGTGGAATTGTCCCGATACTGCTGTATTGAGCGAAGCCCCATGGGGTCGGTTGGATTCGGCTCACAATAGTGGGCAAATGTGGTTAGTGCGGTGCTAGAAGCAAACAGCAGTGCGTTCTCGGCCGAGCCAACTGTTAACGCTCTATAAACACATTTTTTGGTGTATATTGTGACTATGTATAACAAACATTTACATGCAGCATGAATAGAAGCAAGACAATAGGATGCACCTTTCCAGGTATTATGTGATACTATTGCGAGAACTCTGTCCGGGCTGATCTGATAGGCGCTGCTAGCGTTGACGACCCTCGCAGGGTTTGGTAGCGATCTGCCTAAGCAGACTGTTGGCTGACCTAAGACCGTATGATCAGCTCTGTATTCCTCATCTTTCAGAGATAGATTGATCTAGATTGTCCGTCAGGGTTTCCGTCAGAGCGTTTCCGCCTCTTTTTACAAGCGAACAGAGTCTATCAGGGAACCGTAATCTCATCGCGTAGGACTGCATGGACTCAATTACAGTCCCCCCGTACTACTAATGGCAGCCTAACCAATAACTGGATAACGTCACTGCCCAGTTAGGAAGCTTTCTTTGATACGAGGTCGGTACTTCGTACAATGTATTGTTTACTTCAACTGTACTGTAGTATTCTTGGGCTTTTCAATGGCCTATTTTCATTCCAGCTCCCCTGCACATGCAAGGCTGAATAGATTCAATATTCACAGCTGTTGGTTCTTCCATCATCACATTCCGCATTCACCGACTCCTATATTTGGGACATTGTAGGCAACAGAAGCAAAAGATGCGAACCTCTGGCCTCTGCATGGCTTAGCTAGCGGCACGGCAATCCGCGTTGCATCCGGCGCTGCTGATGTGACCCCGACGCCTATCCTGCCCTAAGGCCAAACGGGACAAAGGACAAAGCTTCCCACACGCTGCTCGTCTCATGTCGTCCGGTTAATTCTCACAGGTCCCACGGCGATGATCCCGACCGCGCCGCAGCGCTTACTGCCAATGCTACCGTGCTGGAGGAGGCGCCATACTCAGTGAAGAAGGCCCTATAGGCTTCTGTAGGCTACTGCTGCTCAGCAACTCGCGGGCTCCACCGCAGGCTGTGGGTGGTGAAGATGTTGATGCGCAGAGCCCATACAAGGTCGTATCCGCCCCCCCTCCAGGCGGCGTGGGTGTCCCCTGCAAACGCCTGGCGCTTTTTACCTTTTGGTAGCCGTTTGCCATGTTTCTATTAATACTGGTGCGCGCTGTTGCTCTGCCAATACCACCATGGGCGCAAAGCGGGCTTAGCCCACCCCGTTGGAGTGACGCAAAGGCCCAATTCTGTCACCTCAAAACTGGAGAGCGTCCGCGGCCGTCGTCCCAATGTGAACTCTGGCAAAACAAGAGCGGAAACACAAGAAACAAGGCTCTCCCAACGGCAATAAAAGGACAATCACGACTCGTTCGGGGCTGTGCTGTGCAGCTGTTGGCAAGGCCCTCAGGGTGAGCTGCAGATCTGAAAATCGCCGTCATGCTTGGGCGCATGCGCGCCATGAGGCTGCGGGTTTGATTGACTTTCAGATAAATGTGGCTCATCCGTTTGCGCTATACATCACGATACGAAGATCGACCCGGTTTTCGATAGTCTCTTATACATATACAGCGATCCGATAGTTTTCTCTCTCTCCTTTTGTCTCTATCATCACATTGTCACATTCATTGCCCATATTTGAGCAATCAGGTAACACTACTGGCGACCACCATGGAAAGGATTACAATGCTGTCACGTCGCGAGCTGTCGCAAACAACCACGACATACATCATCATTGGTGTCGTGGTTGGTGTAACATGCACTGTCGCGGTCATTGCCATTCTCATATTCACGCGTCGGAGGGGACAAAAGTATAGTGCCCTGAGGAAGAACAGCCAACTAAGGAAGAGAAGCTCCAGCGCTCTGGATCGCGAGTCTTATAGGAAGAGCGTGATGTCGACGTTTTCAGAGGTAGACGACGCGCAGAGGCAGGCCATGATTAGGAAATCGCTTGCGACTCGGAGCTCCACCATGGATTTGAACGTCGACGCCGCATCAATACGCACTGCTACTACGCATCCCCTGGAAGCACATGCCGAAGAAACCAACATCCAGTCCCCGCAACCTCAGCAGCCACTGCCGCCTCCTTCGCGAGACGAAGAGGATCTGGTGGGCCTCAGGGACGACTGGAAAGAATGGGAGGCGAGGCTCAACGCGAACTATTCCCCTTCACTCGGCATTCATCCAGCGCTTAGTCCTCGCCCAGCACTTGACTCTCACCCAGCTCCCGGTCCCCATCCAGCACTCGGTCCTCACCCAGCTGTATCTCATTCGCGCCATAGCTCCAGTAGCTCCAATAGCTCGACCAGATCGGCTGGCGCATATCTATTAGCCACAAGTCCGCCATCTCAATGCCATATTGGCCTCTCCACAAATGAGCTCGACCGACGCTCATTACCTCCGATGACTAGGCCGCACTCCAACTCTTCTGTTAGATCTAATCGATCACTGCCGGCAAACTACGAGATTGAACGTGATCCACGCACTCTCCTTCCATCGCAAACTCGTTCATAAGATCGCCTTCAAGTCATAGAAGAATATCGAAATGACTTGTTTTAAACGCAATACCACTCTTGGTGGATTTCTATGATTAAGAAATACTACTTTGGCTCTGCCCGGCAGAGCACCTAATTTCCAATCTCATTGGTAATATCGACAAACGCTTGCCATTGTCTCCAGGCTTCACCACTGGTGATAGCCCACTTAGCTCTTCGAACACCTTCCTTCCAACGTTGGCCGCCAGGGCCACGTTCTTTGATGACGTTTCCGTCATCGCCATGGCCCATGTCACTGGTATCCGCCTCGCAGATACCGGATGCGACAAGAAGGGCCGCAGTATTGATCAGAACAAATTCGACGACCGGATCATCCAGGGGAAGTTCGCCTTTCAAGATGCGAACTAGAATATCCGCATTCTCCTGAGGCTCCTTTCCGGAGGAGACCTCGTTCAAGGCGTGGGTGCGGACGCCAAAGTCGCTGGGGTGGACTTTGAAATGCTCGACCACTATCTCTCCTCCAGGAGACTTTTCTTTCAGCATCCAGCAGAGCGTATTGCCTGCGCAGCTGATTTCGTCTAATTCCTCTTCTCCACAGACAATCAATGCCTTGTGGCAGCCGGCAACTCTCAAGGCTTCGGCAAAAGCGGGGCCGAGATCTCGTCTTCCGACGCCGATAACTCGAGCTTCCAACACGTCCTCCACCGGATTTGCCAATGGACCCAAGTTGTTGAAAATAGTTCTCCAGGGGAGCTGCTTCCGGATAGGAGCGACGTAGCGCATGCCGGTGTGGAAGACTGGCGCAAAGAGGAAGCTGTAGTTTGTATGGGAGTAGACCTTGACCAGGGTATCCGGCTTCACGGCGCTAATAATGGGCGCCCGAGGCTTCATGCAGCTGACCATGTCGGCACTGCCTGATTTTGATGTGCTTGCCTTGTTGCCGTGCTTGGAGACCAGAAGCAGTGAGGAGGCGAGAATCGATGAAGTTGTACTGACATTGAAGGTGTCGTGAGAGTCGCCTCCAGTACCAACAATATCGCACTGCAATTGTACGTTTTAGCTTTCTGTATATAACCATAGTAATATTTAATCAATTGAACTGAATTGAATTGTCATCTTACCAATCCGCCCTTGTACGTGCCCTCTTTTCTTCCCCGCGCCTCAATGACACTCTGGAGCTCCTTGACCGGAATGGGCGCTGCGGCTTTTCTCATTACATAGGCGCAACGCTCCAAAACATCTGCCTTGAAGTCGAGCTTGGTGAAATGGAGAGCCATGAGGAGAGAGGCTGTCTGGGCCTCGGTCACCTGGTTTGTGAAGAAATGGGAGATTGCCTCTGCAATCTCATCGGGAGTCACTAGATTGTCCGTTGGCCAGAGCTTGGTCAACAACGGCTTGAGGTTGACGGGAGGAAGGGCCTCTTGCCCACTGCCTGTGTTTGACGCCATGACGATGTGATGCACAGACGGCTATGAAAGATAAGAGAGAGAGAGAGAGAAAATGGATTTCACCCAATCGAGAGGAATGGGCAGGTGAGTGACGCAGAGTCTAGTTTTATGCCGGCCGCTATGAATATGCCGTACAACCAACCGTACACACTATGCCGCATCTGTGGCACGACAAGCTCATTGGTGAAGATATTGTTCATTTTTTTGCCTATGAGTCAGCACAATAGGCTCCATATTAGCCTGTTCAATTGAGCGCATGGGGTTTTCTGCGATTACCCATTGGCCGATTTCGGGCCCGCAGAGATGGCTCACAGATCCAACGCAAGACACAGAGGCGCAAGCCACGGTAGTTGGTGGTTCTCAGCCGATCAGTGGGAACAAAGTTTTCCCGGCTTCCGCATTCAGCCCATGCAATCCTTCGCTTCGCACGGTGGCGGCCCGTTGATTCCAAGCTGCTGAGTCACCTGCCAGAACTTTCGCTCCAAGGCCTACATAGTAACGCCTTCCTCGCCCAAGCCACTCATTCTGATCTTTCCCCCGACATACTCTTTCTACCGCTCTCTCGCCGCCCCAAAGTTGGATCACGCTCGCTCACGACGCTCACTGCTTTTCAAGCTCGCTGTCAGAAGCGATTCCGACATCTTACTTTCGCCGACTAATCGCTGATCTGATCTTTTCTTCCTTCGCGATACGATTTCAGACGCCTTCACTGGTTCAGAAAGGTCGGCCGGCAGAGACCATTTTTGCGCGTTTTTACGCTTCCGACACCTCTTTGACGCTTGAAGTCTCGACAACAGAAACGCTATAGGGAATTTTGGGCCGAAAGAGAGCGTCTCCTTTACATAGTTACTTGCCACGTCGCGCCTTTGCTGTTTACCCTCGCCTTTGGCTGGTGTGCAGCAAGCCGACACCGTTCGCCGCGTCTAGCGCTCCGAACTATTTTTTAAACAAAGAAAAGAAACAAAAAAAAAATAAAGAATAAAAAGATTTGAAAAGAATCAAACAAAGGGAAGAGGGCGAGGACAAAGCAATCATTGTCCGTGCCCGAAAAAGGTGCTCGATCTCAATTCGGAGGCTACCGCCGCGCTTCCCCCTTCTCAAGCCAGCAGGCTCTTTCGACCGTCAAACTGCATTCACCGCTCTTTGTCCAAGTCGTCAACGATCAACTCTGGATCAGAGGAGCATCTTACAAGACAAACTCCCTCGTAAGAAAATCAGTAGAGAAGAAGAATCAGCAGCTGCGCCGACGAAGAAAGGAGGCCAGAAAGGCACGAAAAGTCTTTGACGAGATTACCAACATCTATAGACCGAGAGCCTACCAGCCCAAAATGCTTCCGCCAATGGGCGGAGATGCAAATGGAGGGTCATTCCATGAAGACCTGAACAATGTCCTCGCTTGCCCCGACTGCAAGGAGTACCCTCCGAACTTGATTGAGGAGTTCTCGAGCGGAGACATGGTCTGCCAGAGCTGCGGTGTCGTCGTCGGAACACGCATCATTGACACGAGGTCTGAATGGCGTACCTTTGCCAATGACGACCAAGGTGGCGACGATCCGAGTCGTGTCGGCGGACCGCAGGACGAGTTCGTCGAAGGCCAGCATCTAGCCACGACTGTTGCCTTTTCAGAGTCCAAGGCTCACAAGGCCTTGTCCCGTACCCAGAACAATGCCAATGCGGACAAGGCCCAAAAAGGTTTAATGCAGGCCTACAAGGAGATTGTTGCACTTTGCGAGACGATTCATATGGGAGCCAACGTCTCCAACGCTGCCAAACACATCTTCAAGCTCGTTGACAAACACAAGTTCATGAAGGGCAAACCCCAGGAGGCCGTCATTGCTGGGTGCATCTTTATTGCATGCCGACAAAACAACGTGCCTCGAACATTCCGGGAAATCTTCAACCTCACTAGTGTTAGCAAGAAGGAAGTCGGCAGGGTCTTTAAGCAGCTACAGAATTTCCTGCAAAAGATTCAAGATAACGAAGGCGAGAGCGGTACCGGATTGAACACCGTCACCAATTACGAAAACACCTCTGTTGGTGCCGAAGATCTCTGTGGTCGTTACGTGTCTCAACTGGGCTTTAAGAACCAGCAAAAGATATCGAAAATCTCCCGAGATCTCGCAGAGCAGGCCACCGACATCTCTGCTCTGGCAGGCCGATCGCCTCTGTCTGTTGCGGCCGCTTGCATCTACATGGCGTGCCATCTTATGGGAGAGCCGCGGTCATCGGCTCCTATTGCCAAGCAGACAGGTGTTAGTGATGGAACGGTCAAAACCGCTTACAAGTTCCTCTTTGCTGCCCGTGATCAGCTGATCAAGAAAGAATGGCTCCAAGAGGGTGGCAAGATGGAGAACATTCCGCAAGTCCAAGTCTAGGACTCTTATTGTATAGATGCAGCGTGTGGTACACGCTTTGATATACACCTCGGATCGATCTCCTTTGTTGCGTTGCAGCCATTTTCTGTCCTTTTACTTTCTTCTCTTTCAAGCTGCCGCGCTATAGGATCGAAGGGCGTTTAATGGCGAAACGGGGTGATTTTGAGACGGAACAAGCTGAAGACAAGGGATGGTCGCTTGCACTGTTTGTCAACTTTTAATATAGAGACTGGGGAAAGAAAATAAATTGGCCTTGCAGAAGGGAGGGCTGGAGAGCGCGAGATTGCGGCTCTTACGCCCGGAAATACTCAGCAACCTCTCTTTCTTTTTTTCCGTTCGCTTTTCTTGCCGTTTTGCTATAACAGAACAATGTATCTCAGACTGTATAGATTCGAATAGCAAAACTCAAAGAGAATATTTGCATACTCGTGGGTACAGGAATATAGCCAGGCACGTAGAGTGAACTCTTGGCATTCATAGCGGCTTTTATTCCTTTGTAGCTGTGCTCAGTAGCTCAGCGTTTGTACTTATAGCCGGTTGCGTGCGTAGCGAATGGGTGGCATCGAGTACAGGCTGAAAACGGCCTGGGGTTATGGTGATAGGCATCTTGCAGGTGACGTCATGAAAGAATTGACATCCATGCTGAAATCACATTTGACAACGCTAAGTCGACAAGGAGGAGTTGTCGTTGTTGTATATTGCGTGGCAGTTGATTCTAGCACATGAAACCCTGTGGAGAAGACGCACGACTTTTGGCTTTTATGAGGGCGGCCACTGCGTGCTATTATACGGCAGCATACATATACGGGGGAGAAAGTTCCTCGCTGATGGAGAAGGTTACGCGTCAGCCGTTGAAGACGAGATGGCAATGCACACTGTACGTTATACCGGGTACACTAAGGCCTGGAGTCATAAGCATTGGCGCACTGGATGAATTAGGGAGGTCGTAATACGAACGACTGGAAAAGTAGGTGCAGCACTGTGTTGAAAGGCAACAATTTTTTTTTTCGGCCTTCCCCGTCTTTTGATCCATCTCGTGTTTGCCTGCTTCTCCCCATAATTTAGTTCAAGCCCGATTGCTGGCAACACAATAAGCAGTTAGCAGTGACAGCATTCACACGTACGCCTTTGCATGCACTAGGCCGACGGGGAAACTCAATAGAGCCGAGTCAGGCACTTACATGGCCTTTTGCTGTAGGAATCCTCTGCCTCTCTCCAGCTCCTGTGCGACGTCAAAAAAGGACCGTCTAGTAGCCCCACGTGGTGGACATGGAAGGGCCGCCGTACCAGGGGCGCAGTTGGGGCCGACGATCTGCTCAGTGACCTTCTGGCGTGTTGCGCTACGCAAGACAACTGCGTAGGTCCTCACTAGATGCGCTGTAGCGCCCAATGTTTTGGGGTGCCTGTGAGACTGAACTATTGTGTGGTTGCGTCCGATGTGTGGTGGCCGGGCCGAAACAGGACTGGCTCGCAGCGTTTTTACCCCTGCAAGTGCTTCTTTTCACTAGCCTAGAAGTCGACTGACTCCGGCCATTGCCACCAACCACGACGCCTCTTGGGCCGAGCCGATCAGCTACAAGGTAGAGATGGTGTCGTATTGGGGATTGACTTTCGTCGTTTTGCTGTCATTGAGTTTTCGTACTCTTCTTTCTGCCGGGACGTTTGTCAAGGGCGCTGGCCAATAGTCCAGGGACGATTTTCGCATCGACGCATCCAATCGCTACTGATTTCCTACATTTGTCTGTCTTTATTGTTTTTCGTTGTACGGAAATTTCATCGTGTTGCTGTGCTATCTACCTTACTTGGCTTCGCGGCCGGTAGTGATCCTCTCTCTTTTTAGCGACCACCATCTTTTTTGCGTCGCGAACCCGAAACAAGGTCACGCACTATTGACGTCTTGGCGCAAGTTGCTCTGTGCCACGTTCGGATAATTCCTCGGCCATGAGAATCTAAGCTACTTGCGCGCATCGTCAGTCTCGAATTATAGCGGCGTGGCCTGCCTCTCGCTTATCGTTATCTCGCGTGGGAAAAAAGGAGGTTTCCTGGGGTTACCACGATCTTTTAATTTTATGCCCATCGCGCCATCATGGTGCTCAGCGTGCGCGGCGCCGATGGTCTGATACGCTCAAAGTCCGAAGAGGAGGCCAGCACGCTTCCCGAATACCCTCAGAAGGGCTGCGCCGAAACGGTGGCCCCCGTCTCCAAAGTCTCTGTTGTCAAGCGCATTCACGATGCCGCCAATTTGGTGTACCAGAAGACCATTGTCGAGCATATCCTGCAGCGGGGCCAGCTTGCCGCCTCCAAGGATGGCAGGAAGATACCGTTGCGACTCGAGAACGACGAGCCCTTGACTGATGTTCGTCGCGGGCAAGCGTACATCTCCAACAGCATTCGCACTTCTCGCTACACGGTGTGGGATTTCCTGCCCAAGCAGCTCTTCTTCCAGTTCTCCCGGGTCGGCAACTTTTACTTTCTCTGTGTCGGAATTCCTCAAATGGTGTGTGCTTGTTATGATCATGGTCTTGTTCGTTGACGCGGTTGCTAAATTGTTGCGCGCAGATTCCTGGCCTTTCGACTACCGGCTCTTATACGACGCTTTTGCCCCTCCTGTTCTTCGTTTGCATAACAATGTTCAAAGAAGGCTACGACGACTATCGACGACACCGACTTGACAAGGTTGAGAATGCCTATTTCGCGACGATACTCGGCAAGGAGGATAAGTACACTGGCAACGCCAGGCGGACACACCTCCTGGATCGGTTTAATCCTTTTCATACGAAGACGACTACCGAACCTCGATCTGTCTCTGCCGAAGAATATCAGGGTGTGCGATGGGTGCCGACGAGATGGTCTGATATTAAAGTTGGAGACGTCATACGACTTGCGCGGGACGAACCTGTGCCTGCGGATATTGCGCTCATCTATAGTGACGGCGAGAACAGCCTGGCATATGTCGACACCATGGCGCTCGACGGCGAAACGAACCTCAAGAGCAAGCAGGTGTGTAATGCGATTGAAGGATGCGACACGATCGAGGGTATTGCGAAATGCGCAGCAGAATTCGTTGCCGAAGACCCCAATCCCGACCTGTTCAACTTCAACGGTAAAGTCACTGTCAATGGAAAGGCAGTGCCTTTGACGCTCAATGAAATCGTGTATCGTGGAAGTGTGCTTCGAAACACCACCTGCGCTGTTGGAATTGTGCTCAACACTGGAGAAGAGTGCAAGCTGCGCATGAACTCAAACAGGCATCCAAAGGCAAAGAAGCCCGCTTTGGAGAGAGTGGTGAACAAGATTGTCATTACTCTGGCTTTTTACGTCGTTATTCTGTCCGTGGGCGTTTCAATGGGCTATCTGCTCTGGAAAAAGAGCACCGAGAGACACTCTTGGTACTTGCAGAATGCTAGTGTTCCGTTCCACGATATCATCATTGCCTTCATCATCATGTTCAACAATGTTATTCCCCTGTCACTCTATGTGAGCTTGGAAATTGTAAAGGTTGGACAGCTGCTTCTTCTCAATTCGGATCTCGGCATGTACGATGAGGAATCGGATACTCCAGCGCGATGCAACACAAACACCATTCTTGAGAACCTTGGTCAGGTTGAATACATCTTCTCAGACAAGACGGGTACTCTTACAGATAACGTCATGAAGTTTCGCAAACTTAGCGTTGCTGGTACTGTCTGGCTTCACGAAAAGGATTTAGAGCCCCAGTCGCTGTCGGATACGTCTGATAGCACTTCATCGATTGTCAAAAACTTTGACTTTCCCAGTCGATCCCCGTCAGTGTATAGGAGAGATCGCATGTCCGTTGTCATCCACGAGGATCAGGTTGAGATGACAGATTCGCCGATACATTCCCCAAGACCATCAATGGCAGGACGGCGATCCTCATCCGTGTGGCGATCGACGGGACGGCCAGACCATGTTCAACCTGATGTCAATACCTCGGATTTGCTCGAGTATATGAAGCTGCGACCACATTCAGCCTTTACCAGGAAAACGAAGGAGTATCTGCTTGCGATGGCTCTGTGTCACTCATGTTTGCCGGAGAATAAGGATGGGAAAATGGACTTTCAAGCTTCGTCCCCGGATGAACTTGCCTTGGTTAGAGCTGCTCAAGAGATGGGATATTCGGTTGTCCAACGAAACTCGAAGCAAATAACCGTAGAGGTGACTCACGGCGATGGTTCGACGGAACGCTTGAAATACGATATCCTGGACGTCATTGAATTCAGCAGTGCCCGAAAGAGGATGTCTATTGTTGTTCGCTATCCTGATGGCCGCATCTCGGTTATTTGCAAAGGCGCTGATTCTGCCATCCTGCCTCGCCTACGACTATCTTCATTGGCTATGCAAAAGGCAACCGAAGTTCGACAGAGTGCTGACCTTGAGCACGAATTGTTCCGCCGCAGCGAGCAGCTCGAGCCTCGCAATAGCTTCGGTGGAAGGCCTAGCTTCAATGTTCGCCGTCCTACCATTACGAGAGAGCGAAGCGTGCACCGGCAATCAATGGGGAATCGAAGCAAGTCTTTTGAGATTAACAAGCTGACTCGTCGGTCTGAGGATCGGCCAGAACGGCCACGCTTGACCATCAACGCACGCGGAGCATCGTTTGACGTCTCAAACCGCCAATTTCTTAGTCCCATGACACCTCACGTACCGCAACCGCTGGATCCCCGTTTGGCATTTTTGGAAGATTCCGGAATTTTCGACGAATCTGAAGTCTTCACGAAATGCTTCAAGCACCTCGATGACTTTGCATCCGAAGGTCTCCGGACGCTCCTCTTTGCGCAAAAGTTTGTCTCGGAGTCGGAGTATAGGTCGTGGAAGAAGCTTTATGACGATGCTACCACCAGTCTGACCGACCGGCAAGAAAAGATTGAGGATGCGGCTGAGAAGATTGAGGAAGCATTCGAGCTGGTTGGTGGCACTGCCATTGAGGATAAACTCCAAAAGGGCGTACCAGAAACCATTGAAAGGCTTCGACGGGCCAATATCAAGATTTGGATGCTGACGGGAGACAAGCGAGAGACGGCAATCAACATTGCTCACTCTGCCCGAATCTGCCGCCCTGGTTCCGACTTGTATATCCTGGACGTGACAAAGGGGTCTCTTGAGGCGCAGCTCTCAGCCATGGCCGAAGATCTGAATGCTGGCTCTATCCACAGCGTAGTTGTCATTGATGGACTCACCTTGGCTGCCGTCGAAAAGTCGGAGGCTCTGTCAGCTCAATTCTTTGCCATTATGCTTCTTGTCGACTCTGTTATCTGCTGCCGTGCATCACCGGCTCAGAAGGCTCTCCTGGTTAAGACCGTCCGCGGTAAGCTAAAAGGTTTCCGAGGCAAGGAACGCCGGGGCTTGACTTTGGCCATTGGAGATGGTGCGAATGACCTTGCCATGATCCAAGCCAGTCACGTTGGAATTGGTATTTCAGGAAAGGAAGGACTCCAGGCCGCCCGAGTGGCAGACTATGCAATTGCGCAGTTCCGCTTCTTACAGAGATTGCTTCTCGTCCATGGAAGATGGAACTACGTTCGCACTGCCAAGTTTATCGTCTGCACGTTCTGGAAGGAAATGTTTTTCTACCTCCCCGCGGCGCAGTACCAGCGATACAATGGCTATACTGGCACTTCTCTTTACCAATCGGCAAGCTTGACAGTCTTCAACACGCTGTTTACTAGTTTGTGCACGATCTGCATGGGTATCTGGGAGCAGGATCTCTGCGCAGAGACTCTGCTGGCTATACCCGAGCTTTACATCTTTGGTCAGCGCAACAAAGGCCTCAACTTTTGGAAGTACATGCGATGGATGCTCCTTGCTGCCATTGAAGGTGTGATTACTTGGAACGGTATCTGGGCTGGCTATGGGTGGGTGTCTCCAGCAGCCAAAGATGAAAATCTCTATGCCATTGGATCCTTGGTGTTTACGGTTGGTGTCCTGTGGATCAATTGGAAACTATTGTAAGTTTTGATTTTTCCTTGATCTCTCTGAAAACTCGAGTGCTAACTATTGGCAAGCATCTTTGAAACCCATTACAAGTCGGCTGTAGTCATGGCCTGCTTCTTTATCACCACAGCCGGCTGGTTCGCATGGCTGGCCTTTTTAGACGGTGTCTATGCCGGCACGCCATCCGGTGACTATGATATCCGCCATACGTTTACCAAACTTTGGGGCGCCGATGCCGTGTGGTGGTCCACTTGTTTTATTGTGCTCTCCTTTATGGGGATGATTGAACTGCTTTTCAAGGCGGCCAAGCGAGGCATGCTTGTTGCGGGTCTATGGCACTGGCCACCGTGGCAAAGGAAGAAAATGGGCGACAATGTTGAGGAGTGGGATTTGGAGCTCTGGCAAGAGATGGAGCAGGATCCTGCAGTGAGACGGAAACTCGCAAAGATGGCGAGAGACGATGATGAAGAGCTTGATCTGGAGGATGAGGAAGAAGAAGAAGAAGACATAATGGAGCAAATTGAGATTGATATCTCTGCGGGGAGAAGATAGACGGGGAAAAGCAAGATGGGAGATGGGGATTTTCATGTGCAGGCGACCAGGAGCGGATTTTTTTTTTTTTTTTTTTTGTGTGTGCTTTTTTTATGAGGGGCTTGGAGTTGGAGATTCTTCCTTGCCTGACTTCGCTCATTGGTTTGCTGGCGGATTTACTTTCATTTATGAACATGGCCTGGATGGCATGATAGATACCCAAAAGAGTGTGAGTTGGAGATTGGGATGACATGATACCAGAAGATATAAGACGATATAGTGCGCGTACATAGACGAATCGTTTACTTTCTTTTTCTCAGTTGCTATTTAAAACTGACAAATGTTTTATGTGCCTTATAGCAGATCCTTCTTTAACTCGTTTCTTAGACGAGAAACAAATTAAGCAACGTGTATTAATGTATTCTAAACACTCTAAAGATCTATGCAAAATATATGGACATATCTTGACCAAGTGAGGAAAAGATGCAAAAGGCTCACAACTTGATTACGCCTTGGAATCCGCCGTTTCTTCTCTCTTTTCACTGTCCCCCCTCTTATCATCATCTTGAACAACTCCCCGACTGGGCTTCTTCGCCGCAGGTTCCACTTTGCCCACAATCTCCAGCGTCCGGAACGCCACGAGGACAAGCACCAGCGACACCAGCCCCAGCGCAAAATCAAACCACGACGCCGCACGCAGGCCCCTGAGAGAGTCCGCATCCCACGCCTTTATGCTGCCGACATTCTTGACAGACACGCCCCGGCCGTGAGCCATGACGGCGGTCTGAATGGCCGTCGCAATAGCGAGGCCGATGGACCGACCAATCTGGCCAACAGAGTTGATGAGCGCGCCACCAATAGCCTGATCTTCTCTCGGCAACGCCCGCGAAGTAAACAGCGTCAGACACGGCCACGTCGTATCCGCCCCAACAACAGAAAGCACCATCGCCGGAAGCCCCCAGGCAAAATACGACGTCGTCGGCGGAATCGGCACGGCATACAGCAGACACGCAATCGTGATGGAGAGATTGCCGCAGATGAGCAGAAAGACAGTCGGCACGCGGCCGACCAGCTGCGAGACGACGATGGCAACGGCGGCGCCGCCAATGCCTGTGGGGAGAAAACGCAGCATCGTCTGCAGCGGGGACTGGCCCTGGAACTCCTGGAAGTAGTAGGTGGCGTAGATGAGGTAGTTGTTGAACGACGCGAAGAAGACGCCCATGATGACCATGACGGCGCTGAACTGGCGGTTGCGGAAGATGCTGACCTTGATGAGCGGCGGCGTGGGCAGCGTTGCCGGCTGCAGGATGCCATTTGGTGATTCGAGCAATCGGGCCTTTGCGGCGTCGAGTCTGCGCTCCAGGTACCACTGCCAGACTGCAAACGCCGCAATGACGAGAATCGACACGACAATCAGGACGGGAATCCACGGCGTGCTCCAGCCCACGACGTTGCCCTCCGTCAGCGCAAACATGAGCGCCAGCAGCCCAACCGTGATGAGCGTGGCGCCAACCCAGTCGACAGACTTTGGACCCAGCTTTGTTGTCGTCGTGTTTGCTGCTGGAGGAGGCGTCGGCGGGATGAACAGCATGCCGCAGACGGAGATGACGCCGCCCATGATGGCCAGCACGCCAAAGACCCATTTCCAGTTGGAGTACTGCGCGACGAAGCCGGAGAGGATGTTGCCAAAGACGCTGCCGAGGGGAGCGCCGGCGCCTTTGAGCGACAAGTTTTTTCAGCTGAAGTTTTTAACTCTAGTAGTGAATGATGAATGACATACCATATGTGCTAAAGGCGTAGTTTTTCGCTTTTCCCGGAGGGAATGTGACGCCCAAGATGCCAATCGCCGTAGGAACATTCGCAGCAGCCCCCTACCCATCACTCTTTATCAGTACCTGTTCCAAATTTTCTCAATAAATAAATGTCGTCCACAACTCACCAGCCCGTGAAGCCCCCGAAACAGGTTAAACGCAATCTCATTCGGCACAAACGGATTCGCCGCCGTAATGGCCGTCACCCAGACCGACCCCAGGATGAAGACGAGCCGCTTGCCGTACAGGTCGGCGATGCGGCCCCAGAAGAGCAGGAAGCAGCCAAAGGCGAGCGAGTAGGACGAGACGATCCATTGTTGCCGGCTTTCGGGCACGGAGAGGTGGTGGCCGATGGTGGGGAGGATGATGACGACGCTTTGCACGGAGAGGGTCTGTTGTTGAAGAGTTTAAGAACTTTGTATATATGAGATGGGAGTTGAAGAACTCGACTTACATTGAGAAACGCCGCGCCCGTCACAGTGGCCACCAGCGCAATGCATCTCGCCCTCGACATGGGCAGTCCATCATCATCATCACTCGCATCATCACTCTTAAGCTCGCTCCCACCGCCGCCATCGCCATCACCGCCATCTTCCGTTACTGAATCTCCTACTCCCCGAGGCCGACTCGTAGCGATAATTCCCGTCTCTTTGCCCATCTCAGCATCATCCTCCCTCCTCTGTATCGTCGCCAGCGACGACGTCTTTGTTCCCTCGCTCTGCATCTCCTCCACCTTCATCCCCGATTCCTCATCGAGAACCGCCATGCCGGAGGAAACTCTCCACGGAAGCGGGACGGGAAGCTTCCCGGCCGCTTGTTTTCTAACTTTAATTGGTCCGTACTTCGTGTCAACTTGTTGGCTCGGTCTAGGAATCCCAATGGGTTGAGTAAAAATGTAAAATTTGATGACGAAATAACAATAATGCAGAATTGGTTCTCAATCTTGTCAGTCCAGTCAATACAACTAGTGTTGCATCTCTTTTTTTTATCTCCTCAACATGTACCTAGTAGATAGGCACGGAGTAGATCAGCCGGAAACGCTATCACTTAAACGTATTGCGTGCTCCAGAATGAGGTGGACAAGGTAAGAGAAAGGAAAAGGAAAAGAGCAAGCATTTCAAGAACCGCACAGGTGGTAAGTATAGTAGTAGTAAGAGATAAAATAAAAGGAAAAATAAAGATGCCAATCCTCTTTCATATACTAATACCACCATACCACAGTACCATGTCACCGCAACCGGACAAGGGTCTTAGTAAATAAGCAGCAGAGCAAGATGCCGTCCAAGAAAGACTTGCAACCAAAGGTAATTCCACAAAAAAAAGTCGGAGCGCCGAGCTCAATCCCGTATTACTGCTCCTACGGCTTACGTGCATTCCAATCCTTCCCTTCCCCCCCTCTCCCCGGTGCCGGCCACCCACTACGTCTTTTCGGCGCTGATCCTTTTTTCGAGTCCCGATCTCCTGTGCCGAGTCTACACTAATAAGCCTACCTCTCTCCGCCTTTCCAATAGTACTGGCTCTAAGAGCTATCAAGGATAATGCTTTTTAGGAGCTTGCCAACTCTTAGACTCAAATTAATATCAATCAATTAATTCTTCCATTTATTTTAGCTGCCGTTGGCGTCTGCCTTTTACAACATTTGCTGTGCGTCCGGATAAAGACATTCCCGAAACATGTCCGACTTACATAGCTTACACTTCAGTTAATACACGTACCTATATAGCATCTGCATTTATTGATCAACCAGCTCCAAAAGGAAAATGTCAAGCAACAAATTGTGCAAATTGGCTATATTTCACTCTCACCAGTTCTCTCCACCTTTTCTTAAGACTTCTTCAAACTTCACATTTATCTTCTCTAGCTCTTAGTCAGTGTCTACTACAAAATCATCACCTAGCTCGTCACTATCATCACAGCTCTCTCAGTCCGCACAACCTACAATCAAACAAATCTTCACATGTTACATCATACTCATCACTCAAGAAGAAAAACACGCAAGGGCTGCTATAAATAGCTCATTGTCTTCTTCGTGCACTCATCAAACAGTTGCATTTTTTTGTTGACTGCCTATTCGCCGTGTCCACCTGGTTAAGCATCTCAATCTCCTCATCCTAAGCATAGTGAGGGTGTTTTTTTGCTTCATCGATGACCTTGCCCTGTTTCCCTTAAACCCACCGCCGAACTTAATATCTCCCAGGCGGTATTATTATAAAGAAAAAAGGCCCTCCCTTAAATAAGAAAAAAAAAGTGAATGAGGCACCCATGCGTCAAAATCACAACAAAACCAGTCAAGTTTTCTTCTTTGGCGGCTGCCCTCGAGAGTCCCCTAAAAACAAAAGGTGGACAAATGAGTGGGAACGACAACCAAAACAAAATTCCGTGCTCCCCATCCATCCTCGTAGCCCTTACTTTCCATTTTGCCCAAGCCGCCCACCCTGCCATCTTCTAGGTGATTGTCGAAAAAAATGAAACTAAAGAAACAATCGTACACGTTTGCATCAACGAGTAGGAGACTCAAGCAAAGATTTCTTCTTCTTTCTCCCCGTCTCCATGCTGAAACCCCTCTTTGTAATTAGAAGGGGGGCACACATATATGGTGCTCAGGTGTTCCCTCTCGCATACCGCGAAGCCAACCTCTCCCTAAGCGTTCAAATGTAGTGACACGTAAAGAACCAACTGTATCAAGTGGAAAAAAAAAGAACTGAGAAAATTCACACCAACCCCTTTCTGAGCATGGAGCTCATGACGAGCGCCATCCTATCTCGCTCGCGGCGATATCGCCCTCGTCGTTTCCCATCACGGCCTCTACCCCACTAATGGTAGTTTCCGCCCCAGCCGCCGCGTTGCTGCTGCTGTTGCTGGCCTTGCTGCTGTTGCTGGCCGGTGCTGTAGTAGCCTCCACTGCCGAATCCAGCCTGGCCGTAAGAGCCATATGGGGTGCTGTGCTGGTTGCCACCAGCGCCGCCGCCCATGCCGTATGCGCCGCTGCCATGAAGGCCGTGGCCTTGAAGGTGGCTAGGGTAGCCGCCGTAGCCACCGCTCATCTGGGATGTCTGAGGGGGCGGAAGGCCGCCACTCTGCGCACCGGGAGCAGTGTTTGTGGCAGAGCCTGGCCGAGGGGCTCCGAGAGAGGGCGAGGGGCCAGAAGAAGCCTTGCTCTCGCCAAACGGCTTCAGCTCGTCAGCCGAGGCTCCGGTGCTTGGCTGGGTCTGGCTGCTGAATGACTGTCCCTGAGACTGGAAAGATGAGGCGCCTCGAGAGAAGCTGTCGTGAGTACTGCCAAAGCTGCTGCCTCCCAGACCAGGCTGGCTACCTGCTTGAGCAGAGCCGGCACGGCCGTATTCACCAAGGCCGGAGCCAAGAGGGCTGTCTCTGTGGAGAGATGAAGGGCCAAAAGTTCCAGGGGACGAGGTATGGTCGTAGGGCGCATTAGGCGAAACACCATAGGGTTGTCCGTACATGCCACCCTTTCCATACGGTCCAAATCCTCCTTGGCCGTATCCAGAGTAGTACTGATGGTAGTAAGGGTTGCTGTAGTATGGGTGGTTGTATCCGGGGTTATATTGTCCGTGAGCCTGGGGCTGCGAGCCAGGACCTCCCTGCTGTTGAGGCTGCTGCTGTTGAGCCTGGGTAACGGGGTTGGGGGTGGAGTGGCCGCTGTTCTGGTTCTCGTTGCTGCCGCCGAATCTTGGCTGGTTGTGACCAGAGCCGCTCTGCGGGTACTGGCTGAGGTTATCGGTTTGGGAGGCATTGTAGCCTCCAAAGGGTCGCTGCTGCGAGGGAACGCCCTCGGGTTGGGCATGTGCTCCCTGCTGGCCATAGTGCTGGCCGTAAAAGGCATATGGGTTTCGATCCTGCTGGTTAGCAGTGTAGTAGGCAGAGTAGTCGCTGGGAGCTGAGCTGAAAGCTGCACCAGGCTGCTGTGCGGGAGGTTGAGAGGTCTGAGCCGTAAAGTTGTCAAAGGGTGGTTGCGAGGGAGCTTGCTGGTTGAACGGGTCCAGGGGCTTCTGCTGGGACGCGGAGACGTCTTGAGGGCCAGCCTGGCCAAATCGACCGTATTGCTGAATGTTAGGGATAGGAGGTTGAGCTGCAGAAACATATAATTAGCGATAATTCTTCCCTACGTCTCTTGGATTTGCAAAGCAAACGCACTCTGAGAGGAGATAGGAGCCTGGGCTGAAGTGGCTGCGGCAGCTGAATTGAGAATTAGTCTCAAATGACACGGGGAAAAAAGCACAATAGGGAGCATGGCACATACCAATAGGTGTCATTCCGGGAGGGGGGTTAGTCGTGGCTTTAGGAGCATAGGTTTCCGGCACAGCGACAGGCTGAGAGGCCGGAGGAAGTGAAGTACGGGGAATGGCAACAGGTGAATCGGCGGGGGGTTGAGCTCGAGTCTCTGGTTCTTCGCGCTCGCCATCGATATCCTCGTCGTCATCGAGGTTAAAGGCGCCAAACTGAACAGCAGCACGGTCAACCTCTCGGTTGCCGGGCATGCGGACAGCCTCTTCTTGCTGAAGAACTCGTCGTTGGAAGCTAGGAGTGCGAGGGGCAGCTCGCTCGGTAGTTGCCTTCAAAGCCGTGGCAGCATAGCCGCTAGAAGTGGTCTTCTGGGCCTGGTGCTGTTGCTGGGCGGCTGAAAGAGGAGTGGCAGTAGCGCTAGGAGGGCTCTGTCGAGGGTCCCAAGAGTCAGCAGCTGTGCTTGCAGCAGTATCTGTTGCAGGTGGCTGGGAGACATCAACAACTTGTTCGAGATTGGTTTCCGTCAGCTCATCCTGAGAAGGAGTGATAACGGCAGCGGGTTCGGTGGCCGCGGGAGCGGCAACAGGAGTTGCTTGCTCTGCAACTGGAGTGTTCTCTGCGTCCTCTTCCGTCTCGGGCTTGACGGGCTCAGCTTCAAATGGGGCGGGTTCGGGAGCGTGTTCGGGTTCGACGTGTTCGACGGGCTTAGGAGCAGCAACTTCTTTGGGAGCTGCGGGCACGACCTTGGGAGGAGGAATCGACTGTCGGAGCATGCTAGCCCAAGTCTTGACCGGAGGAGCGGCAGCCTTGGCGGCTTCGGGCACGGCAGCCTTCTCAGCGACTACGGGGATCTTCTCTTCAAGCACGTTGGCAGCGTCGTCTTTGTATGCGGGAGACTCTTCGGTGGGCACAGAAAGCTGCTGGCCATCCTTGGGTCGAGATCCGTTGGTAGGATGAGTCGACCTGGCACGTCCACCACGTCCACCTCGATCTGTAGCTCTGCCTCGGCCGCCACGAGGAGCTCCGTCAGAAGCGCGACCTCCACGAGTGTTTCTAGCGCTGGAAGACAGTTCGGCGTTGACGGGCGCGGAGGATGTGTCCTTGGCCTTGGTACGAGGGGTCTTTGTCTTCTTGGAGACTTCACCCCACTGAGAGATGGTGCCTAAGGATAGAGAAAAAAAAATCAGATTAGCAATTGAAGATGGCGGTTTATCTGCACAAGGGAATGCATTCGTAGAAGGGGAACTGGCAGGTGTATTGCAATTGAATTGCCGCAGCAGGATTCTGACGTGTTTGCAAAGCAAAAAAAAGAAACAAGTGAAAAAAGAGGCAAAAGGCAAGCTGCAAATTTCGTCTCCCAACGTACCTTCAGCCATTCGTGTCACAGCCTCGGTCTCATCACCGTTTGTTTCCTTGAGAGCATAGAGGACATCGGGTTCAGACCAGTCGGGGAACATTTCGCGGATCACCGAAGTCTTGTCGCCATATTGCTTTCGAAGCTCGGCAAACTCGCCCTCGTCCTCAAACGTGCCCAAGTTGTCGTCAGCAGTCTTGAAGTTCTCGCCGTTGGATCTGCGACCGCCTCGGCCGGCGAAACCCCCTCTGCCACCTCGGCCGGAGCCTCTGCCGCGTGAGGCAGATGGCCGTGAGATGACCTCAGACATGGGGAGCTGATAGGTATGTGGAGATGAGGAGGGATGTGGCAATTGTGCAGTGGCCCGTCAGATGGCCTCTGCTGAGGGTGCAACGAGCAACGAGAGATGAAAAGAAGAAAAATATGAGGAGAGAAAAAACAACAACGAAGAGGGCAAAGTTCGTGTGTTCTCGAGGGGAGACAAAGATGTAGATGCGAGATGGCACCAGAGCGTCGAGGGTGTGTGGTGTTGTGGCAAAGGGAGGTCCAGAGGTGGAGGGCAAAGGGAGGCACGAGGTTTTCCCCGGAAGCAGACGAAAGGCTCTGGCGCTGGTCACGAAGGTTTTTTGGCTGAGCGCCCGGTGACGCCCCCCTTGACCGCGTTGAGAGCTGGCCAGCAAGTACCTTCTCTGTGGCACAGTGCCAGATCCACTGGTGCTAGAGGGCCCGAGGAGGGGCAGTTTCAGCGGCCTTTCAGCGCTGGGATAGGGCTACATGAGCCTGGGCTCTGCCTGATGCGCCACTGCTACCCACTATAACTGCAAGGGCCTTGGACGAGGCTGCACAGGCTCCAGCAGCTACGGTTGAGTTGATTTCAAGAAGGAAAGTTAATTGCATGTGGTGAAGCTACTAGATCCAGAGATGTGGTTTATATCGTTCCTTCTGTCCCAGCAGTAAAAGAAAATTGAGACGTGGCCTATTCTATGTGTTTCATTCATGTCATTTTCCGCTCTATCCAATATCTGCCCCGCTCCCTGCAATCTACAATTTGCCACCCCTCGTGTCAACCGACTTTCGAAGCAGAGAAATGACCTCGGCCGGATCCTTGGCTCCAAAGACGGCACTGCCCGCAACAATGACATTTGCTCCTGCATCGGCCGCCTGGTCGATTGTGCTGGGCCCGAGACCCCCATCAACCTCGATATTCAGCTCGGGGTATCGCTTGCGCAGTTCCTGGACCTTCGGCAGCTCCGAGGCCATGAACTTTTGGCCTCCAAATCCGGGATGAACTGTCATAACTAAGACCATCTGTGGTTATTGCCAGTATTAGCTTCAATTTCCTCCAATTCAACAAACAGTAGATTGGCCAAAGAAATGTGTGGGCCAATTAACGTACATCAGGTCTCTCCTTGGGGTCCGAGCTCTCAAGGATGTCCCAAAGCACATCAACAGATGTATCAGGCTTGATCGCAATACCAGCTAGCAGCCCTTGGTCGTGGATATATCTGATCAGTTCCTTGGGGCTTGTCTTCTTGTCGGTCGTCTCCTCGGGGGATTCGGCAGCTGATGAGAAAGCGGCTTCGTAGTGGAAGCAGTATAGGTCACAACCGGCGGCCTTGAACTCCTTGACCCATTTCTTGGGCTGTTGTTGTTTGAGCACCCAGTGTTAGCTCTGGAACTGAAAAAGGTTCTCTTCGTATGAAAGAACAGGCAGCCCGAGATTCTGATTACGAGTCCGAATGGATCTAACACACCTCCGCAATCATCATATGGCAATCAAATGTGCCTCGTCCGGTGGGCTGGCTCGGCTTCTCGACGTGCGGGCGGACCTTTGCAACAACCGGGGCGCCAAAGGTAATGTTTGGTACGAAATGGCCATCCCTGCATTCAGCTTGTCAGCCAATTCGATATGAATACAAAGGCGTTGTGATTGCGGGAAGCGAATTGCAGCTCTACTAACATGATATCAATGTGCAACCAATCCGCACCCTGCTCGATGGTTCGGGCACATTCTGCGCCGAGCTGTGCGAAATCCGCCGAGAGGATGGACGGGGCAATGAGAGTCTTGGGGGCCATGCTGTGTCGTATGTTTGGGATTGTACAGAAGATGCTGTCGGTATAGGTGGTATCGGTAAAGTATTGTCTTGCGGCAGTTTCCTACATCTCTGGTCTCCAAGCTACCGCTTGGGTAGCAGTATGACATAGGCGAGCAATTAGCAGAGCCGGCGGAGCCTTGCACACTGTCCGCACTGTATACTTTATGCCGGCGGCCGGCAGTGGAGCAATCGCAGATCGGTGCGCAGGGCACCGGGCACCAGGTCCCTTTGTGCTATTATTTTCCGGGATAACAGCACAGTGGCAGCTAAAGCAATTTTGCTGTATCGCGAGATTCAGATAACTCCCAGCTGACACTTCGCACGGTTTGACTTTCGGGCTAGCCGCTGCAAATAGTGTGTGCACACTGTGATGGCCCTCAACTGGGCTGCTGCCGGAGCCATTGTGTCTTGAATCAGCGACACAGGGCACAGGTGAGACCTAGACAATGTGCACGGATGGATGGCAATGACTCTAGTGCCACGCAATTGGCTGATTCGCAAGAGACATGCCTTGTTTGCAGCGCTTTGTCTTGCCCTTTCAGCGTCCAGCCTCGCCAAGTTGCACCCTGTCAAGCTCGGCTGCAGCGAAAAAAGGCACATGTCCCGATACCTTGCCTGTCCCGCTAGCCAAGTTGCCCGTCGTATCTGTACTTTGCCAGCGCACCCAAAGGCAGGGAGCCTGGCCTCTGCGTGGAGACATGGCAGGTTCCTGTACCAGGGAACATTCCCCCGCACCAGCTTTCGATTGGGGTCCAAACTCAGCCCACGTATCACATGACATGGCCTGTGCCGCGCATTATTGATCATGACGAGGCTGGAGCCTTTTGGCTCGTTCTAGATAGAGCCTCGAACTCAGGATCAGGAGCCGATATCCCTGCAGCTGCACACGACAGTGACAGCCGCCTGCCTTGTTGGCAGTGGCAAACAAAACTTATTGTTTTTCACTTCTTCAATCATAACACTGGCCAATCGGCGTCATATTCCTGCTCGCCATGTTCTCCACAAAGTCTGTCCAATCGCTGAGGAAGCTTTTCGCCGGATATCACGAACCCCTACCCATATCCCAGCAGCAGTCGCAAAAGCTTCTCGACGGCATCAAGGCGTCCTTTCGTAGCCAATTAGACCGCGAATATGGACGCTCTTCCTCCGATAACACCCCTGCACCAGCCAAATCTACTGGCGAGACCAGCCCTCAGGCCCGTCGCTCCGCTGCGTCTTTGCATTTGAAATCCGTTCTATCAAATCCTCTATTCAGCTACAACAACAAAGAGAATGCGCCCCCCTTGCCAAAGGGGCTATGGGTGCCAGATCGTGATCCGATGGATGTTTTTGATCATGCCGTGTCCAGGGGTATGATGACGCTCAAAGCTGCCACGGGCTGTTTGGTGGCCAAAGGGCAACAGCTGTCAAGCGCCGCGGACGCGAATCTTCTAGCGACATCTTCTGATACCGCCCTCCGAGTTGTTCGATGGCTTCGATCATCTGGAGCGGAGAGCAACTTTCTCTTCCTGGACAATACGGCCTTTGTTCGGGCGCTTGTGCCTTTTCTTATTGCTGAAAATATGGAATCAGTGGCTTGGGAATGGATAACGCGGGCTATGAATGAATCTAGAGATATCAGCGAGGAGCAGCGCATCGCTCGCGCGTCTTCCTTGTTATCGGAAATTGTCCGCATCAAGAGCCAGGCCCAATACGGCAACCTGAACGCTGCCATACAGGCGATTCTTGAAGCAGAGCAACTCTTCCAGCACAACCCTTCTCTACCCAAACTGCTTGTTCAGCCATGGAGATCAGTGTCATGGCTATCTACAGTAGAATCGTACAGCCGGGAAATGCCGTCAGAAAAGCTTTTTGAAGCTCACTTGGCCACGGCTGATCGCTTATCACGGCCATTCCCCGTGGAGATGGCACATTTACACTTGTACCACCCCACTCATCCGGATCACCTCCCTGCCCTGGAATTCTTCAACGACAAGAAGAGGCTGCGCAAGCTGGTGCGGGCTTTGGGCCCTGACAAGCTGAATCTCACCAAATTCACAGGCATGGGTACCATTCCATGGATTGCCTTCCTAGGCCACGACACTGTCAACCATTTGAAGCAATCTGGGAGAAGCGAAGAAGCACGAGGCATCACGCAATTGTTACGATCAGAGCTGTCTGACATTTTTTCTGAAACTTTGACACCGGCGTGAGAGCAGAAGAGTCTTATCGTGAGAGTGTGTTGCAGTTTTTGCATACGAATATTGTATTATATGTATTATTTCATGGGAAAGGCGCATTTACGAGACGGTTCACGAAGAATATCAAAGCATATAGATACCCAAGCTTAATGAAAAGGCTAAAAGAAACCATTAAAAAAAATTTTAAAAAAAAAAGGTTGCATTTTTCTATCCATCCATAATATCTATTACATGCTTTGTGAAATGAGACCGTTGGCCATTAAATTTTAATACTTCTCTTCTTCTAACTAGTCCGAGAAACCCTCAAACTCATCTTCTCCTGAGCCTGCTGCCTCGTTGTCTTCGTCTTCGTCTTCGTCTTCATCTTCTTCGTCTCCTTCCTCGTCCTCATCGCCATCCTCATCCTCGTCTGGCTCCTCTACATCAAATGTACCAGAAATATCCCACCTATCGCCGTTGGCCTTTTTGCTCACATACTTGACAAACTTGAGAGCTCCGCTATCACGCAGAACAAGCGTCATCTTGTTCCACGCAGCAGCCTGGAAAAACAAGATGTTGTCATCATCTCCACTCGACTTGTACACCGCGGCGTCTTCGTTATTGTCGTCATCGCCAGCCATGTAAACTTCATGACCGCCGACTTCGGCAGCTTCCTCTGGCTCTTTCTCAACGGCCTTTGCTTTTCCTTTGCCCTTGTCTTTGTTCTTCTTCTTGCTGTTCTTTCCATTGGGCTTGGCTTCCTCTTCCTCATCCTCTTCTTCTTCATCGGCGGCGTCTCCCCAGCCAGTTGTTGGTGTGAGACCCAGGTTGAGCTCCAGACGAGCCTTGCCCTCATGGCCTGTGGCAAGAGTGTAGTCCATTCCGCGACGGAATCTGCGGGCAAGGACGTCGTGATTCTCAATGGTGCACCCGGTTGCTACTTGCAGCCAGCGGCGGAACTGATCACTCGGGAAGAGCTTGTCCAGTAGCTCTGTGATTGGTGAATCATCTGAACGTTTGCTAGATTTGGTAGATTTGGTAGAAGGCTGCTGGTAGAGGTATCTGTGCTTGTGAGGCGGCTTGGACACCTTCCAGGCAGAAGACTTCTCGATAGCTACGCTGTCTTTGGGAAGAGAGGCCTTTTCTTGCGCCTGGATATATTCCTGTACACGTTTGGAAAACTTCTTGGACAAGACATCTGCAAGAGTAATGCTCGAGTTTTCTTCGAAATGCTCAGACACTTGCTCCAGCGTGTCAGGTGTCAGGTACGTCGGCGCAATGTACTGCAGCAGGAATTCCAGATCAGCCTCCTCGAATTCAGCTTCGCTGCTCTCTGGATTCTTGACCGCAACAGGATTAGCCTGCGGCGCATCGTACTGGGCAGGATTGCCCTGAAGCTGCATAAGGCCGCTGTTCTTTGCGTTTTTCTCCTCCTCTCCCTCTATATAGCCTTCCTCTCCAACTTGAGGGATGTGAAACCAGCCGCTGATGGCCATGCGGACACGACCACCTTCCTTCTCTAGCTGCGCCTTTGTCTCAGCGTGGTACACCTCCTCGACATCGTGGAAGCTCTCGCCAGGCTGGACGGCGAAGAAGCTGAGCTGGTTCCACGCAGGCGGGATGACCTTGACCACGTCTGGAAGCGGCGTCTTCGCAACATCTCCATCCTTGTTTTTTATTTCCTGGATGGGGAACAGACGCAATGCGCCACCCCATTCGGGCTTCCACGGGATGTCGGGATCTGTCAAGTAGAGAATGTAGCTGACTCGTCTGCTGCCAATGACGTCGTCATGGCAGAGCAGGTAGCAGCCCGGGGTGTAAATGTTGATGGCCATGTCTGTCTTCTTGCCACTCAGCGGGCCGCAGCCAGTAATGCTTGAGACGTAGTTTCGGAAAGTCTCAGAGTAGATGGCATCCCGGAGGGAAAGGAGAGAGGGCAGCTTGGCAAGAGACTCGTCGTCGAGGCCATCCAAGTTGGCCAGGTCGCCAGATTGGTGAATCTTGTAGATGTCGGTCTCTTTCGGGGTGAATTGTACGTTTTCGCGGACTTCGTCTCGAACCGCCCGGAGGAGCTTGTCGTCGACGAGCTTGTGGATGACAGCATGTTTGTATGGCGAGGATTTGGCGTATTCGGTGGTATACGACTCTAAAACGGAGTCGTCGAAGAGACCGTTGCGGAAGCGCTTCTTTGCGTCCTCTTTGCTGATGGCTGAATATCTTGGTTAGTATCCAATTGAGCTGGAAAAAAAGAGAGGAAGCTGGAGGTGTGGCATACTAGTCTTGGCCTTCTTGCTGCCGGCTTTTTTGCCAGAAGCATGGCTTTCTGCCTTTCTCTTCATGGTGGTGACAGACGGCCGTGGCAGTTTTCCGCAATTGTCTATGGCAGTGTCAATGGCGAAGAGATTTGAGTGAAAAGATTTTCTGCAAAAAGGTGGGAAATGGTATGAGGCCAGTTGCGAGATCAGCCGATGGCGCGCGCATCTTCAACTTTTTTTCTGCCGCCTTCAGACTGGCACCACTTCCCCACCAAGCTAGCCCTGCAGATTTCCTAAAGTGGAAAACTTGCCAATGAGCTGCATTTGTCTTTTTTCTTCTCAGTAATTGTCAAAGGGGTGATGCAAATTGAACGTTTATTTGGAATGATTTAACGTCGCTCTGCATATGTTTTTTCTGCATCTTCTTTTTCCTTTATACGCTAGATACATGACAGCATGTCTTCAAATCGCAACCGATACATACAGCAGAGTAACTGCTAGTATTTGTCTTTCATGTCACTCTTGGGTAGACAGCTCAGTTATTCCAGCTGCCAAATCACGCCTGTCACCGTGCGTTTTCATTTACCTGCATTCTAACTTCGAGTCCTTAATCATTTTACAAAGTTTCAGTTCATGTTGCTATACAGTCATATTTTCACCATCGTAAATCGCCAGACTTTGAACATGGCAAGCGCCATACCCTGCAACTGTCCATCTCGCTATGCAAAACTGAGGAAATTGTATTAAAATCATCACGATATATTGATCAAGACGCCCCATTCTACATTCAAAATGATATATGTAGCTTGTCCTCATGCCTGGTCAACTGTTGATCGGCACTTAGCTTCATTCCTCGGCACAACTAAATCTAACAAACTTACTTTGAGACAAAACTGGCGCCCGGTTTTAGCCACCCATGAACACCGAACTCCATATTATCCATACCCCGCTGACGCAAGATCGTTAAATAACCCATATCACCTTTATAAGACTTTAGCATGCATAGCGTTTAATATTCTAGCACCAAACTTGGAGTCTGCTTCTCACTCTTTTCCTACGCTTTTCACACCAACATCGCCATTGACTCACCCATTGCGGCCATGGGCTTTGAGAATCACCAGAAGGAGGTCCGGGACCACTTCCCCGCCCTCCAGCAGAACCAGGTCTATCTCGACAACGCCGGGGGCAGCCAGACGCTCGGCACCGTCATCGACTCCATCACAGACTACCTCACCGGAACCAATGTCCAGCTCGGCGCCTCTTACACCGTGAGCAAGAAGTCCACTGCCCTCTATGGCGCCGCGTACAAGGCCGCTGCCAAGTACATCAACGCCAACCCAGATGAGATTGTCTTCGGCTCGTCAACCACTCAGCTGTTTCGCAACCTGTCTTATGCCCTAAAGTTCAACCCGGGAGACGAGATTGTCGTCTCCTGGATAGATCACGAGTCCAACATTGCCTCGTGGCTGGATCTGGCTAGCCGGCAGAATCTCGTTCTCAAGTGGTGGAAGCCAAAGCCTAGCCTGAATCCCGAGCTGCTTGTTAGTGACTTGACTGCGCTCCTGTCACCCAGGACGAGGCTGGTGACTTGTACCCATGCGAGCAATCTCCTGGGAACAATCACTGATGTGAAGGCCGTGGCGGCTGCTGCTCATCGAGTTGGCGCTTTGCTCTGCGTTGATGCTGTGGCGTATGCGCCTCACCGGCCCGTCGATGTAAAGGATCTGGGGGTTGATTTCTATTGCTTTTCTTGGTACAAGGTTTACGGGCCGCATATATCCATGCTCTACGGCAGCTGGAGTGCGCAGACCCATGTTAGGCCCCTGGGACACTTCTTCAACCCTTCCGTCTCCCTGGAAGACAAGATTGGCCTTGCAGGCGGATCATATGAGTTGCTTCAGGCTGTTCCGCACGTGGTCGATTATCTGGACGGAAAGTGGGACAGCATCATCGCTCATGAAGCCTTGCTGCAGACTACTCTCCTCGACTATCTTAAGCTGCAGCCCAATGTGATCATTTACGGCACCCCGGATAGCAGTGCCCGTGCCCGAGTCGCAACGATTAGCTTCTCCGTCAAGGGACTGACCTCCCAAGAGATTGTGGAACGAGTTGAGAGCAAAACTCCATATGGTTTCCGCTACGGAACTTACTACTCAGAACGACTGGCTCGAGAAACGTTGGGGTTGTCCAAAGATGGCGCCGTGAGAGTTAGCATGGTGCACTATAATACATGTAAGTTTCCAACCCGCCACCGATTTAGGAGAGGATTGACTAACGAGACATCAAAGTGGATGAGATCCAGGGGCTTATCAAGGCATTGGATGAAGTTATCAAAAGCTCTGCTAGTGCTAAAGCGTCCAAACTTTGAAGTAAATAGAAGCATCATAGAAACTAATAGGTGGGAAGCTGGAGCGAAGAGAAGTAAAATATGCACATGCAGACAAAATGTCTTTATCTTACCAATTCGTGAATCCACACGAGTCATACAAAATTCAAGCAAATGACCCTATCCACACAGCATCTGATATCTGAGAACAAAGAGCGTATATTGATACTACTGAGAACCTGGCAGCGGGGGACGAATTCATGCCGTGTGTGGGGAAAAGACTCCGCATCGTAGTACTTTTTGGAGAGAAAAGCGCTTGGCGCTGGAGCTTGGATCTGCTTTTTAAGGTTATGATTTGCGCCCTGGCTTTTTAACCATAAATCGTGGAAACCCTTCTCACCGCCTCGAAAATCTGTGAATAAGATTTCTGGAAGTATCTAAATTCTTGAAATCTTGCTGTTCTGTCTGTGCGCGACGCATCTTCAAGATGGAAAGGGAATCGCCGCTACCATACGACGTCATTGTGCGTTCTCAAATCAGGGCTTCTTCTCCCGCTTGATGTTTCTCGCATTGGTACGCTGGGCGTTTTCTGTGTTGAGTAAGATGTACACACGGTGTATTTTCAATAGGTAGATAGTGCAGTACATGAAGGAATGCTGCTTCAGTAAGAGTCAATTTATGGAGTGTTATGGAGGGGCGATAGTAGGGTGTATATGGGCTATTGATAGGCAACGTAGCAATCGGTATTTTGGTTGAATATCCCCCTCATTAGAGCTCTGATCAAATCATTTCTCGCCTAATCAGACTATTTACAACATTCGTGCAGTTCGTGCAGCTACATCTAGCGCCTCCCCGATAAAAGCAAACATATTATTGTCACACTAGAGATTCCCATTAGAGATTCCCACCTCCCAGCTCTTTGCTGTTGCGGTATGGAGGCATTTTGTTAATCCCTTATAGGGCAGCAGCCAGCACAGCAATGGCTGCACCAACGAGGCTACCAGCAGAAGCCAAGGGGGCAGCGGCACCTGTGCTCGTAGATGAAGTCGCGGACCTTGTGGATGATGCGGTGGTTGTCTGTGCGGAAGAGCTGGTGGGAGCAGCAGTTGTGGAGCCAGAATCAGTGGAGGTAGATGAAGAGTCGGTGGCGGTGGTGGACGAGTCGGAAGATCCAGTGGTAGATGAGTCGGAAGAATCAGTCGTCTTGCTCGAAGCAGAGCTATCCGATGCAGTAGCAGATCCAGTCTGTGAAGAGCTGTCCTTGCACACAACGGTGTCGGGGGTGCTCACGCCGGCGGAAGAGCAGATCTGCTGGGCAAACGAGACGGCCTTGTCCTGGTCAGACTTGCTGCAGGCATCGGCCAGGCAGCATGCGATGCCGTTGAGGAAGTCGGCATTCTTGCAGATGCATCCAATGTCAAGCTGCTGGCAGCCGCCAATCGCGGTGCCGGTGGTGAACTTGGTGACGCAGCCGGTCTATTTCAGCGCGGATGCTCGGTCAGTCTTATTCAGATACCCATAGCTATCCACGAATGGATTGATCGGTGTAAGAGATGGAATTCAATCTATCAATGGACTCTGATGGAGCCAGGGACCAAGATTTTCCACCCGAGCGTCACCGATAGTCCGTGTTGCTCTTCAAGTTGTCATTACTTACAGCACAGGTTGGGAGGCCGCTGAGATCCTGAGCAGCAGCAAGAGCCGCGGTGAAGACGAATGACACGATAGAGGCCTTCATTGTAGCTGATGGAAGCGTGCAGAGAGACTTTGGAGAGGAAGCTTGTTCAAGATGAGCAATACAGCCGACGAATAGCAATAGGAAGAAGGGGGAGAAGAAGAAAAGAAGGAAGAGAAGTGCTGGCGTGCCAAAAGAAGCAAGACGTGGAATGCCGGCTGTTGCGTGTTGGGTAACACAGAGTGGCAGCGCGCCATGAGCAGCCCATCTTGGGCGCCGCTCTTGACGCTAGCGACCTGCTAGAGGCGGATGGGCCCGATTTGGCCCTGGAGAAGGCAGCATTTACTGCCCAACAAGCTTTAGCGTGGCGCATCTGGGAGGCTTTGGGAGGCGTCCGACCATCCGTTAGTGATTGAATAGGCGGACGCTTACTTGCCTCTAGTGGAAAGTAGTGCCTGGGCTGGCGTTGATTCAGGGCAGATGTGAGCAGAGCAGAGCCAACAGTATGTAGTAAAGGGGGCTCTCCCTTGTGAATTCAGCTGAAAGCGCCACCTTTGATTGGGCTCGGTATACGAGCCATTGAGGTGATTGAGTGATGGCTTGTCTTGTGTACGTGGAACACAGCACTACTGCGTACTACGCTACTCGGACACTGAAGTTGGCGAAGGGCAGAAAAAAGAAGACGGATGCTGCGGTGTGGAGATGCTCAATGCCAGGGGCTGCAGCCAATCGCGCCCTTGGATCTATCGTCGACGGACTTTGATCGTCTCCGAAAGGCTGCTTGTCACTTGGCTTGGCGCGTTCTTACTCGTACTCGCACCGATGGCGATGGCTGCTGTAGTTTGCATTTTGTGAAATGACGTGTTACCTTCATGTTAGTTAGAACTGCTAGTGAGGCCCATTTAGTTAATTGATGTGTCTCAGAGCAATCTGGCTGGCTTCGTGGGGGCTGAATCACACGCAAGTCACTGCGCAAGAAAAAAAAAAAAAAAAACGTGAGCAACAGTGCAGATAATCGAGCAAGCAGTCGGTACTAAGGGAGCAGCAGTTGATAGTTTACGATGTGTTTCCTCGATGTTGTAGGATTAAGAAATCGTGGCTCGAAATCACAGTCTTGCAGAAAGAAGAGCTGGCTGCGGCCATCTTGAGGAAAGTAGTAATCCGCCCTCTGCAAATATACTTGATGTCCGCTGGCGGACATTTGAATGGTGCGGAGGCGGATAATTGGGCAGGAGGAAAGCAACTGCATGATACTAGTAGAATACATACTAGTAGGGAGGTATTGACTGGATCGAGATGCTATTAAGAGGAGCTCGAGGCAAAATACAAAGATCCTAGGCTTGCATCTACTGGTGTCTCATTTCAAGTATCACAACTCACTTGAGGTACCTGCAGCATGACCTGACAAGGCATTTCTCGGGTGACTACCGAAGCTGATATCTCATCTGTGTTCAGCCGTCCAGGCTACCAGGGGCTATTCTCGCATACTCTTTCTTGCTCAAATAGATAAGGCTGTATTGCTTTTTTCTTATCCATTTTGCAGATGTTGACTGCTTCCAGCAGTATTGACTATCTAGACAGCATCTCACCATAGGCGTTTAGATCGATAGTATTCTTTTTCAGCTGCTTTTTGGTATTGTCATCATCATGATATACATATATGCAGATGTTTCAAAGGGCGCGAGCACTAAAATTCTTCAAGTCCTGTCAAACCGCCTCGAGGCAGCTTTCCTACCGTTCAAGCATGTAATTGTTCCCCACCCCCCACCGCTGGTTGACGGTAATTATACCTTCTTCCCCTGCTTCAAGAGCTCAGAGACTTTGGGCGGCAGAACCAACGCACTCCTATCGTTTCTGCGGTAAAAATCCACCAGAGTCATGGCTGTTTGCTCTGGCTTATCCTCGTGGATAAAATGTCCGGCATCCGGGAATACTTGCAGAGCGTATTTACCTGCATGATGCAACGCATTAGTCTTCAAGTCGCGAAACTCCTTTGAGGATAAACCCATCATCCCTAGTCGTCTTTGCACTCACCTTGCATCTGCCCAATCGTCAACTCCGTATCTAGTCGATCTGTGCCAGCAAGCAGCAAAAGTTTCCCCCCGCGTGCCCCCAAGAACTTCTTACTCAGCCCTACAAACCAATCTTCCCAAAATGGTTGTGTAGCTGCAAGATTTGTTCTCCATCTCCATGGGCGAGACGCATCTCGGCTCTCGTCCCATACCAACAAGGCCGGTACTGAAGCTCTAGCAGAGAGAGAGTTTCTCACAGTTCGAGTTCTGATGTGCCAGTCAATGCCCGACTCGACAGTTGCAAACCCTCCCGGCCGCGTGGACAAGTATGTTTGCATGCTCTGAAGTGCGTCCATGGCAGAGCCTTCAACAACATCAAGCACTGCATATGCCAGGAGAGATGTGCCCAGCTTTTTACTCATGGCGAGGTCTGTTACCACAGCACCCCCTAGCGAGTGGCCCACGAGAACTATAGGGGGCAGCTCTGGCCAGCCCATCTGCGCTTTCGTGGCCTCAATCATGGCGAAAAGGTCAGATGACAACGTATCCAGCCGCAGGTCCAAGGCCGCGCCGTCAGGAGCAGTTGTGGAACCATGACCTCTGCAGTCGACTGCCAGTATGCCAGCATTTGGCAGTCGTTTTCTTATTTCAGAGCCCACCACCGCAAACGAGAGCCCAGAGGATCCGGCGCCGTGATGCATCACGTACAAGGGCCCCTTTTCTACCGGTGAGTTGAGGTAGACATGGTAAGTCACCTCTGGGTTGGCATCAGACTTTAGAAACAGCTCTCGCTCAAAGTAAGTGGTCCACGGGATCTGCTCCAGCGTTCTGCCCCTTGCGACGCTGCATACACTGTCAGCCCGACAGCTCAATGATCAAAAAGCCATTTGCCATATCCAGCTTGGGTGTAGTTGTAGTTACCCTTGGGGGCGAGCAAAGAGCCTCTGGCTCGGCGTCGGGATAATTGTCCCCGTAGACGATACCGACGAGGCCGATGAGGCCGAAGAGGAATCGTCGTCGACTCCTTCTGGCAGCTCCGGCACCTGGTCCTCCTCCGCCTCGTCCAGCTCCTCAAAAGGCTCCGCGGGAATCCCAAGCTTTGATCGCGCCCAGGCTCGCTGTAGATCGCTCATGATGGGCCGTGTTGCTGGAGCGCAGAGCCGCCGACGACAGCAGTTGATATCGGCTGATCAAGGTGGTCCAGCCATTCGCCGAAGCGGGGGATTGGGCGACGATCCGTGGACACACGACGACGACGTCAACGGCTGAGACCTTGGGCAAAAGGACTGTGGGCCGATTGTCACCAGTATAGATATTCAGTCGTAGCCTCTCTGGATACGGAGCGCAAGTATCGCAGCCCGCCGCGGTTTGCTCACTGACTTGAAAACTCGTCGCTCAGATGCTGCGAAAACGGATGAGGTCGATTAGCGACCACGCAAGTGGGGACTTGTCTCATGTTGCACACTGTGAAATGTGTGGGACAATGACGTAGTGAGACAGTGCAGAGTCGTGAATTATGACTGTATTTTGCGTCTATAACCTTTCAAAAGCAACTAATGGCTTTTGCTATCGGCTGTTACTTTTCATACGGCGCAAAACAAGAAAGATGGAAATCGTCTTCAGAGAAATTGGAGCCCGGTAGCCGCGTCTTGATGTTATCTCTTATGTTATCTCTTTAGATTGAGCCTACTTTCGGTAACCCGACTGTGCTTACTGCGTCATCTTCCTAATCAGCATTTCTCTTCTCAAAGGGCAAAGGTCAATTCATGTTACCGGATAAAAAGAAACGCTGTTTCAATTATAGAGAAAAGGATTCGAGTTTCAAATTAGCCAGTTTGTGATATCCGACGAGTTTGCCTCATTTGACCGATTCTTACTGAGCCTAGTTATCATTTGCGTTGTCTTGGCGCGCTTTTCTGTCCATTCCACCCCCAAGCCCTGTCTATTTCCTCACCCTCGTTTTCCGAATGGCAACTTCGGAACTACCCACGCAGCAGGTCAAGTCAATGCCGGGCAGGATGAAAGTATCAGAGGTACATCCTTAAAGCTTAGAAATTACCGTAATCACATTTTCTAAGCTCACTGCATTTTTGCCTGGCCTTGTCTAGAAGATTCTGAAACAAGTGCTTACGCTGTCTCACACGCCACACACACCCGTCCACTCCGTGGGTTGCTCATTGGCAAAGCTTTTGGCCCATACTGACAACTACAAGGTGGCCAGTTGACATATCTGGCTTGGCTTCAGCTGCTTAGAAGTGAAACTGAGTCAGTTTAATTGCCATCTGTTGGCTCGCCGTGCATGAGAATAACGCTTGTCCGCGTGGCTTGATTTAAGCGACCCATTCAGATGACCGTATGATTTTGCGGTAATTCGTAAAGTCCAATAGCTGTATCAAGGGGCTTGCAGCTTCGATGTCAGCCGCAATGACAGGTACTTGATATCAGCGTGCAGGAAGGCGTCCATCCTCCGGCTCTTTTGGGCACCGAGAGGGCAGTGCATGCGACTGATGTCGTGGCTTCACCCAATCGATTTATTGATCTACCGGTGGGTATTGATTATCATTTGCGAGATCGTATCATCAACGCACTCCTGTTCAGCTATTGTTCATCTTGGCCGTGACTCATGTTCATATGAGCTGATGCGAAGAATCTCAGGGGGGAATCGGAGCTGTGATGTCAGGCTTGCGGTGGGAATGATTCTTGGCAGAGACATGAAATTGATGTTTCAAGCTTACTTGCATACTACTAGACGAACAAGCCGAGAGACATACACCGCATATTGTTATATGATACGCTCATACATGCCGAGCCATAGTCTCATGCAATGACGGGGACCAGATGCCGAGCTTCTTTCAATAGTTCTCGCAACTACTGCTGCCCTACATGCATATGGCTGGCGCCGTATGAGTGGCAAGTTCAAGACAGCGTGTCTATTTGCCTTTACCGTACTAGCAGTGATATTGAACAACCGGTAAAGAATTTGTATAATAATACTAGGTAGCTGTGTTCCTCGTGAGCCACCAGCTTGACTGGCGAGGAATATTAGGCGAGCATACTGTAGGGCTTCTCCCTGGTCGTGCCATATTTGATTTAGAGATGATACGTAGAAGACGCCCCCTGAAATTATGCCGTCGCAGCGACTCTTTCATTCACTCTCGTTAGGAAAATCACAACTGCCAATTGTAGTAGCCGCGATAGTACCCGTAATTATGGTACCTGCTGCTTCGCGTATTGAGCACTACCATCGGCTAACTCGACGAAGTAACTATCAATCTTTGTGCAGGCGAACAGAAGAGATTGTGGCTTTAAATCAAGGACTAATGTGCGTGATGTTTTCAGCAAGTGAATGCATACTGCAAAATCCATGCTGCGCACCGTCTATGCCATTGATGCCGCTGCATCGCAATGTGGACTTTGGCATAGTACGGTTTCTACTTAGGTGCTTACACGGAAGGGCCGAGCCGCCGGCGAAAACGCCGTCTGTTAAGTGCTGTTAGATATCGATCAATCGAGCCTTACAATGCAGTTTCATCAACCAATGCTAATGTACCCGCGGGGTATCAAAAGGTATCTTTCCCCGTACCTTATGCAGCAGATTGTGTCAAATATCACATCACTTCGTGTTACGGAGCAGGACCTCCCATCTTAGCTGCATCTGGTGTAGGTGCATTTGGCCCTAAAGTCGCAGGATTCTTTGCACTAACATTACTTACTACTAGGAGGCAGTAGTATACCTACCTGGTAGGTGCTTTAGCTGCTACGACTAGAAAAGCAAGCAACCAAATCAATTGATGTTTAGGTGAGCAACTCACAAGCCAGAGCTGCCGCGAGGATTCCAATTTGATTCCTAATTCTTTCGAAGCCCCCAATTACGTACTGAAACTGCCTGGCCACGCCGCCACCAGCGATGCTCGACTTGGCGTCTTAATCTGATCATCGTCTGAACCGCTAAAGCATGTAGGTGCTGCTAGCATTACTCCTGATTTGAGAATAGCCTTCCATTAGTCGCAACGTGGAATCTCAGAGAGACACACCCTGACATGTCAAATAAATTGGCACCACTGCAAGTGCTACTGTGAGGTGCACAGTTGCAAGCGAATTACATTTTGCAGGCACACGCAGTAGCCGCCTCCATCGCTCCCTGCCTGCCAGGCCCTGGAAGTACATACAAGTAGGTACTGTAGGTACCTTAGGTAAGGTACTAGGTAGGTGATAGGTCGGCCGTAACAATGGCAACTGCAAGCGAGCAGCAGTAGCTCAGGACTGGAATTAGGGAATTACGTCTGCAGTACTAGTATTACGGCCAATCGCTTCTCCATGGATTGAGACCGGAGGCTTTTCAAACAAGGAGGCACCGCACATGATCTATTCCTGCCAACGGCCACCTGAAGCTGCGGAGCCTTTGTCGGATGTGACTGCCACATGCCGTTCGCCGAGCGATTTTTGCTGCATCTCCTCCTCAGTACCTGGATAGATATGGATAGATATGGAGAATCGGCGGCACTAATTCACTGGAGCGATGGGCCAAAGGGCGATTGATGCCATCTCTTGCGCTTTCATGTGCTAAATCGCCTGATATTCCCTGCCCTTTGCCCCTGGTCAAAGCGGTACCGTCCGAGTACCCACCAGTACCTGGTTTTCAGCTTCTCCAGCACCCGTCAACTTGTCGTCTCGCAAAGGCTCATGGCACCCATTGGACGGCCAAGTGCCCAGCAGCAGCAGCTCAGCCTAATCAAAGGCGACGCAGCTAGCCTGCAAAAAGCCGCGCCGGCGTGAACTCGTCGGCTTGCTGTCCGAGCCTCCAGGCCAAGCACAGGAGGACACCTGGAGCAATTTCTCCCGCAGGCCAAGCCAGGCCAGGCCAGGCCAGACCCCCCGCGTGCCAGGAACCCGTTCCTTGCAGCCAAGCGGCCAAACCATGACAAGGACTAGCAGCTTCACCGATTTCGCACGAGGCGTTAGAACCTGGAGCAGCTGAGATCCGCCGACGCGTGGCGCATCTTGCGTCGTATCTTCCGTACGACGACGAATCACGACCACATGCTCTCATTGCAGTCCTGCTGCTCTTGCATGCGCGTTGCTCAGCCTGCCTGGCGGGGGACCCGGCTTCTGATCCGTTCTCGCCAAGGCTAAAAACCTTCAACTGGCCCACCAGGACGAGATTAACGCCCTTGGGCATAGGACACCTTCACAGCCTGGACTTCGGCCGACGCGCTAGCAAAGGGAATTTTTGTTCGCCAGCATCAGCCTTGTCAAATCAGTTCGCTTCGTCGCAGCCGCAAGACGCGGCAAGGAAGGGGAAGCAGACACTAGCAGCATCTCCTCACTGCAAACTACACGGCCGGGTAAATTGCTAGTCAAAGGCGATCGTGATCGGCTTTCATGGGCAGCCATGCTGTTGCATACAGAGAAGAATAGCCGGCGACTTACTTTGCGTTTCATTGGCCGATGCACTCGAGATTGCGGCTAGGATGAAGCGGCTATCAATCATCTGCTCTCCATCTATCGTTTCATTTTGATTTGTTTGAAATACGATGGCTCATCTGCCCTTGCGGTGGGAAATCTCTTTGTCTCACCACCTTCGGCTGTGTCCCGATATGCTTCTAGTTAAGATTCACCCGTGCGCTGAATTTGCTGTCTGTCTCTCAGCTCGCTGTCTCGTATCAAGCATGTTCGCCACCGCAGCACGAACTTGCAGCAAGATCTCGGATGCCACTAGCATAAAAATTAGCTCGCTTCGAAAAGCTCGCTGCCGTTGCAACTAGCGGTTATCAACTACTAGGACTCTTGAGCCGGCCGTGGCCGGCCGTACTTTTTTTTTTTTATGGAATCGCGACTACAGCCACTTCTAGCAGGACTTCCAACTCACATTCGACTAGACTAGTTGAGCGGCGTTAGAACAAGCGCAACGCTTCGACAGGGGCTGGCCCTGCAAGGGAGCTGCCGAGGGACCTTACGGAGTACGGAGTACCATGCTAGAACTCCCGCCTTAAAGATCCACTCGTGTTACACACATCATACACATGCACACACCTATGGCGAGGACGGGTACGGAGCACTGCCTTAGACGCAGCACAACCATGTCGTACGCAGCAGTTGTTGTCCAGGACGGGGAGCCGGCATATACTACGCA